TCTCTCTCTCTCTCTCTCTCTCTCTCTCTCTCTCTCTCTCTCTCTCTTCCCTGCCTTTCCTGTCTTCTCTTAGACCTGCTCCTAGATGACATTGTCCTCACCCACTCGTTGTTCCTGCCCACGGAGCAGTTCCTGCATCAGCTGCACCAGCAATATCCTTCCCATATAATGCTGGGAAAGTCCTTCTAAGAATGCTGTCTTTGAGGGAGGTGGGTGGGAGAAGTATGTTTTTCTGTCACATTTAATTACTAGAGAAATTCACTCCATCTCACCCATTCATATTCCATATTCCTTCTGCATAGAGCACAGTTAATTTTGTCATTCTGCACACACATCCTGTGCCAGTGCATAATTTGTTTCTGGATAGACGAATTTTACCTCTTGAGAATACCAGGATTAATGCTTATTCTTTCACAGCAAGATTCTAGCCCTTGTGTGTCATTAGCACTACCTGCAATCTCTGAAGTCAAAGGTGGCAAGGCAGCCAGCACGTTTCAGTGCCTTTGAGTCCCACGTAGGCTCCAAGAAGCTGATTATGCTAAATGAGTAAACAGAAGGAAAGTGAGTATTAGAGTGCAATCCTAAGCACATTTAGACAGAAAAGTCCTACAAATCTTTGTATTTTACAGATACCCTGTGTGCTAGGGAATGCTTGGAGTTGCAGGACTTTGTTCATGTCAAAATGGGAATACGACTGCATCCTAATACTCCCTGTGGCTTATACCTGATTTATTTTCAGTACCTTCTAGCCCTTGATTCCAGTCAATATCCCATCCAGCACACCTTTTACCTGTCTTTCTACATTATTAGCATATTTCATATTTGGATGTCCAGCTTCCAGAAAGAGAATAGGATTCATTAGCAAGAGAAAGAGCCAAGTCCTCAGTCAAAATTGGAGAGCTCCTTGTAGGATATTCCATTACTTAGTGGTAGAACCTCTTCTAGGCATGGATGAGATGTCAGGTTCAGTCAAAAAGATCTTGAGTAGCCTCGACTTTGGAAAGTTTCTAGGCAGAATGGGCATTACTTGTGCTTGATGGACCAATAGTTTAACCTGGTATATAGCAACTCATTGCTAATTTGTAAATTCAGTGGGGAAAGCGGTAGAATTTTTCCTTATCTAAACATGCATAGAATTGCATTCTGATACTCATGGCTCATACAGGAAGGATTCACTCTTTTTAATCTCCAAATGAAGGTATGTTCTTGGCTGTTGCTGCAACACACCTTTCCCTAGTCAAAGGATTGTTAAAAAGGGGGATTCCCACAACCCTATATTCTTTTGCACATGTGGTTTGCCACTACAGATCCTTCCCAATGATAAATCCTGGATGCCACTACAAATTCTCTGTGCCAAGCCAAGACTGCTTCATGTATATGGAATAGTAAAAGAATTAACAGAGTGGAATATCTGTCCTCTGCTTGATTTGGCTTCCTCTGTGGTAGACTGCCAGCTACTATTACATAAACGTCACCTCCCGAATTTTGGATAGTATGTTCCTTTTCATATCAAGTTAGCTGAGGAAGAAGCATTGTGCTGCCACGAGTGTATCACACTTGTGCATGTCTGTCCACATCCTCAAAACCAATTCGTGCTTAAATGGGGCAGGCTAACTAGTTATTATTATTAGCTATTAATTAATACATCCCTGTATTCTTCGAACAATGGTTACATATGCTTTTCCAGCCGGCCCATGTCTGGAGATCCCCATACATGGAGATGTGATCTTCCTTTTGTTCTTTATCGATACATGAGACAAACATGATTGCCACATGGTGTGCGTCATCTTGGAAGCTTATTGAGGGACCAAGGATGGACGATCCAAGCAACCTGAGCAAGATGTAATGAAAGCAAGATGTGTGTGGGACCACTCAAGACTTTTCTGGCCACCTCTTGATGTACAGTGTGTAGTTGAAATTAATATTGGTTTCCTCACTCTCTGTGCACTTTTATTGTCTGTTTCTGGAGAGGAGCAGAAAAAATGTTAACACAATAATGCCATGTGAAATGCTTTTCCAATTATACATGACTGGGGAGATGCATGCTGAAGATTTCGGCCTGGTCTTCTTTCCTAGGGAATTTACAGTGCACTGTTCATCTAGAGTCAGAACTAAGTTCTACTTCGTTCAGTGGAGCTTACTCCCTAGTAAGTATGTTAAGGATTGCAGCTGATGCATGTTTAGATTGAAAAAACCTCTACAATTCACAGTGTTCCCCAACCATCATTTGTTTTACTTTGACAAAGATAATGTGCCTCTCAAAAATCAAGATTTGTTAATTTCAGCCAGCAGTAAGCAGTAAGACTCCACTTCCCTGTTAACAGCCAGCATTGCCACAAACCTAAGTATTGATTGATTGATTGATTGACTGACTGATGGAAGGACATGCATATGGACATGAATTGTTACCTCCCTTGGATCTGTGAGATCCCAGAGAAGACAACATTGGAAACACACTTACTAAGAAGTCAGCATATTTTTACAGGTAGATTGCACAGGTTATCTTGTGTACTCATATATGAGGTTAGAGCTGCCTGTGTGTGTGGCTTTTTTTACTCTATATCTGCTTCTAAAAAAATCTAGATATGTTCTTTCCTCCTTGTGGAGAGAACTGGACATAAGTAAGCAGCACTTGCTTTGTTGTGATTTGCCCTTGACCGCCTTGTGTGCACCTTCATGACCGCATCGACAATCCCATCACCGCCATGTTGGAAGGAAGGAGAGGCCATGCACCGGAAGCGAGCAGTCTTGGTTATTTTGCTGCACTTCCTTGAAACCTACAAGGGGATACTGCAGGAGGAAGAGAAAGCAGGCAAAGTCATCAAGGTATGCCATGACCATCGCTATCCCACTTTCACAAGACCGAGAAATACACTTGTTACTAAGAAATGCATACTGTCAGGTTGTACAATATTATTCCAGCTACAGTTTTGCTAGAAATGTCTAAGGTGGCAAGTCTCGGGACCAGAAAAGGTAGAAGTGGGTGTGAGCGGAAGGGGATGCGGTGCTCCAGCATCAGGGCATGATGGCCCAGGCTACCATCTCTTTTCTCCTAGGATCTGTATCTGCTGATCATGAAGGACTCATCCCTATACCACAAACTGGAAGATGAAATTTTGAAGCTACACCAGCTTGTGGAGACAGTTGAGCTCAAGTAAGTAGAAAGTGTGAAATAGGATGGTAGCATTTCAGCTGCCTCAGCAAACTTTCTAATGCTGCCTTAGATAGGTCTGTTATGCTGAAGATACACTGATGGCACCCACATGGTAACCTGTGCAACATCTAATTTCTTTGTCCAAAGAAATCAGGTAAAACATTGACTTTTCTAACTAGGAATCAATAGGTCCAGTGGACAAATTGTTTTGTTTGGCATGGCAGATATGGATTAAAATTCCAGTTTAGCCATGAACTCAGGCTAATAGTAGATAATGATATAGAGGTACATGATTCTCCCCCTTCCTCTATCCATTAAAAAAGCAAACAAAAACATCCTTAGGCGCCTGTGAATTTGAGTGGGTGAAAGTCTGCTTATTCACTCTGCCTCTAGGGTATTTTCCCATTCAAAATGCACCTCCAGCTACTCTTCTCCCCAGCCTATATTTATCTTTTTCCCTGTGAGTACAGCAGTAGCTTAAGGGTGTGTGTAATTTTGAGGGAAAAGGTGGCCACTGTGGAAAACATTAATCAGCCCCTCTATCCTCTCCCACCTTCTCAGCATTTCTTTGCTTAAACCTGTAGTCTCCCAAATATGCATTTTCTTAACAAAAAAGATCTTGAGCACTACATGGTGCTCAAGATAGCTAAGTATAATATAGAAATGCAATAAAATAACTTAAACCAGCAATAAAATGCAAAGTAAAAAACAAAGATAGGTAAAAACATCGATAGCATCAGCTTTTAAATTTTTATTGTAACATTTCAATAAGCAGAATAATAAAGAGAAAAGTGAAAAATGTAGCTACATGAATTTGAATATACTGATTTCAGTATATGCATATGAAGTGTGTGTGTGTGGGGGGGGGGAGAGAGAGAGAGAGAACATCTTTCTAAGAATTTTACATAAGCTCCAAGAAAATCAGACCAAACATCCATATAAGTATACAAATAGGTCATTAATCCATTACATTATAAAAGATTGGTGTTTATTCTTCCATTGTTGTAATAACAGACTTTTAGCTGTCAAGGAAGCAACCGTGAGAACTGGACACAGAACCACTGATTGGTTCAAAATTGAGCAAGGAGTTTGGCAAGGCTGTATACTGTCGCCCTGCCTATTTAACTTATATGCAGAGCACATCATGAGAAAGGCGGAGCTAGATGAATCACCAGTTGGAATTAAGATTGCCTGGAGAAATATCAACAACCTCAGATATGCAGATGATACCACTCTCATGGCAGAAAGTGAAGAGGAACTAAAGAGCCTCTTGATGTGGGTGAAGGAGGAGAGCGCAAAAGTTGGCTTGAAACTCAATGTTAAGAAAACTAAGATCATGGCATCCGGTCCTCTCATTTACTGGCAAATAGATGGGGAAGAAATGGAGGTAGTGACAGATTTTATTTTCCTGGGCTCCAAGATCACCGCAGACGGGGACCACAGCCAAGAAATTAAAAGACGCTCCTGGGGAGGAAAGCTATGGCAAATCTAGACAGCATACTAAAAAGCAGAGACATCACCCTGCCAACAAAAGTGTGTATAGTCAAGGCTATGGTTTTCCCAGTTGCAATGTATGGCTGTGAAAGCTGGACCATAAGGAAGGCTGAGCGCCAAAGGATTGAGGCCTTTGAATTGTGGTGCTGGCGGAGACTCCTGTGAGTCCCTTGGACTGCAAGGCGCTCAAACTGGTCAGTGCTAGAGGAGATCAACCCTGACTGCTCTTTAGAAGGCCAGATAGTGAAGATGAAACTCAAATACTTTGGCCACCTAATGAGAAGGAAAGACTCCCTGGAGAAGAGCCTAATGCTGGAAACAATAGATGGCTGAAGAAGAAGGGGATGGCAGAGAATGAGGAGGCTAGATGGAGTCACTGAAGCAGTTGGCATGAGCTTAAGTGGACTCTGGGGGATGGTGGAGGACAGGAAGGCCTGGAGGAATGTTGTCCATGGGGTTGCGATGGGTCAGACACGACTTCGCGACTAACAGCAACAACAAGCTGTCAAAAGGGCACGAAGGAGGCATTTGTACTCACTGTGAGTTAATTTCTAGAAAGCAGGGGAGATAATTTGAGAAAACATGTGCATCAGCAAATATTAAAGAGTGTCTCCATAAAAAGTTCATTTGCATAATAAATTCCTCTCAGAAATGGTTACAACTGGTCATTGCCAAAACATGATAATCTGAGATCCACAGATGCTTCAGGTAAAGACATTAAAATGACCATCCATTGGGTAAAATGGGACAATTCCATTGCTGCTTAAGATCCCATGTTTCATATTCAAAAATAATATGTATTTATAAATTGTCAGTATAAATAATTCCAATAGTGACTCTGCAGCTTTGAAAATGGCAGGACCAAACCTAGATTCTGACAAATGTTGCAACTGCAAATACTGCCATTTATCCATAGCAGACAAATGCTATTCAGCCTGCCAAGCAAAGAATGTAAAAAACTCATTATTGGAACTACTAATTGATCCAAGGTAAAAATCAACTTATTCTTCCAAGTCTGTCACAAAAGCATTTTTGTACCAATTATAGCTAGTTTCTCCACAATGAGAAAATGGATCTGAATGTAATGCCACATATCCCTAATAGCTGTAACCATGGGAGGAAACCTGTTTTCATGTGCCGAGAACACAATGCCATCTATTTAGAGAGAGAATCCAGGCAGGAAAATTACAAAACTGGCCTAGGTAGAAAATCTAATCTAAGTGGCAAGGACCAAAATTGAGTAAAAGTCAACAAATGGGCCCAATGGTATAAAGCAACGCCTTAGAATGACAGATCTACTTTGTTTAGTTGGAAGTTGCATCTTTTCCAGAAATATTCATGCTGGGGAGGAACAGCTCTCCCCAACATTTATGAAAGAAGAGCATTGGTTTTTTGAAAATGATTGCCAGGTGTAGCTGTATCCATGTGGCTGGGCTTCACGCGGTAAGGCTTGGATGAGGCTCACCTTTAAAGTGGAAATAGTCATGGTATTTAACCCATCCTGTACATCACCATGGGAAATCTTGTGACTACCCAGTACAGTAGGCCAGTACTGGCCCCATATTAGATAAGGAGAGTGGAATTGAGAAATCGTGGCTCACATGCAGCCACACAGCAAGCTTGATGCAAAGCAGAAGTTTGAACTAGGGTCTTCCAGTCATGCTCTTTGCTGTGCTACGTGCTTCTGAACAGTGGAATTCACCAGAAAGCTAAGTGTGGGGTTGCTACTTTGCTATTTAAACATTCTGACTTTAACACAGCAGGATTAGTTACTGTTATCGGCTGTCCTGATCATCTTTTCTCTCATGAAGAGGTGAAAAATAAATAAATGTATCAGTGCTGAATCCTCTCCTCTCCTGTTTTCTATCTATCCTTTTCTTTTCTTGGCTGAGGCCTGTCCCTTTATTTCCCTGACTGCTAAAGGGACAACAGTGGGAGCCGGTGTGGTGGGTAAGAGCCTGGGACTGGGACTCAGGTGGTCTGGGTTGAGGTTCCTGCTCGCCACAGAGCCAGCTGGGTGGCTTGGGGCCAGTCACAGGCTCTCAGCCCAACCAACCTCACAGGGTTGTTGCTGTGGGGATAAAATTGAGAGCAGGAGGAGGAGATGGTTGTAAGCCACTGAGTTCGTAAGAAATAAGCCAGATAAAAATCAAATAAGCCATTGAGTTCATAAGAAATAAGTCCGATAGAAATCAAATAAGCCACTGAGTTCAGGAGAAATAAGCCAGATAGAAAGCAAATAAGCCACTGAGTTCAGGAGAAATAAGCCAGATAGAAATCAAATCAATAAATAAATCAACAAATAAATAATAAGGTTGTGCCTGAACAGACAAGCAGGGGGTGGGGGGGATGTGCAGTGAGTCTCCACAAGAAACAAGGCAAGTGGAACGAAGAGGACACCCTCTTTCTTCACACTGGTGGAAAAGGATGGCTGAATGTCCAAAATGTCGTATCTCTCATAATAAGTTTCTGTGACCTGCTGACATGACCATCTTCCCTGTTCAAAACTGCCTTTGAATCTTCAGTGCTGCATAAAAACTGAATGAAGAGATATTTACTCATTCTCAGAACAACTTTAATTTCTTGCTCCTCTGAAGAGGTTTCACATTATGGCTAGCGTTGCTTGTCTCTCTCCTGCCTTCTCAATCTTGCCTTCTGGCTGCAGGGTGACTGAAGAAAGCCATCCACCCAGCAAACAAGTCAAACCCCTGTTCAGGCATTTTCGGCGCATAGATTCATGTCTCCAGACGCGGGTTGCTTTCCGTGGGTCAGATGAAAGTGAGTATCGGGAATGACTTGGTGATGGTATTCTGTTTGAATTGTCTTGAAAAATTGAATAAGTGAAAGGGTTTTAAAAATCTAATTCCACCCACAAATGCTTATCTTTAAACTGATAAAAACATGTGAATGTATGGAGCCTCCTTATGTTATATAACCCACATTTTTTAACCATGGCTCTCCAGTCCTTCAGTCACGGGTCTTCCCCAGCCCTCACTGAAGATTCAAGAGAGTGGATTTGGTGCCCCATTGTATGGAATGCATGATCCCTTCAGCCACACTCCTACACAAGGGATAATGGGAGCTGGACTCCACGGAAGTGAATGAGTTTAATTATTAAGAACTTACAAAAGTATTGAGGGTTCTCAAAGAGTAAAATGGGTAATGTACAAACTTTTCCAGATTTTGTAATTATTGAGTGATGTGAATTTATTATATCTGAGCTCTGCACATGCTCAGAGATACTAAAAACTATGGCTAATCTTTAGAGATCTCAACTTCATCTCTGGACCTAACTGCATATATGCAAGCGTGTTTGGCAAGCTGATGCTTTGCATTACTACCTTGAAATTCAGCCATACACACTTTAAGATCTGTGTCCTTGGAACCAAATTCCCAAAGAGAGATGTTAATTTGTTCAAACATCAGGTTGATTCAGGCTAGATATCGGGAAATGTCCTAACTGTCAGAGCAGTATGACAGTGGAACCAGTTGCCTAGGGAGGTGGTGGGCTCTCCCACACTAGGGGCATTTAAGATGAAACTGGATAATTACCTGAGTAGGTTGGTGTAACTTGGTATCCTACACTAGCAGGGGGTTGAGCCAGATGGCCTTCTTGGCCCCTTCCAACTCTGCTTTCTATGATTCTATGATTTCATTTGAGCTTCAGGACCAAAATAATTCATTATTAGTCAACTATTTAATCAAGACTGATATCGACCTAGCTGCAAGGATTTGGAGCAGATAACTGCATGGCTGTCAAAAGCCGATTTGAATACAAAGATCTTATACTGTGTTCATAATACGTGCAGGTTGGCAAGTGCCCAGGTAAACAGAATTTCAAAGCTGAAGGGCAGCCACTGAGAATGCTTCTTTGTGTGCTTTTGTAGACTTGATTCAATGAATGGCACATTCCTCATTCTTCTTCTGAGGACGTTGGGCTGGAGATGGTTGCTTAGAAATGCTGCTTCTAAGTTGTTCATAAGTTACCCCTAACAATCAGGTTTGGTCTTGGACGGCATTAATGAGACCCTGCACTGGTATTCTGTACTCTCAACAACCCATGGGCTGCAGTTTTTGTACCTGCTGAAGCCTCTAAACTATCTTCAAGGGCAGCTGTACTTAAAGCACCTCATGGTGGTCTAGCCTCAGAGTTCCAGTGATGCCTTCCCACCACATCGAGCTGATAGAAAGTTCCCGTGTCCACTGCCACAGTCACCATCTCCAGGCAGAGTGATGAGTCTAGGAAGGCTGTGGGGAGGAGTGGCCGGAGGGGACTGCATTCCATCAGTGTTGGGAACCTTCATCCCCTCCCTGTTCCAGGATCATTAGGGCTCTGGTCTTTTCTGAATCTTGTTGGCTCACCTGCATCCAGTCCCCAACCATAGCCAAAGACTGGGAAACATGAGTAGCAGTAAAACCATAATTGCTGGTCCCTGCTAGCCACAATTCTAGCCTTTGGACTCTGTCTTTTTCCAGTCTTCTGCCGTGTCTACATGCCCGACCACTCCTATGTCACCATCCGCAGCCGCCTTTCGGCTTCTGTGCAGGACATCCTCACCTCAGTGACTGAGAAGCTCCAGTATTCTGATGAACAGCCCACACGAGAGGAGGCACTCATCCTGGTGGCAGTAGCATCATCAGGCGGTAACCATCCTTTGGGAGCTGTGCTGGGGTCAGAGGAACAGTGGCAGCTGTCTGCAAAACCAGAGGGGGAAAGTGCCACTGTTTTCTCCCAGGATATTGACGGTGAAGCCAGCAGGGCTGGAGTGGGAGCAGAGGCAATCTTTGTTGCTCCATCATCTCTGTTTACTGCTTTTCACTAGTTGAGCTTTCAGTCTATCTAGGAAGGATGTTTCCAAAGGGGAGAGAAGGTGGCTGAAGAAGGCGCTGGATTTCTTCAGCTTGGCCTCTCTGGTCTTCCCTTGCCATTCACCTTTTCTTCTCAGAGGTTGCTTTTCCTCCCTTGCAGAAGCAGCTGGTTTGGTTCTCTCCAGACTAGGGGGCAGGGAGGGGGTCATTCTCCAACTATACTTTCTAAGGTCAGAGCATAGTCTCTGACCGTGGAAGGGATTGTACAAGCTATCCAATTGCCCCTGGGACACTCGGTCAGGAACCACAGAATTGCTCTCTAAATATTATTAAAAGGAGAGAGAAAAGAGCAGCTAGTTAGTAGCAGTGTGATCATTTAGTGTAAACATGGTGCTTGGATTGCCACCTTTTTCATTGAACATTTGCCTTTAGCAGCAGCCTGGCACACCGCCAAATAGCAAGTAGTGTTTTTGCTGGGTTTGAGATGAAACAACAACAACTAGAAACTTGGACGAAAACTTCACCTGCTAAATTCTCATGTGGCAGGTAGCTGTCAAAAATACAGAAGTGAGGCTAGTGGAAAAAGGGGTAATTCTGCCTAGTTCTGGCAAGGCTTTGCTAGGCTCAGTCATAAAAGGTCTGGATAAATGAATTCAGCAGGTAATGAAAGCTATGTAGAAGGTGGAGTAATCACAATATTGAATTACAGGAGCTTTCAGTAATGGAAGTTTAAATAACAAGGGGTTTCTGTGGCTTATTGTTCTGGTATCTACATTGTGGGATGGCGGGCTGGAGAGAGAAGGATTGCTGATTATAAGAATGGAAAGGCTGAAAAGTTAAACTCCAAAACTATCATAGCTCCAAAAGATCAACTCTAATTCTTCAGGATGTTTTGATAACATGATTTCTGGAATTTGTTCCCATGCAATCTAGCTTACCTTGTGCTGTGATCAGGTATACAGTAACTTCAGATGTCTCAAACAAGTGAATCAAGCTACATGCTGCAGCAGGAAGAGTGTGTGTGCTGGAGGGAAAAAATCCACCCAGCTCAGTCTGAACAGGAACCAAAATGCATCTGTCAACTTCCTTCAGTGAAAAAGTCATAAGATTGTGATGAGAAAAGCCCTGTGTCATCCCAGTTCAGTCAGTAACTTGTTCCTTTCGTCCTTAATCCCAGAAAAATCTGTGCTACAGCCCAATGAAGAGTGTGTTTTCACTACTCTGGGGATAAATAGCCACCTCTTTGCCTGCACTAAGGATACTTTTCCTTCTCTGGTGAGTATATACCTTTGCTTGTTGTCTTCTCTGCTGCTCTTGGGATGGCAGTGAGAAGGCCTGGCCTGGCCTTTTGTAATGCAGATGCAACAATCAGTTTTTTGGTATAATCCACAATGTTTCTTGCTGCAGTTATGTTTGCCCCAGTGATCAAAGTGTTGAAATTAAAAAAAGAGTTCTTTTTTCCCTGAGCTCTATAAATATTTATTTATCTATTTTTCGATTTATATCCTGCCTTTTTCCTACAAAGGGCTCAAGGCAGCTTACATCTCCTCCTCCATCTTATCCACACAACAACAACCCTGTGAGGTAGGCTGGACTGAGAGTCTGTGACTGGCCCAAAGTCACCCAGTTGGCTCCATGACTGAGCAGGGACTAGAACCCAGATCGTCTGAGTCCCAGTCCCATGCTCTTAACCACTATACCACAAAGTTGAAATATTTCCAACTTTGCTTCTTGGTTCTCACAAACACTGCTTCCATCTCTCCCAAATATGACCTTCTCTCCAGGTCCCTCTTCCAGATGAAATCCAGGTTTCCCCAGGTGATACAGAGATCCACCGGGTTGAAGCTGAGGATGTGGCCAATCACCTCACAGCCTTCCATTGGGAATTGTTTCGCTGTGTCCATGAGGTGAGGAAGTCTAATGCACCCAGTAGCTGGTGAGGAGTTCGACTAGCAACCTGATGTGGACATCTGAATCCCTTGTGGTTTAGCAAAGTATTGCAAAAGGTTCAGGAAGGATGTGAGTGGCCTTCAGGAGTGGTTGGTGGCTAGCCCAGATTATTATTATTGTTAATTTCTATACTGCCCCACAGCCAAAGTTCAGACAGGTGCCACTCTCTGAGCCCTGATTCAAAAAGAACCTAATAGATGGAATGTTAAACATTAGGTTAAGACCCTGAGTTGAACTCCTGCCCAGCCACAGTCAATCAAGAAAGACATGTGGTGTACATCATCTCAGGGTGCTTCCTGACAGAGTTTAGCCTTTACCCTTAAAGATATGCTAACGATAATTTAAAATACATAAATAAATTTATCTTAGTGCTTCTGGTCAAAAGCCATTATGCAGCTTTCCCATCTTTTACTCTTTAATGGATTTTTTTTTCTGTTAAGAAGAAAAAGACAGAAGCAGCAGTAGGAAAACGTGGAAGAGTTGCAGAAGGAAGATGATGTCCTCAGAATGAGGAGGGTGATGGTGTGATCAAAGCCTTATCTGGAAATACCTTTAAACTGGTAGGCCGGAAAGGCAGAACTATGTATTAGTGTGGCATAGAATAACTGCCCAAAGGAGCAGCCTCATGTTGCACTTGCCATCTGTAATTCAGTTTACTTTAAATTCTTATCTCATTATGTCTTGCATTGCATCACCCATGTGTCGCATATTTGGCTGCTGCTGACAAGGAAACACTCTTTATTATTCAGTTGAATACTCTTAATTCAGCTTGATTGAAACATATGCCATGGAGTTCAGGTAAATTGAACTATATGCAATGGAGGTAGATGAGGAAGTCAGCACAGGTCTTCTGTTTTTAGCCCCTTCATTCTGATAAGTGGTAGGCCTGTGTGCAGGATTATTCTGGGCATGCTGCTTCCTGTGGGCATGCTGAGTTTAACCAAGGGCCCATTCAGACACACATGCACTGAAATAAGGACTCGGCCGTGCTTAGATATTTGAATTAGCTCTCAGAAAGGAAGAGATGCTTGGGGAAGTTCTCTACACCTTTCCATAGTTATTCACTTCAGGAGGCAGGTGGTGGCTCACGTGACTGAACAATCTTTTACATCAAAGCAAAATAAAAATAAAAATCCCTGCATATTAGAAAAGTAGCATAACAAGGAAAGGACGAGGCTTAGACCTCTTCTCTCCAGCATCTAGTTTTCTGTGTGGAAAGGACTTTTAGTATGGAAGAAAAAATGGGGGCCCCTCACTCCTCTGCAGACTGAAGTAGTACAGATTTATGGTCTTCTCCATCCTTGTTATGTATGAAAACGACTAAGGGAAGAAGAGAACTAATGGAATGGATGTTGTGGCTGCTAGAGGAAGGCATTCCTGCTTTTGCTCCAGGCCTGGGGAAGAGGGACTGATGATGAACTCTTTTGCATCTTTGTTTGTAGCTAGAGTTTGTGGACTACGTGTTCCACGGAGAACGTGGCCGGCGGGAAACAGCCAACCTGGAGTTACTGCTGCAGCGTTGTAGTGAAGTTCAGCACTGGGTGGCCACGGAGGTGCTGCTCTGTGAGTCACTGGGGAAGCGGGCCCACCTTCTCAAGAAGTTCATCAAGGTTGCAGCCGTGTGAGTGCCACACTTCTTTCCATTGTGGGTCGGGGTGCACACATAAGAAGGGTTGGCCCTTGGTTACTCCTTAATGCAGGGATGAGCAGCAGTGGTTGGTTTGGGGACCAATTTCCAGTTCTTGGACTCCTCTTCCCAGGCCTGTTGTGTCTGCTTCTCTAGCAAAGGGGAGGGCAGGGGGAATCTGGAATTTGGCATCTAAATTTGGCAGCAAACTGCAGTGGGAACACAAATGGGCCATATGTAGCTTGAAAACTAAATCTGGAATTTTTGAATGTTTGTGACATTTTTGGCCTAATTTCAACAGCAGACCTCTGCTTTCTCCCCTCCCTCCCCCCCCCCACCTGAATTTCAGCTGTGTGTGGGACATAGGAGCTGCACATTGCCCATCCCTGGCTTAAAGACACGCGCCACTCTAGCAGCAACACTTGAACTCTGTCATCTGTAGCTTCTCTTCTTTTACAGAATTTGTCCTGCAGTGTTCACTAAGCTGCACATGTTATTATGCCAGTAATGGGACGGTATATAAAAGCTTTAAATAAATAAACGTAAATAAATAAAATTATATTTTGCTAGTTTGGAGGAACTTAAGGAGCAGGACCGGGTCTTACTCAGTTGCAGATCTGGCTTTCTGAGATTTCAGTGGAAACAATCCTACCTTAGTCATAGGCCCTTTTGCCTTCCTAAAAATGGGTGCTGGCATTTCAGGACGAATTGTGTATGCACTGCCACATACTGTGCTCTTCCCACATTCCTACAGAGTCACATCCTACCCCTGTCTCGGCCTTACGACTTAGTAGTCCTTCTCCAGTGGTGGGGAGGCAGGTGCTGTGCTGCAACTATTCTAAAACCTGAGAAGACAGGGTTGTGGAAGTTGTAGGAAAGGATGCTTTGTTGCTTGGTCTGGGCTGGCTCTCCATACAAGCAGAGACAAGTTTTTAAGTTGCTGCCACAGGCCCTGTATTGAATTTGCCACCAGAGACGGTGTGTGTTACCTGCATGGAGTTCCTTTTTCAAAACCCTCTAGTAACTTTGTGGTAAACGTTACTGGGTGTGCATCCCTTTGCTCGCTTAAATATTGGAACAAAGCTTTTCTGCATACATACACACAAACCATAGGGTCAGAAACTGAAATAATGAGGCTTGCAATCCCCTTTCCTCCTACGGCTTTAAAAACTGTGCAGCAGGCAGAGATCCAACATATGCAGCCTTTGCCAGTATGGAGATGCAGTGATGCAGAAAATTTCACTCGCTGAATTTCTGGCTATTATTATGGGTCCTCTGACAAGCTGTCAACTCTCCTCATAAACACTGTAGTAATTTGAACAGCAAATGAAAAAATGGAGCTGTCCTTTAAGTATCGATTCATTAAAAAAAAAAAGAAAGACACAGGAGCTGCTATCATTCACTTGCTGCCCCCCACATTGATTTTCAGTGAGAAAATAGTTGTTATCTAGCAGCATATTTTTCCCCATGCTTTGTGAATGTATTTCTGTTGAGGGCTGCTGAGGAGGTGAGATGGGTGGAGAATTATTGCCACCTTGTAGTAAGGATGAGGCTGGATTCCCTTTCCCTTTCCTCATTGGCTCCATAAAGAAGGCTATATTAGCATCTTCAGATTAGAACATTTTCTTGTAGCCAGGCTTTGAAAAGCATCTTCCCGAAATCGGAGCCAATGCCAATTAAGGGGCTGCTTTTAGGCAGGCCATTTATCTTGAAACTGCCATCCTTTGTTCATCTATTTGTTGTCCCCTTGCCTTATTTAAGGCCTAATATTTTTATTTAAGGCCTAATATTTAAGACCATATTTTTATTTTGATTTAAGGCCTAATATTTAAGGCCTAATATTGTTATTTGTTTATTTCAAATGCAACTGTAGTGCTAGCATGTCAAAGACAATTACAAAAAGCAATTGTCCCTTTAATTAGAAGGTTCCTTCTCTGGGAAGAATACCGAATTGTTTCCTATCCAGCACAGCCTGCATTACTAATTTTTCTTTAACACCAGCTCCTCTTCCCTATGTAAGTTGATGAGTTACTAGATTCCACACATTGTAATTTCTCCTTTCATTTCTTGTATACTACAACATTGCATTGTAGTAAAGGCAGGGACAAATGTGCGAAAAATTAATATAGTCATGTGTATGGTGAAAAGGAACTGACTAACTAGAAAGCAATTAAAGTCAGAAGCTGCAAAAAGAAGCTTCCAATTATAGTTATAGCAGATCTTTGCTGAGCAGGCTGTAATTTATGTACAAATATTATACCAAGGATCTTGACCATGGAGATGAGGTTTACCATGTTATATTAAGTCCAGTCCCACACAAAGCCATTGCTTTCATTCTTGTTCAGGCTGATTACAGAAAAATGATGCTAATAAGTTGTAGCCTGGAAGCAACTTGCATTTAAGACATAAATATAAAGGAGAATTGGTCAAACTGCTTATAAGGAAGGCTATGCTGGGACTTGATTGGGCAGATTACTATATACTTGCATATATTGGTCTTGCAGAGTTGTAATCTTTTATCAGATACAAGTCCTTGTACTCCTTTTTCTCTCTTTCCATCTTTGCTATGAGTACATTCAGCCACTGGTAGTTCCTCTCTGCCAGCATGCTCAGTTTGGCTCTCTCAGCACTAACGGCAAGTGAAGTCAAAGACTTGTCACCCAGGCTGCCTTTGATAATCCATGGCAGCTGTTTTACTGTTTGGGCTTTCTTCTCACACACACATTTGGGGCATACTGTGGCAGAAAGGCTTGCAGGGCTAGAAGGAGAGATCGGGCATTATCATGATGTTTTCTTGGAAGTGCATTGGGGGAGATGCTCGACCTCAAATACTACTAAGCAGCAATGTTCCAGCTAGAGTGTGGGCAAAGGGGCCCTAACCTCTGACCTTTTGTGGTGGCCCCTTAGTTGCAGAGAGGGTCACAATTGGGCTAAATTTGGTAGAAGGCAGGAGCTGCAGCTTGTGGATTTCATGAAGGACACTGCTGCCATTTTCCTCCCTAGTTTATTACTGCTCTAAATTGAGTTATTTCTTTAGTCTCAAAAGAATGTTAGGTGTTCTACACTGAACACACGAGTGAAAAGGGCTCACAAACCCCCATCAACAACTGGTTTTCAAATGTAGTCTTTCAAAGATAAAAGGACCTTCTAGATTGACAACTGTAGGCCAAGTACAATGGTCAGACAGTAGGGTTGCAATTTGGTATTTTTCCTAGCAGACTTGCTTGACTTTTAGAGTAGAAATCCACTAACTGTGTTGGGGAAAAGCTGCTCCTTCAGCCCACAGTTGAAGGACCCAAAGTGGTGAAATCAATTGATGCTTTTCAAGTTTGATCTTTCTGCTGCCTTAGTTCTTAGCTATCTCCACCTCACTTTTTTCCCTCTTCACAGATGTAAACAGAACCAGGATATGTTAACATTCTATGCTGTGGTTATAGGGCTGAACAACGCACCTGTCAGCCGTTTGCGTCTCACCTGGGAGGTAAGAAGAGAAGCAGGGAGTCTGATTTATTTGTATAGGCATGTGAACACTGGTTGTGTGTGTAATTTACCCACCAAAGTTCTGCACCTTAGCTTTTCAGTTGTATAATCAGAGGCTTTATTTTGACATTGTATTGTACCAGTTGAGCCAATAATAGACCTTGAGGCAGCTAACAAAAACAAAACAAACTTAATACAATGCACAGCTTAGATAATACTGCAAGGACAAAACCAGTTCTGCAAAAAAAGACCAGAGAAGCCCTGTCATAACAATTCCTATTCTCAAGAACCAGTAAAATGAGCTTCTCTGGGTAGGAAGGTTCAGGAAGAAGTTCTGCTCTTCATCACTTGTGGAACATGGAACAGGACCATCTCAGAAAATAAGTTCAAGCACCAGGAATGATATTCCATTGAATTAGTGGGATTGCTTCTGAACAAATGTTTTAAGAATCAGATTCCAAGCCAGACACATTCAGCATATCTGTATAACAACTTGAATTTTGAATAGCTTCCACTCCCCCTGTGCTAACCTTTTGAGCTTGTACTTTTTAAATAATTTGGCCAAAAGGTATTAAAAAATAATTACGGGAGGTAAAAGGTTTGTCTTGGTAGTCTTATGGACTAGAAACATCCCTCTTTTTAAAACATGAGAAGTTGAGACCCAGACACTGGAACAGTGTGGCAGGATTTAACAGTGTACTGCTAAGGAACAAGTGATCTATATAGAAAGAGGAAACATGGAGATATCAGGAGTGGTGGGGTGATATCTCAGACCTCTTTGGAAAATTTGCTTGGAGTCTGGTTTCTGAGCATAAATGCATCTTTTGTAATTATTGAAAGCATTTTTAACCTGCTATTCAGTTGAAAATCAAGGACCAGCCCAGACATCAGTCAAAGCGAAATGGCCACCTCAGGCAGCTGATTTTGGGCATGATGACAGGGAAACCCATTGCTATATATTGCATTTATTATTATTGTGTTTTATCGCCAGGGATGGGGATAAACACTTAAGCCAGCCTTGGGTGCTGTACACCTTGATAAGGGAGTGGAGAAGAGTGGGGATGTGGTGTGTTTTGCTGCTCTGCCTCGGGCAAAGCAGTGTTGAGGCAGCTCTGCCAGCAAGGCTCCCGGAGTGGCATACTTTGGGTGCATAATAATTGAGGCAGCAAAAATAGGCTGTTTAAAGAAGTGGCAGTGATGATAATTTGCTGCTGCTTCCTCTTCTGCTCACAGAGCAGTTGGTTCTAATGGCTTCTGAGAGGCGAGGAGGGTCCCTGGCCCAGGCAGCAAAGCCAAGCCAGCGGAAGAGGCTTGGAGACATGGCTGCACTGTGCTTGTCCTCTCCTGTTCACAGGGCAGTGGGGAATGGGGAGGGGAGGGGAGGGGAGGGGGCCCATGTCCCTCCCAGTCTCAGTATTTCCCCTTATTCAACCCAGTTTGCTTCCACACATCATTCTGAGATGGCCACCCCTGTGCACTCCTGTTTTCGAAGAATCCAGATGATGCCTTTGACAAATGGTGGCTTTCCAGTGTTGCCTTTCTGTCTTTTTCCAGATCTGATTTGTGGTAACATTTTTTAGAATGATACCCTAATAATAGAACACTTTTTCTAAGAGGTTGACCTGTACCAACACTTGAAGCAATAGGCAAAAAATATTTTTAATTACCTAGGCATTTTGACTTATGCTAATTTAGGATTTTAATTGCTGTATTGTCTGTTTTTTATTTTGCTGGCTTTTATATTATTCTTTTCGCTTGAATACCTTGCTGAAATTTAATACAATGAAGGATGATATTATATACATGTTCTAAATAATTTTAAAAATGCAGCAGCAGCAGCTTGTCCAGTATTCACAGACAAAGCCCTGTTGAGATTTTCACAGGGTGTCTTTTTTTTTTTTTTAAAGGTACTCTACACAGCTTAAACCTGGTTAATTGCATAGTGTTGAGCTTGGTTAGGCAATTATGGATGATTAGCCTCCTAATTGCCCTTTGTATAGCTTCTCTTACAGCACAAGCCTATGCATGTAAGAAAGCCTCAGTGTGCTAAATGGGCCCTTACTAACAGGTAAACATGTAAGGGATTGTAGCCTTAACTAATACTCACTTTCCATTTCTCTTTCCATGGCTAAGTAGGGGTTTAAATTATATCTTGCCTCCTATTTTAATGTTGCTTCATAAAAAAAGAAAAAAATAATGGGAGGAAATTGACAATTAAAAGTTCTTTTCACAAGACAATAAGAGGCAATTAAGAGAGCCTATTCATCAGTAAATTTTTAGCCATGCTCAACAGGAAACAATAAAACTGGCTGAACCACAAACAAAAGCTTTTAATTAGTGTTGGAAGGGATCTTTGCTGAATGAAGCTTACTTTTAAGTAAACTTTATAGAAGGATCTTGGTCATGGTGAAGGGCATTGCTGGGTAAAAAGTTCTATGGAACCACTATTTGAATTCCACCTAGCCACCTGGTGAGAATTGTAGAGAAGCAAAGCTTCACTGGTACCAAGAAGCTTTAGTTCTGCTTTTTGTACATCAGTTTAAAAAATGAGATTCTTAGCATGCATGGCTAGACAAGTAACAAGATGTTCCTATGTGAAACGCTCACAGTTCTGTTGATGTACATTTGTTAGATTGCTTTTCCAGAACAACTGTGTTGCATTTGTTCTCTCTCTCCCTCTCTGTGACACACATGCACAAATATACTCTCTCTCTCCTTCTCTCTTATATCCACCCATATTCACTCTGTTTCAAGTCCTGTTTCAATAGCCATCTTTCCTGTTTACCAGGAGTTGTGGGCACACATACTTTATGAAAGCCTTTTTCATTTGTTGTTCTCCTCCCTATAATTTTGCATAATCTCGACTGTTAAACTGGGTCATCACTGTACAGGGAGATAAACAAGAAACATCTAGACTTCTGGAAGCAACGTTATTCTCTGGTGAGATGGTTCCAACAATGGATATAAAGCAGGATCTCAACACATGGTGTTTGATACGTCTAGTGGGTGCATCCTCCAGTTAGCTGGATATGGGTGTGGAGACCCCCCATTCCTTGTCTCAAACATAGCCCAAGGCAGCCGCTTAACTTTTGTTCATGCTTCGAAGTGCTGTTTTTTTTTCCTTTTCCAGCCTAATTTTAAGTTGGCTTACATAAAATGCTTTGCCTTTAAGTCCTCAGTGGTTTTGGCCTACTCTGCCTCAGGAGATAGATATCTTCTCCCAAACAAACCTGCTTGTGGTTGAAGATCTGCTAATTAGGATCTTCTTTTGATATGTTAGGTTCATCAATATTCAAGACCAGGGTGTTGTTACACATTTGTACTATCCATAATCAGGTGCAGTCACTCTAAATTTGCCATGTCAAGTGAAGATAATCTTGTTTTGCCAGGTTTTCCACTCTTCTGGATTAAAAGGTGCTTCCAGTTACTATGGCTGCTGCTGAGCTAAGCTCTTAGGGTACAGGCCAACTTAATCTCAGCACTTTGAGGTCTCCTTGATTTCTGTAGGAGACTTAAACTCGTTCTTTTCCATGGAGTTCTACAGGACTTGAAATTAAACTTTTGGCTGGGGAATGTTACATTTATATCCTGCTTTTCCTCCAAGGAACCTAAAGTAGCATACACAACCTGCCTCCTCACTGTTTTAGTCTCACACACCCCTTTGAGGTAGGTTAGGCTGACAGTCAGGGAACTGCTTCACATAATCAAAACCATCTACCCTAAGATGTTTATGATATGGTGAGTTCCAGTTCAGGTTGGGTGGGATTTGCACATTCAGCATTCAGCCACAGTTTGTCATGTTGTGTAAACCCAGGGGCTGTTGGTTTTTGGATGGTTAAACAACCCTGACAAAGGTCATGTTCTGTTGCTGGGTTCTGTGAGACTTGTTAATCTTTGGGTAACTCACAGCTCCTGGATCTACATTACATCACAAACCACAGCCAGGTGTTGATTGTGCAAATCCCACTAGGGATCAGCCACAGCCCACTGTGGTTTAAGCAACCCCCAGGTTGTTTTATATCTGAATACTGAATGATTTTGGGAACAAACTACTGGGAAAGCCATCATGTGAGTACATTGGTTGAGGTGTTAGATAAATAGTGCTAGTGTTCATGGCTCTTGATCAGATCTAGCAAGGCAGTTCTTATGTTCTTCTGGATTCAGCTCACATTTGTTTTGCTATTGTGCCGTGTTGTAAAAAAAACAGCACAGATTTTTGTGAGCCATTGACTGCTTTTTTTTAAAGTGGAGAGGCAGCCTGTAAATTTAAAGCATGCTTTTAAATTTAATAATAGTTCAACAATTCAGGATGGAAGAGTCCTGGGTTTCCTTTGTGATGAAATGAACCTGCCACACCCTTGGGTGTTGAGGGCACTGCCTGTTGTTAGGCAAATAATTGCATAAGAAACAAACAGTGTGGTAGAGTTACCTAACACCAACACCTTGGCTGACTCATTGCACAAGGCAAATCCCCTTTGGCATAATTGGTTGGGTTGGTTCATCCATCCCAAAATGAGCCAAGAGGTTACCATAGGGCAGTAGGAGATGCTTTCCCATCACATAAGCAACTTATTCTCTTATATATCCTGCTGGGATAGATGAGGGGGTAGACAATATACATTGAAGTCTTCAAGCTTATTATCTTGGTTAAGGCCTGCTGACACCATAGCTGACTACCTAGTTCTAAACCCTGGAGTGCCTTGGATTTCTGGTGACAGAACTGGAATTTTGGACATGAGCCAGAGTTGAACCCTGAAGTGCAGCAGGCAGAAGGCACCGTGCTGTTGACCAGCAGAGACAGATGGCCAGGCTCCTAGTATTTCTATCACATTATCCAGTCTGGAGGCTTCATGTTGCCTGCCAGTTGGAGGGACCAATGTTGTGCTTCTCTGTTCCCTTCTAGTTTGAGAGGCTACATTCCAGCCTCAGGACCAGAAGTCAGTTGTTTCAAGCCCTGGAGCACCAGATGGCTCTGAAATCAACCCTGCCAAACAGGCTGTTTTTAATGGAAGGCCATTTTAATTAAAATTAATATTAAGTCATCAAAGTAATTGGTAGTATGTAGTTCTATCACATGTGACAAATGCATATGCAACTGTGTGCATATAGTGCAACATGAACTTATACATTTGTTTTATGTGGTTCAACTGCACGTGTGATTTATACTATTTCCTACAGAGTGATTCTTGTGTTGTTTCAAAGAAAACTATAGAAAAGAATCCTATAAATGTGTGTAGAGTTTTTTAAGGATATGCATTGCAATGCTGTATACAAGTATTATGAAGATCAATCAAATTTGCTTCCATTTAAGTATGCACATGCTTATGGCCACAAACCATAATCCTTTACATGTTTATGCAGAGGAAACACTGTGTTCAATTCCACATACTCACATGTAAGCGCACGTAAGATCAGGACATCGGTTATTGAACTGGATAGTGGAAATAGTACCAGGAACTCTTCTTATATTACATACTTCTAAATGTCCCGCCAAATATTGGTTGACCTCCAAATGTTGACTAGGATTGAAACCAATCCTAGGGAACTAATTGGGGAAGTTTTACAAGGGAATCCAAGGGAAACCTTGGAGAGCCAGTGTGGTGTAGTGGTTAGGAGCATGGGACTGGGACTCAGACGATCTGGGTTCTAGTCCCTGCTCAGCCATGGAGCCAACTGGGTGACTTTGGGCCAGTCACAGACTCTCAGCCCAACCTACCTCATAGGGTTGTTGTTGTGGGGATAAGATGGAGGAGGAGATGTAAGCTGCCTTGAGTCCTTTGTAGGAAAAAGACAGGATATAAATCGAAAAATAAATAAATAAATAAATAAACCAATTGGGGAAGTTGTGCAAATGTAATGGTAGCCCAGCCAGCTTGGTGAGGGGCATGAAAGATTGCCTGCAAAGGATAGAATAGTAAGTAGAGAGGTGTCAGGAGAAAGTGGGGCAGAATTCTTTATGCCCTTGGTTTTTTCTCTACCACATGGTTGCTTCCCCTGCTGATTTTCCCCTTGCTGAGGTTCAGATGAATGTTCTCCCTTACCCCTAGTGCTTAGAATTTTACATGGGATATGTTGAGTTTCAGAATGCATCTTAAATACAATTCTGTGACATTGGGCATAAGTTTGAAGTTTTAATTTGGTTTGGTTTTGTACAGTACATCTGGCTGCCCAGTTAAAATTATAAACGGATTATGAACTAGGGCACTTGTGACACTCATTATGCATTTTCTTCATGCAGAAGTAGTTTTTCTTTGGTCATGGCAGTGGGAAGATAAAATGGTAGAAGGCATGCTTTCCTTCTCCATATATTGTAGCCTGCTCAGATTATGTTCTGCAAAATGTAAAAGATACACACCTATGTTTTGTGGCATACACAGCAGCTCCCTTGCCTGTACAGATTATCTCACACATAATAGAATGGACAACTTTGGTTTGGTTTTCTATTCCATTCTTGTTATTTTGGAACTTTTTTCTCTGAATATATTTTGTTTGTTTGTTTTCCAGAAGCTTCCAGGAAAATTTAAGAACCTGTTTCGGAAATTCGAGAACCTAACTGTAAGTTCTGTTAGAAATAACTTAGTGTAAAGTGGTGATTAAGAACATGAGACACAGGTCCTGGCACATGAATCATTTATCTTGCTGCCACCCTGCCTCATTCCCAGAGAGTTAGGAGGTTTTCATGAAGGTCTGCCTCTTGCAGCTCTCCATGATTTTCCTATCAATTCTTCTGTCTTTTTGCTTTCCATAAAAAAAGAGAGAAGAAAAAAAGGGAGAAAGAAAGAAGGGGAAAAGAGATAAATAGTGCCATAATTCCTTCTGATAGTTATTACCCTGCCTAGAAGCACCCATGGGTTAGAAAGTTCCCAGTGCAAATATAATCTCAGCCATGAATTCCCCCTTTATCTATGGACAAGCCAGAGACCTGATTCCTATATAACAGTGGTAAATCTTGGGTTGATTAACCCACAGTTTGTTGCAGCATGTGCTTACCACATTTTACAGTCATTTTGCATAGGCAACTGACTGCAGAATGTGGCAAGCACATGACGGGGCTTGTCTTTTTCTCTCAGTTTAAACCATTTCTAAGGGTATTTTTAGATTCCTTCTAGCACTACCGGTCCAAAAACGTTGTGCAATGATTCCATCTTTTTCTCCTTAATGTACTTTTTGTGGCAAGAAAAAAGATAAAAGAATCAGTGGGAAAACCATGGAAGATTGCAAGTGGAAGAGGACATCTGTACCCCCTGCAATGTTATGTGAATAGGGCAGGATGATGGCACAATAAAAGGTTCATCAAGAAGAACCCTAAATTACAGGGCTTGGTAACAATCACTGAGATAATGAATGTGTAGCATTTTTAGCAGATCGGAAATATACAGTGCAAACATGTAAACAAGTGACTTATTATTCTTTTCATCATGAACTCTAATCCAAAGTGGGGCACAACAAATGAAATTCATGGGTGGGAAATTACTACTTTTCCTTATCCTGCCCCCACCAATCAGGATGAAACATGGATCTTTTGCCCTTCAGTGAACTCAGTTTTGGGTGTGAAACGTTGCACCAACCTTCCTAATGCAATGGCTTCCAAGCAGTGTTCAAGGGAAACCTGGAGCTCCATGGAAGCTCGCTGGGGTTCTTAGTGAGAAGCCTGCTAGAGGTGGGCAGCTTCCCTGAAGGAGAGGCCCATACCATTTGATCTTCCCTTGCAAATGTGCAACCACATGTGGGATACAATTGGGTAAGTTCTAGCTTGCAACCTAGAATGAACAAGGCCCAACAAGCCTAGCCAGTGCCTGAATGTGAGCCTAGAGCATTACTCAGAATCCCCTGCAACATGTTTCAATTACTTCTCAGACAAATTGGTGTGAAGAGGATTCTCTGATGGTAGAAAGTTTTGCAAACTACTGCATGGATAAAGAAACGACTAAATGAATAGGAAATTGGGGTGGGGAATACATTTTCCATCCTAAGGGTTACAGATAAAACTAAGCCTTAACTTTTCCCTCCTCCTTTTGTTTCCTGCCCTTTAGCTTGAAAGAATCCTTGTGGTTTCTATCCCTATTCCATGATGGCAGGGATAACTTTGAACAGTCTAAACCCTATCAGGTTTTCTTCATTTTTAACAAGTTAAAACACATCTTATCTTTTCATACATCTGCTTGCTTGACCGTGTTAGGGGTTTTTCTAGTATTATGACTCCAACCATCCTTTGGCAACAAAAGTTAGTTCTTAATCTTCCTGTGGTCCAGAAGCAATGGTGCCTTTTTTCTTTTGCACTGCAGGATCCCTGCAGGAACCATAAAAGCTACAGAGAAATCCTGTCTAGGATGAAGCCCCCTATTATTCCCTTTGTGCCTCTCATCCTAAAAGGTGAGTGAGACTGCTGTGGCCCGGGCTCTTGCTCTTCTTGAACTGCAGAGTGTCAGAAGCTGTCTTGGCTGTCCTAATCTGGGTTTAATGGTAAACTAAGAACATCTGAAGTAATGACACCTCCCTCTTAAAGACATTTCCCATCGTTTTGGCATACTCCAGAGCAGCAATACCCAAATGAGTGTCCTGTGGACATGTTGGGCCACAACACCAGTCATCCCAAGCCAGCAGCAGGCCTGAGACCACGCAGTCCAACACATCTGGGAAATATCCAATTGGGAAAGGCCAAAGAAATAGAATCCAGACTGGATCCAGATGAAGGGATCTGATTTCTAAGATCTGAGGTTACCAGTGGGTTAGGGAGCAAGTTTGGCTCACCTTTTGAAGGAACAAGCAGTGCATCCTTTACATTTTACTATACACAGATTATCAGGGATATTGTTTTGAAGTGCACAAAACAAAGCTGAATACTGGGGGGCACAGCCCCCACCGAATATGATCCTGGGGTGGGCTCATACATACATGTACATGCACACAGACATATGTGCACAACTTTCCCACCTGCCTCACTTTGTCCTTGTAGTATATAGGCGCTCCTCACACATTTAGTATTTATTAATTCTATTTTTCTCCTATTTGGTTTTAATTCTGTTAATTTATTTACTGATTTTATTGTTATTCGTCTTTGTAGCAAATGTTATATTGTGTTTGTATTGTTTTATGTTGTTGGATTTTAATATGTTATAAGCTGCCCAGAGAGCCTATGGCTAGTGGGGCGGCATATGCATTGAATAAATAAATAGAATAAATAAATAAATGTACACAGCCCACATCATAATAAGATTTATTTTGGTTGTAATAGTAAGAATTAAAAGAAGTGTCTCCTTATTCCTGTCATTTAATTACCAGAATCTATCCCAAGCACCTAAGAGCAGGAAGGTTGAGTTCCCGGCCAGGGTTATAACCAGGCATCTTTAAAAATTAGAAAGTAACTATTGTGAGGCTTCCAGTCCTTTCTCTCCTCACTTTTCCCCTTCTTTTTTTTTGTGCTTACTCTTTCAGATCTGACATTTTTGCATGAAGCTAGCAAAACCTTGGTGGATGGATTGGTCAATGTAGAGAAACTGGTAAGAAAATACCTCTTTCCACCCCATCTTGTTCCTCCTCCTTTGCATTTGCTGTCTTTGGTAGCTACCATAACATTTTTATTTCCATAATCTTTAGAATGGTAATATCAGCTCTATAGAACTGGGATGAACCCAAAGGCTATCTAGTTCAGTCTAGTACATGTAGCAAGGCAATACTCCATAAAGTGGAAAGTTGGGATGCTAAATAATACAGCAGGAGTGTAAAACATCTGGCCAATTTTAAAAAGTGCTACATTAATTATGATGATGGCAAAGTTAGAGGTGGGAGTAAGCAGGAAGCAAGGCTAATCTGTCTACTGCAGAACTGAGACACTTGCCCCAGGCAGATGCTCCTGAAAGCAGCTCCTGCCATTTTGCCAGGGAATGGAGCATAAAGTTACCCACAGGAAGGAGATGCTGCCCCTTGCTTAAGACTTCTTTACCTCCCTGATGAAGATGAGGATGTGGAATGGTACTGCCACTTTGTTAATGGGAGAAAAAGGTGCATTTATACAGTATCAATTTTTGTTTTCAGTTGGTGTCAGATTCACTGCTGGGTATTTCCCACCACCAGCAGCAAAACAATGGCCAAAATGGAATTAATTTTAAAGGTTGTATTTTGTGCATTGGACTGAAAATTAAGTCTAAATTAAAACAAAACATTACTGTGTTTTTTTCAGACCAGGGTACTTCTGGATGAGCTTTTTATCATTTTATTGATTGAAAGCCTCACCTGTGGCTTTTTACAAGAAGTCTAGATCTATTTTATTTCTTGAGGAATTATCTATTTTATTTATCTATTGTTCCTGAAGGAACCTGAGGCAGCTTAAGCCTCCTCCTCTTGATTTTATCCTCACAGCAACCTGTGAGGTAGGTTAAGCTGAGAGACAGTGATTGGCCTAAAGTAACCTTGTGAGTTTCATGACCAAGCAAGTCTTAGAACTCGCATCTCAGTCCCGGAAACAGTACAGCACACTAAATGAGTTACTCCTGTAACTCTCCTGTGTTTTCCCTAGGCCCTGTGTGTTTTCCCTTTGCTTACCAGGAAAAAAAGTTAAATGGGAAAAGATGGAATGGCTGCATGAAACCTTTTAACCATTAGCACTAGGAGCCCCCCATTTGGGAGGACTGCATGTCTAGAAGGTTTCTCTGCTGCCTTAGAGGAGAGGTTCTTCTGGTGTGCAGGGTTCAGCAAGGAAGCCCACCTCATTTACTTTGGGACCCGATGCAGATGAATGGGCAACCTGCAGCAGTTACTTGATGCAGTCACTTCAAAAAGGGGATATAGGTGTGAGGAAAAGGGTGTTACAACAAGGATCGCTTGTGATTTCTGCACCCCCATCACCCACCCACCCACACAAAGACACACTGTTCTATGTTGTTGAACGTGGTGTTCATTTACGCTGCAGTAGTCTTTCTTGCACCCATGTAGAAGCAAAGAAGGTTTTGGTTTCTCTAATTCAAGCAGACATCTGTAATATGCAATCAGCAGTTCAAAATGAACATCACTAACTGAAATGGTAGGCTATGTGTACCATGGTGTCTTGACTACACATATATGGCATGCATGTATGCTTGACAAAATGTGATTCCCCTGGGGTTTAACTGGGAGAGAAGGCAGTTAAAATGTACACAAAGGCCCTCTTAAAATTCTCTACTTAATTTGTGGCCACATAAATAACTAGGTGCAGTGGGGAACACATATATTTTCACCAAATTGCATCAGGGGAGGGAAAATCTTAAACAGTTTCTTAAGGGTGGGGTTCACCTTTAGCAGAGACAGTCCTATAGCGTCTTTCTTTTTTTCCAAAGGCTTGTATTGGTGGTTTTTTGCAGCCACTGCAACTGTGTTGGCAGCTTGGCCAGCATTTTGCATCCTTCACCTTGTGGGATGGGGTTGGAGGTAATAGGGACACAAGAAATTGGTGGAGAATACTTGGAGAGAAAATTCTTTTCTCTAGGGGGCTAGGTGAGAAGAAAAGGAAACAAAAACAATGCCACCAACTCACACTTCATACTACATTTGGAAAGCATAACCTAATTCTAAAACAGGGATAAAATAGGGCAGTAGATTACCTGGAAAAGATCCTTGCAAAGAGGAATTGCCCCTTATACATAGGGACCATTGGAGAATAGGGAGTCTGAGCGTGCAGGTGGATCTTTGTGGTCAATGGCTTGAGCAGCAGCAACAGGCAGATATCTTTATTGACCAGACAAGAGCAGAAGTGGACACCTTGTAAAGATGCCACACCAGTCCTGTGCCAGTCCAGAGGCTCCATGCAGCCTGCAATTTGCAAGGGTTAACATGGCACACCCTTGTTCCTTCAGCATCTGAAGATTGGTCATGATTTTGGGAGATCTGTGGCCACATCTCTGGTTTCTTATATCCCCTAATGCTGTTCTGGTTTCTTAGTAAGAGCAGCATTAGGGGATCTAACACACTGGGAGAAGGGTTTTAAAAACCCTGACTTTGTGCCATAAGGAAAAACTGATTCAGAAGTCTGAACCTGCTTGTTTTTATTCTTCTTATTCTTGCTTCTTAGCCGATCCCTGCAACCCTTTGCTGTTCATGTCAGGGGAGGGTATGGAGATCTGCAAAGAGCCATCCCTGTTGTGAGACTGGGGAGTAGCTAGAACGGTTAGCGTTAGCATCAAGCATCACCGGGCAAATGCAGTGTGACTTTGTGAGGGTGTGAATGCTCAGGTGGTCCTTCCGCAGCCCCCCAATCTCCCCTCCCCATCCTCCCCCTGCCCTCAGGGGATTAGCTAGCAGTTGGGCCTCTGTATGATTTCTTGCCTAGTGGGACAGTAGAGTTGCCATGGTAACAGCTTCACAGAAGCTCCTCCAGCTCTCCTTGTCAAGAGATGAGTGTGTCTGTGTCAGGGTGTGTGTGTGTGTGAGGGGGCGGGCAGGCAGTGGCTGGCTGTTGGGGGGGGGGAAGAGATCTGTGCTGGAGTTGGCCCAGATTTTTCTGGCCTCGGGGGAGGATGGGATGGCGGGGAGCGAAATGAAGCTATGTCATTGTCAGCTAAGCCCCAGTTTCCCTCCCCATTTCCCCCTGCATAAACGTACACTGTGCAAAATATAGAATTATTCATATGCCGAGCATGTGTCTCCTCCAATATAATGTATTCCAAACAAGGATATTTATACAGAAGTGCTTATTTTGCAGAATATGAAAATCTGTCTACTTTCTCTTTGAACCTGCTTTTTGATACTTTGAATGCAATCTGTGTGGGATGGGGGCTTCTGAGGTAGAGGAAAGGAAAGTATTCTGTAGGAGGAAAGAGTGGAAAGCTTACAAAGGAAAGCAGAAGTATAAAAGGCAATGAACTTCCTCCATTTAAATACCATTGATTCTTTGCAGAGAGCTTCAGCAATGAGAACTAGAAACTTGATTTTAAACTGTAGGATATCAGGAATCCAAAATATGTGTTACCACCATTTTCTGGGGTTCAAAAGCACATAATTATTGTTCTGCAACATGAATAATTCTCCTACATTCAGCATTGTTTTCAGACAACTGGGACAAACTTATGCCTCTAGAATGAAACAGTATTTACTCTTTACTTTTAGTTCCCTGCAGTTGCTGGTCAGAGGTGGGGCTTCATTTATGTAGGAGGTTCCCCGGATCTAAGACTGCAATCTGATTTTCAGTGCCATGGCTCACCTAAGGATTAATGATACCACAATAATATTGAAGACTGGTTTTGAATACATGTCGACTTTCACTATTGAGAGATCATGACCCAAACCCTCTGTCTGCAATACATGTTAGGCCTAAAACAGAAAAGTTCTGTGAACTGATTTCAGATACCTCTGTGTGCGTGCAGGAAAATGACTTCTGACATGAAAAAGGAAAATCAAATGTTATCAGTAGTAGATAGTAATATCTGTTGCTGGAGAAATTTTTCCTCACTCCCCTGTCCATTACAGTTGTAGGAACCACATGTGCTATAATTGTACAAGTGTCACAATGGATAGTGTTTGTGACATCTACAGTATATCTGAAAATGGCTTTTGCACATTTATGTCCAACAGTATATAAAACAGTGAAATAGCAGGCCTACTCTGACAGCTTGCCTGGGGAGCAGTGCTACATGCCTACAGAACAATCCCTGCACACACACACACAATTCCATTTTGTTACCATAACAATCCTCTAACATTGCGTAAAATTGACCCCCAGATTTGCTTGTTTTCTTCCATACCTACCCATTCCCCTTTTTGTATTGTGTGTTAGATTGTGTGCCATTCTTTTAAGCTGCCCAACTACCTTGTGTGTATTAGGAATAGGTAGTATATTAAAAAATATACAAAGACTTGCAACTTATATTAAATGAGGTATTCCAAGGTATTGGCTACTGCAACAGATGCATGTATCATTTAAAAAAATATACTTTTTTCTTTATGTGCAATTTGTGCAGTTTTTGTAAAATAATTAAGTAAAACTCACAGGATTAATTGACAAAGATCTCTTTACTAGAATGACAGATACAGTCCTTTGCCCAGCCATCCAAATTTTTTAGCCACTCTTATAAAATCCTTAAAAAAACCTGAAAGTCGGCCTTATAGAATGCACCCCTTCTACTCTAGTGGTAAAGAGAATAATATATGAAGCATTGTTTTGAAATGTGTACATGGAGGTTAACATAAACATCTGCAATTTTGGCCAATGCAGTTGGTTTTGCTGAACTATTTATATGGGATGGTGTAAGACTCCCTCTACTGGTGTAAGGCTATAAAGACATAACATGTGCCTTACAGAGAAAAAAACCTCTCTTCCTATGCAGAGTCTACAACTGGTCATCAGCTGCTGGATTTTACAGGAATGTTACTTTGAAGAGAGAATAGAGAGAGGTAGCCAAGAAGGTCTCCCCCTTTCCCAGCCCAAAAAGTGGACTGCCAATAAGCTGTGTTTCCACAGCCTTCTCTTGCATCTTCTGTTATAGCAGGGCTCAGCTGGTACTGAGGGGGCGACTAGATGTCTAGTTACTAAATCCTACCCTACAACAACATTTAGGCATTAACAAGTAATGCCTTATTAGGTGAGTTACCCATCAAGCAAAACCGCCCTGAAAATAAGGTTGTCACTAAGCTGACAGATGACTGGGTGCTCTGCAGCATTCCATGGCTTAGTTTCCCCCTTGCTCCTTCAGTACTCCTACATGCCTTCCAGCATGTAGGCCAGGCACCTTTGCAGCTGAACTCCTTGATTCTTTGGTCCCTAACTCAGCACCTTTTCTGCAGTTAGTCTGCTGGGGTTGCCAGTCTAGCTATTCCTGAGAACCCATCATGATATGACATCTAAATCCAGCAGAGCAACGACCAGCTACCCCAAACACAAGCCATTCTGAACAGCCCAACAAAAAGCCGTGGATTCCCAGGGTAATTTGTTTGCAAAAATAAGTAAATAAGTGCAGGGTTTGGATGTTACAACAGCCCAATGTGGGTGGTGTGTTGTCCTATGAACAAGGTTATTAAGATTGTCAGGGAAGGCTTTTCTTCAATCATCATTTGACAATGAGAGGAGCATTCCCTGTTGTGGTACCTCAGTTATAGAACAGACCCTAAGACTGCAGTATCATGCAGCTTGGCACTGATATTATTTTTATTGATTGATTATATTTATGTCCCACCTTTTTCCTTTCAAGGAACTCAATAAGACATACATAATTCCCCTCCTCCTCTGAATCTTAGCCTCACAACAGCCATCTTGTGAGGCAGATTGGGCTTGAGGGTCTGTGGTTGGCCCAGACCAACCCAGTCAGCCCCATGGCTGAGTGGAATCTAGAACCAGATCTCCTGAGTTCCAGTCCTGCATTCTTAACCACTATACTACACTAGCTTTCTGGTTTATATAAAATTTATATATTTTTATACAGTTCATATATTTTCATTAACCACCCTGCTTCACAGGCTAAGATTGGACATAAATGAAAAACAATGCAATTATATATATAGAATACATTATTTTTATGCTGCCCTTCATATTACAATACCAAGTTAGTACACAAAGATAGAACTTTAAGGATCCCAGTAAACTATAAACACAATAAAAGATCAACCATAACAAAAAAGGCAAGTTATAAATAAAAAGATAGTTCTCTTAACCAGGGCCACCTATATGAGAACTTATTGTGGTGCTACTGTACTTCACATTCTGATGTAACACATGACACTCTTCTCAATCTATTTCAGTGCTAGGTCTTGTTTCCAAAAACCCACCCTACTTTTTTGCAAATTACTTTTAGAACAGATTGAGTTGTTTGGGGTTTGTGTTTGTCCTGTACTTCTGACATGAATTCACAGTTGAGGGCATGACTCATCTCCCTGGCATTGCAACATTTATTGTTTACTGAGATACAAGTGAGATGGCTGTCACTTTTCTTCCTGTCTCTGACCTGTGCATCTACTAATCTAAGGTTATGTTTTTTCATTCCTGGATCACTCCTTCATTGCTTTCTTTAAGGGCATTGGCAGATTGATGAAATGTTAGATGTCCTTGATGTCTGAAAACAAAAAATGCAGGTTCAGCTGAGAACCAGTTGTAGGAACTTGTGATTGTACTAAGCACTTGCTTCTGGGAAGGAAAGCTATGGCAAATCTAGATAGCATACTAAAAAGCAGAGACATCACCCTGCCAACAAAAGTGCGTATAGTCCAAGGCTATGGTTTTCCCAGTTGCAATGTATGGCTGTGAAAGCTGGACCTTAAGGAAGGCTGAGCGCTGAAGAATTGAGGCCTTTGACTTGTGGTACTGGCCTCAAAGTGATCAAACCGGTCAGTCCTAGAAGAGATCAACCCTGACTGCTCTTTAGAAGGCCAGATCCTGAAGATGAAATTCAAATACTTTGGCCACCTAATGAGAAGGAAGGACTCCCTGGAGAAGAGCCTGATGCTGGGAACAATAGATGGCAAAAGAAGAAGGGGACGGCAGAGGATGAGGTGGCTAGATGGAGTCACTGAAGCAGTTGGTGTGAGCTTGGGTGGACTCCGAGGGATGGTGGAGGACAGGAAGGCCTGGAGGAATGTTGTCCATGGGGTCGTGATGGGTCGGACACGACTTCGCGACTAACAACAACAACAACAATTGCTCAGGAAACCACTGGCACAAATGAGTTGCTGTAGAGCACTGCACACAGACAAAATACATGGAACTTGAATACTACTACATGATAAATCATAACTGGAAAGAATGCTTTTACATGCCCATAATATAATGAGCTGCATCAACTTGAGTTCCATTTTAGAGGTATGAGTGAACATGACTAGTCAAAGTACATTTCGGTACATGTACGAACCTGTACTATAGTCTGTAATGGCAGGAACACCTGAGGTTTTTATTTACTTTGAAATGCATGCATGGATTTGTGCATACGTGAAGAACCAATTAAAGAAGAAGGGGTTCATCATTCCACTATAAGGTTTCTATTGATGTGGACTCTGGTTGTAACACAAAAGAGCAGACCACGTCATCATAACAGCTGATGATATACTCATGTGACATATTACTCCTAAATATATTCAGCTTAATGTAGTTAAAGAAGGTGTTTGCTTCATGAAAGCAGAATCAAGTCCATACTTCAGTAACTGGCACTGTGTACTACAGCAGAAGTAAATGCAGATTCAAGAAATTGTGTGATTAAATGGCATCACCATAGGTAGGAGCGTCAGTGTAGCACATGCAATTCTGTGCTTGTTTAGATAGCAAAAGGACCTACAACTCACAGCTTTCTCTAGTGTGATATCTGTGGCTGGGGAATACTAGAAGTTGCATGGTGTTTTTCTGCTTAAGCATGCATAGCATTGCTTCCTTAAAGCAGATTAAAATGCATGGGCAAACAAATTGGTTTGATCTGGTACCAAAAAATGTTATAAACCTGCAATATATTAAATTTAAACATCTCCTTCTGGCCTTAACTTCACCTTACAGAGAAGTTGAATTCTGTGTCCTATATAATTTCTGTAGATTTGCTTAATCTAGCATTTAAAAAAATTCACATTAATTCATTCTGTCTTTGCCAGTTATTAGGGGGTGGCATGGAGCTATCTAGGCCCCTAAATACTTATCCCCAACAACTTGAAATTTTACTGAGACTTAGCCCCCGTTTTAGAGATTTCAGTAGGCATATTACACTTCCAACAAAAGCTTTGCCAAGGAATCAAAACTTCCATTTTTTATACACAAAAGCTGACATTCTTCATAAGATGAGTTCTGCATGATGTGCCTTTACCATCACAGGGAAGTATGAAATTTGCTTTATATCCATCTCCTGTGCTAGGTAATTCTGTGGCTGTAGAATTAAATGCTTTTCTGTGATCATTCTGAACAGATGGGGGATTTTGATATACAATGTAAAGCATGGGTCCTCAAACTAAGGCCTGCGGGCCAAATCCAGCCCACCATGCCCATTTAACCAGCCCGCCCCACAAGTTTTGCACTCGCTAGGCGCACATGGGTCCACACGGGCCCGTGGCTTGCTCGCAAGGAGGTCATTTTGGACTCCATCGGATAAAGCGATCTCGTGAGCAAGCCAGCACCTCGTCCCTGCGTGCCCCCCCCCCGCCTCTCGTGGATCTTAGGGAAAATAGGATTCAGTTAGAGTTGTGTGTGTGTGTGTGTGTGTGTGTGTGTGTGTTTTGTTTGTTCGTTTGTTTCATAATGGGAGGATAATGTATCTAGTGTCTAACACATTCAGAACAATGAAACTTTATCTCCTTTCTCTCTCATGCAGCACTCAGTAGCAGAGAAAGTTCGGACAATCAGGAAGTGCCGGAGCAGGCCCCTCTGTGAGTATTAGAGCCCCCATTGGGGCTGCAAAGGGAAGCAGATGCAGTGTGACTACTCTTTTTGACATGTTCTCACTACCAGCAGCATGCTACTTTTTTACAAAACACAGAACTTGGCCCTCACTCCAGAACACTTACAGTCTTCAATAGACGAAAAATTCAGAGATGAAGAGAAGACCACAGGAGAAGTTGTAGTGAGATTTCATTGCTGCCCACATATTTTTGAAGTCTTTTCTTTGCAGCATTGAGGTTACAAACTTTTTCCTTAAAGACAAACTGCGGAATTCCTTAAGATTCTGTAGCATTTACCTTCCATACTGGAGCAGTGTGATTATGAACCTGTAGCACAGACATAGAATGGGATTGCATGGGAGACCTGCTCAGAATCCTCAGGATGCAAACTTCAAATATGCAAGCAGAAGTCCCCATCTGCAGAGATCTGTGATTGGGTTGCTCCATTTCATACCTCAGGGGAGGAATAAAATGTTTCCTCTTATCAAATCCTCTTTGTCCATACAAAAACCTGCATATCAGAGAGAAGGATAGAGGCTAGTCATTTTCCTGACATAGGTGTGGTTCTAGGTCTGTAGGGTTATTTACATGGGGAACACAGTCAACCATTGAATCACCCCCATTTATGAAAATGGTTCAGACCTGCAACATTATCCTGAAGAAGCTTGCCCTTGTCCCTTTAAAGCACCCTCCTGCAGCTACAAATTCTGATCATTCCTTTTTCACTATTGTTTTTCAACATTTTATTTTAACAAAAACAAAACTCATGGTTTACACAAATATAAAACTATACAAATAATATAATAATGATGAACATAACCAATCAATATAATAACAGTGCTACTTTCCACCAGGACCAACAGATACACACTACTTCCCCCCTTTATTTTTTTAATACAGAAAAACATAAATACAACAATAATAATATAACATACAAAAACTCAATAATTAGAAAAGTAAATGATAAAGTACCCCCACCACTCCAGAGACCAATACTACCTCCACTTAATTCATACATTGCAACAATTAATAATATATAATATACTTCAATTATATCCATATCCCCTCCAGAAATTCATATAATCTTGATTAGGTTTACAAACTTTGCCTTCTATCAGTACTGCTTTTACAAAATCTTCTCAAATTTCCTTATATTTATTTGCTTTCATTAACCCTTTTTCAATTTTTATTTGTCACAGATTATCATTAATTACCAACAGATACACACTACTTACTGTAAAATCATGTATTCATTCAGGTTGCACCACTCCCACTCCCCTTCCAGAACTGCACTGAATCTTGTGATGGCTTACAACTCTTTTCCTTTATTAAAACATATTCAATAAATGGTCTCCATATATCTTCAAAATTATTTTTACTCATCAAGCCTTTTTCCACTTTATATTGCAAGTTAACTTATCATTAATAGCTAAATTCCAAACATATCTATACCAATAATTTTTTGATGATCACCTTTTACTTTGCAGTTTCTTGCTATTATTGACCTTGCTGCTGTTACTAAATTTGTTATCAATTCTTTAATATTTTGCCCCACTCATTCTCTAAATAGTGACAATAATGCTAGTCTACTACAATATTTAGATTCAAATTTTTACTAATTTCTTTGAAAACCATTTTCTAAATCTTAATGTTTACACTCCCACTACATATGGAAATATGTACCCACTTCCTGGTTATATCTCCAACATTCATTGGAATATTTATTATTCCTGTGATTCGATTTTGATCTTTCCTGACTGTTGAATTTGCTGGCTGAGGCTGATATAGTCCAAAACCTCTGGAGGGTGCTAGTTTGTTGACGGCTGCTTCTTCAAGATAGAGGTATTTGGTCTTGGAATTGTGTTGGCAGCAGACGTGATGTCCCTTTCTGAGTGACACCTTTCTCCTTTTTCCCAAAGGCCTGGAAATGGAGTCATCTCCCCAGCAGCTGCAGACGAAAGCTTATGTCCGGCAGTTTCAAGTTATTGACAATCAGAACCTACTCTTTGAGCTTTCCCACAAGCTGGAGTCAAACAGCCAATGAGACCACTGTCCACAGATGGCTATCACTGGCAAAGAATGTTTACTCTGCGTGATACTCGAGCACTTTTGGATGTAAAGGCGTTCGTCTGGGGGTTTGTCCTGATTGGAAAGGATGACATGGGATCACTAAATGGCAGGGATGGCCCAAGACATTTTAGTGCTGAGTTGGAAATTAAAAAGGCACATTATGCTGCTTCTAATTAACATGAGACACAATCCATCAGGAAATTCTCATAGCAAGCCATTTTCTCCTTGAAGTGGAAATTCCAAATAGCCCCCTCTCCTCTATTAAAAATACTATTTAATAACTAAGAATATGCTTCCCTTTTAATTGTGGTTATCACTTTTGCCTAGTGGTAAAGCTAGCCCTGTTTCCTATAAAAGCCTCAATTAATTGGAAGGTTCACATTTGAGAATTTCCTAGTGGATTGTACTTGCCCATTGGTCAGATATATTAGTTTTTATTCTGCCACCTTTAATGGCATTTAAAGTCTGCTGCCTGAGGTAACCATCTTGCCTCATGGCCTCCTTTTACAGATCAGTATGACTGAAAATGAAATGGCCAATGGAGATGGAACAGTGCTTTGTGGAAGAGATCAAGCCAAAACTCAGTTTGTCAACTTGGCTTGTAAGGCAGCTCACATTGGAGTTCAGTGCCCTGTTCAGGCAGCTTCCCTCCTCAGTATGAGCAAATCGAACAAGTCCTTTGACTTTGAATCAGATAAATAAGCTTTCAACATCACGAATTACTCATGTTCCATGTTTTTGATCCTTTTTCTACAGTGTTAATGTACATTTATATTTCCATCTTAGAAAGGTTTGCTGTAATAACCTTTCTAAAAATTATTATTAAAGAATAGCAGGAGATTCAGCAGAGTCTTCTCAGGATTCAGTTCTCACAGACTGTTAAAAATAATAAAAATAAGAGCAGCAGCTAGTTCAAGTAACTGAAATGGGAAGAATTTTTGCCTTTCTGGTATCAACTGGGTGTGAGGAATGGAACAGCAATCAATAATTGTGATTATGTGGAATTTTAACAACTGGAACTTTTAAGATATTTTTACTGCAGTTCCTTGTTGGGACATATCCAGACCACAGACTTTAAGTTGTCTAAAAATTTATTATAGGTTCCCAGATGACTGATGTTCTGTGACATGAGGTAGGGCTATAGATCTTTAACAGAAAATCCTTTGCACTTTCCAAAATTGCTATTTTCAGGCTTTCTGGGAAGCTATGACTGTTAAAGTGGTATGAAGTGGCAGGTGGGGAGATCTGGTTTACACTGCTGAAATGAAGAATGGTAATAAACAGCAGGGGGCTTTTGTGCTTCCCTACATAAGGCTTTCAACCCGTGGCTTTACCAGAGCTCTGCTTCTAGATTTTTTACATCATTAGGATGAACTTCCTTACATGTGCTTTTTTCCAGGTTTTTTCTTTCTCTGCATTAAGCATTCCATTACACAACTACAAGGTAGCACTGTAGTATAGCTCAATTACCGAAAGACACATGATAGCCAGATAATTGCTCATTTTCCTTGCATAAAAAAGAACAAAAGACAAAATCCAGAAATGCTTGGAAAAGCATGAGAAAAGCCCTGGAGGATGACAACATCATGTAAAGCACTCACAAGCAACTGTAAGGAAACAGAAGTGCACAATAGATGCCTCATGTAGAAACAGAAACAGAGCGAGTCAGAAGGGGTCTCCTGGGCCATCTAGTCTGACCTCCGATCTAGAGAAGCCCTTCATATGAAAAAACTGTGAGGTCCCTTCAGTACTGATAATCAAAACAAATTCTTGAGGTCAAAATTCTCTAATTCTAAATATACATCTATTGTGCCAACCTCTGTTTGGTGGATTCCAGTATTCCAGTAAAGGGTTCCCAAACATCCCGCAAGCCCACCCACTTGTAACATAACCGTTTGTAATCTTGATATGCACAACCCTGGTTCTGGCTCCCATCTGGATGCCTTCTATGCAGGTGTTGAATATAAATAGGTGTTTGCTTTTGGATATGAGGGGTCAATTATCCCTTCCTCTCTGATCAGATTTCAGATAAAGGTCATTATTGAATACTGAGGTATGTGCTTGAGCAAATTTGAAGAATCTTGAAAGGTCAGGAAGACTTCCATCTCAGGGTCAGGTGGTGGGGTTTTCTTTCCCTGTATTGTCATGGGGACATTACAAAAAATACATTTTATTGTCCCTTGCTATTCAGAGTTGTTGATAGTTGCATAATGAGAAATGTTCATTTTCGCTGCTCCAAAGTGCCTTTAAGCCTTAGCATTACCAGCCTTTAGCATTCCCCCCTCAGCCCTGCAGCAGTTAGGGATTTAAAAAAATCTACTGGTGCTAATGGAAACTTTTCCAAAAGCCTAAATGTCTCACAGGGGGTGGTTATCAGTGGGTGCTGCAGCTGGGGAAGAAAGGATAGGATGTGAATACCATCTTCACTGCAAAATAATATCTAAAATGTTAGATATTAATCCTATATTATCCTATCAAGATTAATATAGGATTGGAAAAAATCCATAAAAGTTGATTGGGAGGAGGCCTATTAGGAAAGGGTGCCTTTTTACTATCCTTCAATTCCCTGCTCCAGTTTTGTGGACAAAATGTTGATCTACAGTGTACTAAAAGGCTCTTAACCTCTGCTTGTCAGGTGATCTTGAGAACAGGTCAAAATTCTTGGAGGTACTGAATTTAATCCATGTTTGCAATTGTGAGAACAGAACAAGAGGTTATTCAGGATTAATTAATTTGAGATAGAAGTTTGTGGAACCATCCTTTCCTCATAGGTTTTAGCCAACTGCCCTTTTCACATGTGAGTTAATAGAAAATCATAATGATGTCTGGATAGGTCTTTAAAAGTTGCTTAGGGAAGCCCCCATGATATAAGAACTCCAGATTTTGTCTAGCCCTATAATTTCTTCATAGAAAATCATGCCTCAGTGCTCAGTCCTGGAATCTGCATGTTCCACCCTGGAACTACTTTCAGTGCCATGCTTCAATCCTGAAAATGTGAAGTAATAATAAGAGTGCCTCTGAGTATGTCCTGGGTGCATTCCCTGCACTACTGAGTAATCACAGCCCAATTCCACACAAAAGAAAGGTTTTCAGGTTAGAAGGGAAGGTTTGAACCCCAGTGCTTCTCTTTTTAGAAATGAATTGTTCTCTCTGCCACATTTCTAATAGATTGGTCAACATTCTGATAGCTATCAAAAACAGGATATTGACTAGGATCCTCTTGTCATTTTTCAAATTGATTTTGTGCTTTGCTGACCACCCCCCTTCTCTATGATAAGATGTGAGTGTGCGCGCGTGTGTGTGTAGCAGGGGTTGCCTCTAGTGGCTTTCTGTTCAGGGACTTTTTCTTTCAGGGTCTCTCGCTTTTGTCTATATTTCTTTTTCTCTCTCCCGGTGAGAGTTTCAGGTCCTAATGCGAGGATGTGTATATATGTATGTATATATATATATATATTTTGACAAAACACTCTTGAATTGTACATTTATTTTTTAAAAAGATCCTTGTATCATATCAGACCATTGTACAGTGAATTTTCTACTCTTGGAATGAGGAACTGCTTGCCTACACAAAGAGCCCCACAAGCTTCTGCAAGGTGGAATGTAAGATGTGCTGTGTTGTTCTGGGGGAGCTCAGTTTATTTTTGGTCTGGCTGTTATTAATAATAATTATTGTTATTGTTTTGCTACAGAAGCACTTGGGTGAGAAGCCAAATGATGGAAATAAAAACTTGTGAAACATTTGTGACTGGCTTCTGTATAGATCAAGTGTTTATCACAAATCTATCACTGCGTAGAGCTTCCCAAGGGGTTTTTTCCTAGCTGTAATACATATACATCTTGTATGTATAGATCCAGCACCAGAAAGACCTCTTTTCTATGCTTAAAGAATAGCAGAATTGTTTTGCTGAAGATTTTCTGCACTTTTGCAAATTTCAGGGACTCCCAAGTCTGCTCATACAAGGATAGGCAACGTAGTGCACAAAGGTACCCAGACACCTTCCTTGGCATCCTACCCCTCCCTTTTAAAAATTGGTACCTTTTCTTCTTGTAGCTGAGATGGCTTTGAAGAAGTGTCATTTTAATTTCTCTTGGCCATACTTGGGGCTGAGATAAATTACTAGGAAATGAAGGTAACAGGTGGCTGCAAGTCCAATCCTTTCCTCTGCATTGTGTCCAGCCACCAAGAAAAACAAGGGGAAGTTCCCTCAACCCTGCTGACTAGTGAACATTGTGGTTGGGGTTAGCAGAGGGCACCAAGAAACTAGGAAGGGCAATGATAATCCAGTGGGGTGTTCAGGAAAGCCTGCAGTAGAGTCAGAGAAACCAGCGGGGTGGGTAGTTAGGCCTGCAGTGTGGCAGGTTGGGACAGACTATTTTCCTCTCCGAAGGGATCGTAATTGCATGCATATGAAAAAGAGGTTTAGGACTGAAATGGGGATTTTGGAGGGATTCTGAAACAGTAGATGTAGTTTCTCATGTGCTTGTAGTGAGAAGGGAGGAACTTTGTTCACGCACACATGCAAGACGGGGAAATGAATTGGCAGGGAGGTGCAGAAAATCTTATTTGAAAGTTGTCTGTTGGTTCAGAAACTGGGCTCAAAGGAACTCTTATGTGTTGGCATCCTCCTCATTTTTGCATTTAGTCTTTTGAGCAGATTGCATGCCCACTGAGATTATATCCATGCCTCTCCTGGCAGCCATTTTATGGTAGCACCCAGGTTTGTTGCTTAGATTCCCACATGTACACATCATCCAAAAAAAGTTCAAGACCTTTGCCCTTGTTTGTGGATGGTGGCATTTTGGTTATATAAAAACTAGTACTTGGAGAATAAGTTTCCTATTTGTAGAGTGGATGAACTCTCTTACCAACTCCCATCTTGCTTCTACACTAGCAGTGTAGTCCTGAATTGTCATCTTGTGTTCAACAATGCTGTCAGTCAATTACATTCCAGTACCTTTGGTGCTATCCTCTCATCTTTTTTCAGACTTGATTTGTGGCAATTTTGAAAATATGGGATGAAATTGCAGAGCCATCCTGTGCAGTAGGATTGCAAAGCACTACTGAGCCTTTTTAAGAGGTACTATGTCTTTAGATTAAAGCATCCTTCATGCAATGTTTACTCCTTGTTGTGCATGACAACAACTAATATTGTGGCTGTTGTGGTGGACAGGAGGCAAAAAAGGGACAGAAGCTGCAAGAAAGAAATTACTAAGTTCCAAGAGATCTTTGTTGAATTTCTGAGGAAACAGATTTATTTCAGCCATGGAAGATACTGTATGAAATGACAATTTTAATTCCACTTCCAACTGATTCCTAGAAAGAAATGTTTTTGCTAAAGGGCTCTTCTGTAGCAGCAAGTACAGAACAATGGGTAAGCATTCTCTTTGAAACTATGGATAGTATGAACTCTCCCACTATCCAACAATTCAGAAATGCAAATCTGTTTGTAACACTCCTATTCGCATAAGGAACACTAGTAAAGATCCTTAACATACTGCTGAAGTCCTGATCTTAGCTGTATCCATTCATTTATTTTAAAACAGTCTGTCTTAGATTGTCAAGAAAGTGTCTCTCCTACAAATCTACAAACTCAAAATAAGTCTTACCATCCTGCAAAATGGAAAGTTGTATTTCTTATTTGCATATGCCATTTCCTTAGTGTTCCTGACTGTGTCAGAGGCAACAGACATCTGCCTCCTCTAGCCAGAGATTTCAGTCCTATAAAAAGCCTGCGGAGGGAGCCAAACCTTGAAGAATAACTACTCTAGCATCTCGCTCTCAAATATTAACAAGGTATCCCAATGCGCAACAAATCAGGACATTGCGCATTTTATTCACAATGGAATATAAATAGGGGGCAGATAGAGCACATTAGCGGGATTGGCGCAACTTCAATACACACACAGGTGTTTTTCAGAACATTGGTGGGTTCTGGGAAGCCCTGAGATTCCCTCGAAGCTTAATAGGATTCTCTGGACAGGCGCGGAAAGATGAAGCGCCTCCCATAGAGCTCGCGATCTTCCACTGCAATACTCTCGCGAAAACAATTCCGACGACCTTTAAGAGACAGCTGCAATGACGCATATCCAGCATCGCCCTGACCTTATTTACGTCATACGGGCGCCTCTAGCTAAGGGATAGAGGTTGATGACGACGGGACTTGGCTATATGATATTCTGGTTTGCGGTAGTGTCTGGTTTCCAGACACTAAAGGCATAGAATATTTATCTTGCAAACAATCACCTACCCTCCTCCAAGACCATATAGACGACAGTATTTGTGTTACAGGAGCAGTAAATACCCACTAAAGTTCTGTTCGATGATAGAGCCCCAGTTCCGACTATTCGAAAACTACAACGCAGGAGAGTCATTTCAATTCAATTGTGCCGTGACTTTGACGGAGGAGCTAAGGGGCGATGAAAGGCGTGACATAAGTAGAATTACTTTCTACACACTTGAGGAAGATGTGTACATTTTTGTTCCTGTTTGGTGATAATCCAGGAAGTGAGCAGGCTCAAGCGTAAGGGTCTTAATTTAACATCCACGATAATTTTAAAAGTACCATTTAACAGTGGTTACTGCGATGTGTCAAAGTATTACAAGAACCTTGCACTCTATGGCAAGGCCGCTGTACGTCGCCTCCCAGAATAACGCATTTCAGAATTGCTATAAACTGTCTCTCTCAGCTTCGGCTCCACCTTTCACCTACAATTTAAGAGTCAACTATTCCCTGCACTACAGAGCTTTTGAAAGCCCCGCTCAGCCTCCGCTGACCTGTCTCAAATTGCAGTTGGATAATTAATACGACCCGGCTATTTTTACAATAGATTTTGAAACGTTTAAAAAGAACAACGACCCGTACATTTCCGCACAAAATACCACCGCAGCGCTGCTACTCTCTCACACCCCTACGACTGTCCTAAGTTTCTCCACTATTTCCTACGTGCACCCTTTTTTTCATCCCGGTAGCGGAACATTTGCAGCCAGTCGGCGTCCTTTCCAACATTCCCAACACTTCCGGCTTCCTGGCGATAAGTGCTCTCACTTCCTTCCTTTCTCAGGCGACAGAAGCGGAAGGGGGCGGGTTTATTTGGCGCATGCGTATTGGCCGAAGGCGAGCACATCGTCGCCATTTTGTGTGGCCGCCGGGCGGTCACACGGCTGTTTCCGGGTTAGAGGCCCCGAAGCGGAGAGAGAGAGGCTGTGGGTAAGCGAGGAAGGCCCCGAAATTCAGAAAAAGATGCAGGGGAGGGCCTGCGATATTTGTCTCCTGGGAATCTTTGCTTTGTGAGAAGGGAAGAGAAAAACGTTTGGCGGAGGGGCTTGTCACTTGACCTGCGTCTCTCTGGATGTCAGGGGACATCAGGCTGGGGAGTGGGCGAGTAAGGGCGGGGTTGGGGGACAGATAAGTGCTAAGGGGTGCACCGTCTGAAACAGAAAGAGCTTTAAAGGAACCGGGTGGGTATTTGAGGAAGGGGTGTTGAAGGCGGGTACGAAGCTTTAGTAAAGAGGTGAGGTATGGTGGTGCATTGGGTGAGATGGGTGGTACCGGAGATTATTGAAGGTAGGAAGATGCTTGTTTCTGATATTGTGAAAAAGGTTTTCAGATTGTGCTAGGATTCGGGTGAGTATGGTAGAAAGAGTGATGATTTGGGGCTTGTGGAATGCGGTAAAGATCGAGGGGAAAATATCTGTTTTAATGCAGAAGCGTTGAATTAAGTGTTGGGGATAGGGGAATGGGTCTTGTATAGAAACTTGAGTGATAGACTAGGGATATTGAAGTACACGTGTGTCGATGTTTATGGAAGTAGTAGATCAAGTGGAATTAGCCCTCAAGAGGGATGGTGGTGGCAAACAGTTGCTTTTCGAAGAAGGGATATGTTGTGACACCAGAGATTTTGTTTGTGATCTAAGGACAGAAAAGTGGATGGGTGAAGAGAATCAGTAATTGTGTGGCAGTTTAGGACTGAGTTGAGTGATGCCCTGAAGGTGAGTGGGAATAAAGGTGAAATGCCATTAGGGTCTCATTTGTGTCCTCTAACTTCCTTCACTCTTTCAAGAAGGGAAGTCTTTGTGTTGGTTGGCCTTTCATATTCAGGTGCCACTGCCCTTCTGACTGCTGTAGGTGTAGCTCCTTTTTATTTCTCTTTCAGTCTAGGTATAGTATCAGATTAATTAAGCAACTGGGCACACACCCTTCCTCAGGTAGAGGCCAAGCTTGCCTTCCTTAAGTGCTTTCCTTAGAGTGTTATCAGCTATGTCTGATTGTGATATTTGTTCACTAAATGGTACAGCTTTTTAAACTCCAGCACTTTGGGAGTGGAAGGTGTGAAATGACTTGTCAAGCAAAAATACTTGCAGTAAGTGGGACGGAAGATTCAGCAAGGCAGCTGCCACACTCAGCAGAACAATAGTATGATTCTTACAGCTGTTTCCACGGAGCTCCTTTTTGCTCGAATTCTTATTTCTGAGCATCTTGTTCTGCCTGTTCCCCAGAGAGTCTTGATGGGGTAAAACAATAGCTATCAATTTGGTTCCAAATCAGCTTTAAATGGTTGGAAGACGTCGGACATGTTACAATAGTTCAGCTTCCATATATTTCAAATAGATAAGTTTCTATTGTAGTTTGAGATATGCCACCTTTGTTTTCAAATTGCTTCAGTCTTATCCTCTGAAATGTATGACTTTCACTGTGCATGTAGTGTCCAATTATCATTTTATAGCAAAGTACAATCATTACAGACTGTGACCTTAGAGGGATATTTTTATGTCTCAGCCATCACTCAGGGATGCATTTAAGAACATTGTTGTGGAAAGGACCTACTGGAAAGCAGAGTTGTGTCCTGATTCCAGTTTTAGGATTCTAAATTCCCATTGCCACATCATTCCAGTTCTTTATCTAATTTAAGTGCAGTTCAAAAGCATGCAAATGCAAGTAGATAAAAAGGTACCACTTGGGTGGGCAGGTAACAGCGTTCTGTGCACTTTGGTGTTTAGTCATGCCGGCCGCATGTCCACGGAGACTGTCTGCTGACAAATGCTGGCTTCCTCGGCTAGGAAACGGAGATGAGCACCACCCCCTAGAGTCAGGCATGACTGGACTTAATGTCAAGGAGAAACCTTTACCTTTTTATGTCCCCTTATATCAGTCGAATGTGTCTTAGCCATGTGCTGAAGTCTTGAATGTGTGCTTCCCTTATCCTACTGTCCAGCATCACCTACTGTACAGAGAAACTGGTGGTCCTTTTTGTTTCTTGCATTGATCATAGTAGTCAGTAAAGCAAAGGAAGAGAAGGGCATCAAACTAATCATATTACTGATTGTGTGCTTGATAACCAGCACCCCACTGGGAGGGAATATAAACAGTGCAGGAAAGCCCTATACTTTTGCACTTCATCTATCTGGTTGGATCATTTAAACATTATTTTGTTCATTTAGGAGCTATTTATGAAAACTCAACTCGTTAAACTAATGCTTAAAGGACCTCTGACCAGATGATAATTGACAAACCTCTCTCAGACTCCATTTTACATGTCTGTAAAATAGGAATATTGATTACAGATTTATAGATAACCATAAATTAAATAGTTTAAACTAATCTAGCTGAACTTTCCATGCATATCTAATGCTTATAAATTTGCTTTCCAAAGATTGTTGCCTCAAATATATTACTTACAAACTAGAAACTTCTCAATGGGTTTGTAGCCATTCTTAATGGTACTAGAGTGGTGTAGTGATTAAGAATGCAGGACTGGGATTCAGGTGGTCTAGATTCTGGTTCCCGCTCAGCCGTGGAGCTCACTGGGTGACTATGGGCCAGTCACAGACTCTCAGCCCAACCTACCTCATAGAAGTGTTCTTGTGAAGATAAGATTGAGAGGAAGAGAATGATGTAAGCTGCCTTAAGTTCCTTGAAAGGAAAAAAGGTGGTGTATAAATACAATCAATCAAATAATTATTAACTGGTATTATAAAACAGCACATTTTTAGAAATGAAATATTTTCTTCAGAAAGTATCGCACCTCAAATTACTGTATTAAAAAAGGTTGAGTTAATTTGTGTGCTGTATTATGTGCATGTACAACAGAACGGGAGTTGATGAATTCCTCAGCAGGGATGTTGAGTATTCATAAGAGATTGTAGCAACCTACCTAGCTGTACTTAATATGTATCTGCCACAACCACATCATTATCTTATAACTGTCTTGCTGTACAAAAACAAGTGAAGCCATCAAACAGGGATGCTGTTTAAACCAGTGATACTAGAACATAATTCATACTATAGATTTGTAACATGGGAAAATTAATGCAACAATGTTGTTAGTTTTCAAGATGCTGCAAGATTCTAATTGGGTTAGCTTGCTGCAGTTAAAAAGAAATCTTACCTCTTTGCCTGACTAAAAGTCAGCCCAAAGGTTCTTGGAATTTGTTCAGGCTTTAGTCTCTTAAGCATGTCTTATGGGATTGGAGCTTCAACTGTGGATGTCTTAAGTATTTCAAGAATTGGAAAATCTGTGTTTAAGTCCTTGCTTGCTCACTGATTAGGTAGCTTGAGCAAGCCACTTTCCCTTATTGACAGTTTCTCATGTACAAGATGGAAACAAATCTACTTTGTGGAATATTTTGGGAGGATGCCCTGGGATTAAAAAAAAACTTCAAATACTATGTCACTACAATATGAGTGTTCCCAGATACCAGAAAACAAGAATATACTGCTCCCTTATCACAGATTGAGCAATTAGTAGTATTACTTATTCCAATCATTTCTGATAGCATTTTAAGGTTGCTTAAGTGTTTTAACAGTCCTCATATTGTTCGCAACCACCTTGAGAGGGACATTTTTTAACTAAGCCTCCTGCTGCTAGTTATTTATCTAGGGCAAGCAACCATCCATGGATACTGAAAATACTATGAAAGAAAATGGCAGATGTACCACTTGTCAGGTGAAACAACATCTTCCTGCCTTTTGGGGAGTTGTCTCTTCATGTTCTTTCCAAACTGCTACTCCCTTGTCTTGCACCTACATTTTTTTTTTTTTTGCCAGAAATCTTCTCTGCCATTGCACAGATTCAGAGTTTGAATGTACTTACAGTGCCTTGTGCTATTATTTACCATCCTGACTTTTCTACATATTGCTGTGTGACAAACTGAAATCCAAATTTATTTCATTGGCATTCCTACCACTTGAAGTACACAAGATACTCAACACATGGAAGACAGTTTTATTGTGACACAAATAAACTGGCATTTGTGTCACAAGTATTCACCGCCTTTGCTTTGATATGCCTAAATTATCTCCGGTGTAACCTACTGCATCTGCAATACTGTAAGTAGCCGGAGTGTATGTATGTGCAGTTCCAATGCTACATGAATTCAGATTAAATATAACAGTTTCTGGAAGGTCCCAGAGTTTGTTGGAGAGCAAATCTAAACAAACAGTATCATGATGACCAAGGAGCTGTCAAAATAATTCTGAAAAAAATAACTCTGAAGCATGACTTAGGCCTGGGTTATTAAAAACTATTCTGAACTAAAAACAACCCTTGAAGCACTATTAATCCCATGATTCTAAAGTGGAATGAACATGGCTCAACCACAAAAGCTTAGTGACAGGGTAAGGAGGGCCTTAGTCAAAAAAGCAACCATGAGGTCATGTGGTAATTCTGGAAGAGCTGAAGAGATCTGCAACTAAGGTTGGAGAAACTGTCTATGGGACAATTATTAAACAAAGCTGGGCTTTATGGAAGGACAGTGGTAAGAAAGCCATTGCTGAAACAAACCCATATCAAACCACATTTGGAGTTTGCAAAAAGGCACGTGGAAAACACAGTAGAATTGTGGGAAAGCTTCTCTCATCTAATGAAACCAAATTTGAACTTTTGGTCTTACTTTAAAATGCCATGTGTGGTACAAAGCCAACAGGGTTTGTTGCCCTGAACACACGATGCCCATGGTAAAACATGACAGTGGGAATATTTTTCCTCAGCAAAGACTGGGTTTGAGGGCAAGATCTAGAGGAAATCCTGAAAGGGACCTAGAACTGTGGTGGAGTTTCACAACCCAGCAGGACAATGACTATAAATGTACAGCCAAAGTAACACTATAATTGTTTCGAATAAGAATCTGAATGACAGACATATGCCAAGTCTCAGTCCAATTGAGAATCTGTGACAAGAATGGAAAATTGCTGTTTACCAATAGTCCCTCTGACAACATGACAGAGCTGGAGCAGTTTTGCCAGGAAGAATGGGCAAATGCTGCACGATCCAGCTGTGATAGAGACTTACCCAAGAAGACTTTCAGCTATGATTGCTGCCAAAGGAGCTTCTACCAAGTGTCAAGGGGATGCAAACTTATGCAACCAACAAGCACCAGTTTGTTTTTAGCTACTTAACTTTTGTTTCACAATAAATATATTTTGCACCTTTTCATTGTTGAGTGTCTTGTGTACATCAGGTGGTACAATTGTGGAAGAATTTAGTGTTTTTCCTTTCACACAATGCCAATTAAATCTGTTTCATTTCCAGGTTGTAATACATCAAATTGTATAAAAGTCAGAGGTGGTGAGACACTGGAAAGGAGCTAAAATGATTGCACTGATTAAAAAAATGAGATTTTAGGTGATACACCTTACTTCATCAGATGGTAGGATGGAATTGTGGACTACAAGTCAGAGAAGCAATTAAGTATAAAGATTCAGTCTTCAGACTCTAACAAGATACTAATATGATGAACAATGATGTATCAGTGCTTTTTTTGAGTTTCTATAATGCTAGGAGTGATATTCCTTTTATGTCCTGATTGCTTCTTTCTTAGCCTCAAGTTTCCCATGTACAAATGGAAACAAGTAATCTTTCACAGAGTTCTTGGGCATAAATAATATTTGCATAAACTTCTAATTTTCTACATCACATTTCAGTCCTAGTCCTTAGCTGGTCAATGTAGCCTACTGAGGAACTCATTATGCAAAAAATTATGTACACATGTATGTATTGTAGTTATGTATGGGATGAAAGCTTGATAGTTCAGTAGTCAAATGAGCAGTTGGTATGTCAGGCATGCTGATCATGCCTGTAACTCATTCTTGTGGGGAATGTTAGTTGATACTGATTCAAGAAAAATGTCAACTTATATGGTTCTGGGAGTTCCTTAATATTGCCTTCTTTTATAGAGCTGATTTTTGAGGTAATAAAACTGCCTGACATGAATTCTTCATAACAGATAAAAGACGTCAGAAAGGGGTTCCTGGGTAGTTGTTGTCATAATGTTGTTTTTAATCTCAGTAGGTAAATCATGAGTTTCGTGATATAGTAATTTCTAGAATCGAAGTTCCCCTTCTACTTCATTAACACAATCAGTTTTGTTCAGTCATAGTTGTTGCTTCTTCATTAGCAGTTTAAGAAAGATATTTGGATTATTTATGAGATCTGTGATTACCTTAATGGAACAGAAGGCAAAGTTTTATACATCTTCTTTTATTTTGCTGCAAGAGAGGTCTGTATAATGGTAAAGTCTGAGGTTTTATTCCTCAGGAAGGTTTCACCAAGATTTTAGTGCAACATGGATTGGATTGGATGTGGTGGTCTGTCATTTTTGGTTATGGAGCTATTTAATCACAGGTGGGGAAAGAGTACCTCTGAGTCACTGAACAGCTTTATTACATTGTAAGGTTTTGCATGGCAGAAAAGCAGGTCACAAGACAAAATCAATTGTCCTCTTCTTGGTGGAGTGGGTGGTTTCATAGATTAATGATATCTAGATCATCTTGATAGCACCAGTTTTAATCAGTGTAGAAAGTTTAATATTATACCCAATCCTAGAGAATGAAGAGTACATTGTGGTTTTCCTAGCCTGAGTGTTCAATAATGTCTGAATACATTGAGTAAATGGTGTCAGTGAGATAATGTAAACATATGTCTTGCATTGTTTATTTTAAGGGTTTAATTAATTGTGTTAAGCACAATGTATGGGTGTCCTGAACTGATTACATTTCTCTCCTATTGTGTAAGATGCGGGGGGGGGGAGTAATTCATTATTCAAATTGCTTCAGTTCCATAACCATTAATGTAGTTCAATTTGTATTCAGTTCAGGAAAAAAGCACACTGTGCAATCCTCCTCAGACGTCATAGTGCAGGTAGGGATTGTTGTTGGCTCCTACACGTCAAAAAGTATATTTAAATTGAAAGCTGGTCCATCCAAGGGACAAGATTAGAACATGCTAGCTTTCCACAGACATGAAGTTTTTATTGATGGAGCATTCAACATGTGATTTTCCTCCCCCACTCGCATTCTGAAATGTGCAGTCTGGGGAAGGTGTAGCTGGGTCTACATATGCAACAGAACAAAGGGATATGCCAGGTTGTGTCACTCCAGACAGTAGGTACAGTTACCATTTCAATGTTTCTTTACACGTAAAACAAAATACAAGCAGCAAACTAGTCTACTTATGAGAGTGGTTCTAGCTGACCTCTTTGCTGTTCTGTTTTATATTTGGAGTGAGCTCCAAATGGAGGGCAATGCTAAAAAAAGTGATCCCCATACCACCTGTAATTTGAAATGAGATATTCCTTTTTTATATCTTTTCTGCTCCATATGAAGACCAGGTCTTAAAGGAATTCATAAAGAGTATGCATGCCTGTTAAAAAATATACACCCTTTAATTTTGCAGCAGTTTGATACAAATGCTATTAGATTATCTCGTTCCTCCCCTTGACAGGGGGTCTCTTCCTTTCTAAACAGCTGAGGAAAACCCCAGTATTGACTGGATATTAGATATGTTTTGGGAGGAATGCATTTCTTATGTAAAGCTAGAGAGGAGAACCTGTGATACTGTGTGTGTAGCCTGCAGTCTAATTTTATGCAGCTTACAACATCATCAGGCTGCCTTCCCTCACCAGTCAAGGGCAGTTGATGGGACAAGCTACCCAGCCACAGGGATGCTAGACAGGGCAATTCGCACCCCAGGCTGCCTCTTCCAAAGCCACCTCTTTCCTGTGTATGGTTTCTCCTGATGGTGACTGCTGGGAACACAGAAAAGAAGGTACACAATTGGGAGTAGCAATGACTGCTTGAGCCCTTAGGGCACCGGTGGGAAACAGGGACAGATGGTGGAGGCGGGGGCTTGGATGTGAGTGAACAAAGACTTAGGAAGGCAGAGAAGGCCTTCTTCAGGCTGCTTGTGTTCTTTTCATCACTCTACACTGAACTCCACAAGGGTTGGCTCTCTTTACTCCTGACAGAATTCCTAACTGAACTTGGGCCTCAGAAGTTCAGTCCAGTCCCCCACCCCACAAGGCTCGGTGCCTTGATGATTGCTACCTCCCTACTCCTTCTGAGTGCCCGGTTTGTTTTACTGTTGGATAACCTCCTACCTGAGGAGGGCTCTGCCACAGAGGAGAGGATAAGACTGCAATGAAGTCCTTCAATACCATGAGCTCCATCTACCACTGGGTCTACCTGAAGCAGCTGTGTCCCCAAATCATGGGTTGAATGGATTTTTTTTAAATACAAAAACAGTAAAGAACATGTGAACAGTAATAATATGCATATATCCAAAAATTCTCTGCAGAAAAATCAAGCACTGTTTATGTTTTTACAAATACTACCAAGCGTAGTGTAAAAGTTACAATGGCTAGATTATAAACCTTTCTGAACCTTTTCCTTTTCTCTAGATTTCATGAAGACCTTGGATAGTGACTTAATGTAAAACTGTCTGCTACTATGGAAACCTCTGCTTGGAGGGGCTTGAGTTGGCAAAAATATTAGAACTGATTGTGTTGTCAGGCAATGCCTTTGATCTTTCCTTTTTCTCTAACATTTTATGCAAGAGGTAGAGAGGAAGTTAATAACACTAAATTTTGAGAGAGAAAAGTCACATCTGAGAATCTCTGTTTCCTTGGAATGCCTGTCCCTTTACATTTACCCTAGATTTATTTAGGGTGCTTTTGACAAAATGCCACGGTACTTGGTGCTGTGTCCAGAGTCCTCAATTAACCTTCACCAGACTGTGCTTGATAGCCCTTGTGTGTTCATGCGGCAGCTTTCCTAACATATGCCAAAGCTGCCAATCCAAGCAAACATCCCTTTGTGTCACAAGCTGATTTAATTTAAGGCACAATAATGCCCTACTTGGCATAGTCAAACTAATGTGCACGCTTCCCTTGAGGTCCTGCCTCCTATAACAGACTCATCCTGGAGTGCTTTATCTCACAATTTGGAAGTTGCTGTGTTCTTATAAGGATATCTTATACCTTGCCAGAATTCCTGTCTGATCAAGACCTGAGTCTGAATGTTGTGCCTGGTGTTGAGCACGAGGGAGATTGGGGAATCTGTTAATGTACCTCTCTGATGATCTCCCTGCCAGAGCTGGTGGAAGTGGTGGTGAGCACTAGCAAGGTTTTTCTTAGCAGCATGTATCTAAGATGACTCAAGACTTCTATGCTACTGTGCTTACTGTTGGATTATCCCAAAATTGATCCAAATTTGTGGCAGATTACATATGTTTGCTTGTGACTGGGTAGAATGACTGAGGGGGACTTGGTAACTCTCTTGTTATTGGCAGATCACTACCCAGTGAAGCTTAGGCTTTCAATGAGCATTCCTGTTTGCAAGGTTGATGGACTGATTGGAATGATTCAGCTCCAGAAGCTGTTGGATCCTCATGGATTCTTGAGACCTTTGGGGGATTTCCAGTTGAAATGGGTAGCACTTATATCAAAACCATTGGGTAGGTGTGAATGTCAAGGTAAGGTGCCCTACAAATAACTAACGGGGGATTGGTTGTTTGTAGAACAACCAGTAGTACGCCCCCTGTGATCACAAATCCTTATATGCGGACTACAATGATCACCCCCTTTTTGTTTCCTTGTTATCAAGAGATGTCAAAGGAAAAAAATAAGTGTAGTCTCTCTGGTTTAGTGTCCATGTAGCTGATATCTCCCATGATAGTGCCTAGCTGAGGCTTTCCATTTTGGATTCTCACCTGTATGTACCTCCACACTTGTTTTGGACTGGCTGAACTTCTTTAAAAACTAACATATTTGTGCAAATTTCTTGTGATTTAATGTGATGGCTCCTCCAGTGTTTTGCTTGGGCATTCTGGAGGGGCTTCTACTTCAAAGATCACAGAAAGAAATCACTGGAAAATAGGGAAAAGGAAGAACAAAGATGCAGTGAGTGAAAAGGGGTTTACAATTGCAATGGAAAACACTGAGCCTGTGGTGACTGCTTCACTGTGCCACTTAAATACTAGTGGGGCGACTCCCAGCAGCGGTGACTTGGAAAAACTCAGCAAGTGCTCGAGAGGCGGTTACTAGTTCTTGCCGAACAGCTGCACTTCCTGCAGCCCATGGTGGGGTTGATAACCTGAACTTGGACAGTGAGCTACCCTTCATGAGTACAACACACCCAACAACAAGGCAAGGGTTGTCAGAGTGGCTTATTGGCCACAAACAAACTACCCTGTGAGAAGTGGTCTGGGTTCACATATTTGTGTTAACAGCCCCATGTGGCTAGTTATCCACAATGGTTTGTCACATTGTGTAGGCCCAGTCACTGTGTGGACAGTCCAAGTTGTAACTGCTGTTAGCTTTTAGGCTTAGATGTTTTGTAGTTGTCTTGGATTTCATAAGTTGCCTCAAACATGGATTGTGAGTGTGAATGAGCGTATAAATAAACACACAGCTACAATAAACAAGAATGTAGCATTTTAATGAAAGCAAAAGGCAGCTTAACTATGGTCTTTTCAGAGATGTGCTTTCTTCAGTTGAAAATAGAATAGAATAGTAGTAGAGTTGGGAGGAGCCTGTAAGGCCATCACATCCAGCCCCCTGCTTGGCTTCCACACATGGTCACCCATCTGGTTGCAGGTTTGCACCTTTCCATCTTAGCAAAGGTAACTCAACATGCTAGCGCAATGTAAAAGTATAACTCTTTTTCTAGACGTGGTACTCAAACCCATGCCTTCAGGAGAGAGTGCAACCCAAATGTAGCACTTTAGACTCTTTGGCCGTCCTGACTGGTAATTATATAGCATGCCAGAGTGTTTAAAACGCTTCAAGTACATTATCATGCTAATTGTAATTCTTGCAACAATTCTGTAAGTCAATATTTTGTTCAAATTATAGATTGCTTGCTAAGCCCTAGAGAGGCTGAGGCCATGGCCAGCTAACCGGCTCATGGAAGAGGTGAGGTATTAACCAGGGACATTATGTCATTTGACTATTTTTCCTTTGTGCTGTGCCTCCTTTCTGGACAGAACATGGGGCATCTTTAACAGGGCTTTACTTAGAAATCGATTTGAAGGACTGCATGCAAATGTCTATAGTAAATGTTGCTAAGCTTTAAACCTGTTAAAAATGTCAGCATCCTATCAGTCCTTCAGCTAGTAATGCTTTATGAAGGCTGCTTATGTGACTTGCTCTTCTAACTTTAAAGAACTATCAAGTTTTCAAGACTAGAAGAAAGATGAGCCCTGTCTGCAGCTGCTATAGTTTTGCACCATGTTGAATGCAGTGCACTGCTAGCTGCATACATTGCTATATTGCCGCTGCCATTCCCAAGGAATTGCATGGTGGAAGTGAGTATTTTTCCTCAGGTTGTTTTAGATGTATGAGGCATGCACAAGGCAACTATCACTGGAATAGTAATTGTCGATGTTGTAGACACTGGCTAGAGAGAACCAGCATTTTGTCTTTGCAATAATGATGGTGATTATATCTGGCTCACTGTGTTTCTGGGAAGTTAATGAACCAAGACATCTGTTATGATTAAATAACCTCTGTTTCCACAGTTGCATTCCTGCAGCAAAGGAGAAAAAACAGCAAGCTAGTGGTGGCTTTATAGTGTGGAATATGTATGTGGTCGTCCATGGCACCTTCAACAGTATTTAGGTTATTGTCTTAAGAACTTTTGGAGGCATAGCATAGACTTACAGTGTGCCTGTTGTGCAGAGGTGCACCAAAACCTGAGGCATCTTGAGAGCTGATGGAGCAGTGTGGTTAGGAAGCAGGCCTACATACCAGTCCCGACCAGAAACTTAATAGGTTGTCCTAGGCAAACCACTTGCTCTCATCCCCCAATTTGCAACAGAAGGCTGTTGTGAGGCTTACTGGGAATGTATGTGAAGTGCATGGAATACTTTGAAGAACTATATAAATATTAAAGCTCAAATAAGGATTATACGCGAGTCTTACTATGATGCTCTGTGGTATATATGGTGGTGTACTTCCTGGTCTCTTGCATCACACACATGGGGCCTTTGTACCCGTGCAGAACATAGTATTAGGAAAAGCTTCTAAAGCTGAACATTCAAGTTGTGGGCAGGAACCCCTCAGTCCCTTTTCGACTGCCATTGAGCAAAGTATGGGAATTGCTATGTAAACTGTGTGTATATATTGTGTTGTAAGCCGCCCCGAGGCTTCAACAAGGGGCGGCATAGAAATGTTCTAATAAATAAATAAATATTTAGTACCTATATAGTGCTTTTCCTAAATGCTAAAACTAATTCCTATTTCCTTAGTAAAACTCATAAGAATTCTGCAAGACATTTTCCATTATTATTTCCTTATTACATATGGAGATTACTGGGGCTGAGGTTATAGGAAAGTAGCATGCATAAGGCAACTTCATGGGCATAACTGAACTCTGAATCAAGAACAGCTTCTTGGTTTGTTTATTGCATTATGCCAATTTCTGTTGCTTTTCAATCCTTGACTTGTTTTTCTGTCCTTGATTATACATTATGTATTGCCTTCTCAGTTGTCTTATAAGTAGACAGTGTCACCTGCAAGGGCTTATACTTCAATTAAAAATAAAGTACAACTTGTCCAGTGTTTCAGGTAAGGGTCCCATAACTATGAACACAAAAATCTGCCACAACTTAATTTTCATCTTGAGGTCTGCTCCCTGGTAGTTGTCAACCAGCTTCAGATGCTCTTGGATTAGACTGATTATCAGGATCCATTTCATGCATGGTTCAGGCAAGAATTTGACACAGCAATAGATTTGACCATGTATGATGATCTGTGTTGGAAGAAGGACAAAGAATGTGACCCTGTTGATTCTCCTTGATCTCTTAGCTGCTTTCAGTACCATTGACCGTGGTATCCTTCTGGGCAGCTTCCTCAGTTGGAAGGCAAAAGTACTGCATTACAGTAGCTTTGCTCCTATATGGCTGGTTGGCTGTGGAATGTGGTGCTTGTGGGATATTGCTTAGTCCCTTGGATACCCTGCAGAGGTTAGTTCTCTCCTCCAAGCTATTTAATATTTGCATGAAACCATTGAGTGGATTCAAGAGTTTTGAGTTGTGTTGTCATTGGTATGCTGAAGACATGCAGATCTATTTCTTTTCAGAGTCATGAAGTGAGGTTGTGGATATACTAGTTTGGGGCCTAGTAGTGAACTTGCTAGTTTGGGCTGCACTGGGATAATACACTGAAGATCAAGCCAGACTAGAACAAAGTGCTGTTAGTGAATGGTTCTTCCGACTGGATGGAGAATGCTCAACCTATTTTGTAGTTTAGAGGTTCTCTTTGAGTCACATTGTTGGCACAGTTGACCTCAGTGGTATGGAATGCCTTCTAATAGCATCTACTTTTAACAAGATATAAAGTGAATATGCAGCACACAAAAAATACAAGAAGGGACACTGGGATATAAGTATGCTTAGTGTTTAACATGTCATAGAGCTTTTTTCTTGTATTGTACCATTAGAAGGCTGGAAGGGTCAGGAAGATCTCCTTATTCACTTTCTTGTCCTGAAGCAGCATCCTCTATCATTATTTGATTTCTCATATCCATTTCTCAGAAGAAGATTCAAGGAGAATTACAACAGAATTAAAAGATAAACATGTTAAACAGTAGAAACAACTAGCTACTAAACTACAACACCCCATAAAACAACTGAAATATCAGTGATAACCATAAACTTATATATAAACAATGTATAAGTAGTCCATCAAATGCCTGGGAATAAACATGCCAAAAAGATGACAATATTGCCACTAGGTAGATCTCACAGGGGAACACATTACATAAACTGCTTGGGACTAAGCTACCTGAAAGACTCCCTTTTCTTATAAAGCCACTCCAGTTCGTTAAATATGTAGGAAAGGCCCCCATGTTTTGAGAGCTCAGCCTTCAGAGGTGTGTTTGGTGGCAATGTGAAAAAGGGCTGCCTTGGTGGATATTTTCTGACTGTCGTGCTCCCTGCCAAGGAAGGCTAGGTTAGACAAAGGCCACTTTATTCAAATAAGATTTTGGTGTGTAAATGGATGCTGCCCCCCCATTATTGTTGTGTGCGATTTTTACTGTGTTCAAGTGATTTTAAGCTTGCAAATGTATTCATGCATTTGCTTATTGGTTTTAAGCAAATCAAGTTTAATAAGTTGATTGTAAACCTTGAGAGTCATTTTTGGTAGGAAAGTAGGATACATTTTAAATAAGTGAGGGGCTGAAAAGACCCTCTCCCTTGTCACCATCCTTCAACTCACCCTTGGAAAAAGGTCTCAGATGTTGATTCTAGGGCATATACATACAACAATATACTATGTACACAATTCTTGTTGAAATAGCAATATGCTAAAAGCAGAAAGGAGAAGCAGATAGAATGCCCTCACTTGTCTGATTCAGGAGTGTTTAGAGAGAAATTGCTATGTTCTACAGCAAGTGAGCTAAAAGACAATGTTTCTACTTAGTCTTTTACTAGTACTTGCTACCTCTGAAATCTTTGGTGTAGTTTTTCTGGCAATTACCTATGGTTGCATGATTAGATAAAGCCTGCTGCCTTGGTACCAGTCATTTCCTGTCCTCCACAGGTGATCATGCCATGAAACTGTCATACTGTCTTCATAATACTACGGGTACTTCTTGAACAATGCATCTGCATGTTTGTAAACCCAAGGGTATGACCTCATGTTGGGATGAATGTGGGAACAGGAAAGAAAACAGAATGCTCCAGGTTGGGCTTCAACAGATGAAACTGAACTATTCTTTTGCTTCTTGTTTGGAAGCTCCCAACTAGGTATGTTGTAATTTTCCTCCAATATTCTTTTCCTTTAAAGCATTTGTGAGGAACTACTAGTACCTGTAAAGCATGATAAATGTAGAAAAAGCTTGCCTTCCCTGTTGTAAGGTGGCAGTCCATTTTAGAATTATGTGTGGTTTCAGGTGGTTGTAGGATGTCTGACTGGTAGAGTCAAGCATGTAACTGAAGGTGTAAATATTTTTCTAAAGTTTCTCTTGCTTTCAATCTGAATATGTTTGCTTACAGTACATTATGTTCTTAAATCTGGGGCTGTGATTAAATGAGAGGATCTAATATTCCAGACAATATTCCAGGCAAGAAAAGGAAGCTGCCTGAGAACAGATCAAGAAATACTAGAAGTTAGAAGCTGCCTGTCCCTTAGCACTGGTTTTGGCCATTAACTCCAGCTTATGAGGCAACAAAACTAGTCAGTCTTGGTAACATAGAATTCTTTCATACCAGCTAGTCCTGGCAAAGGCATCTACTATGCAAATGTCATTGACTAAATTGATCAATTGATCATTGGGCCATTGACTAAAAATCTAACAATTTGTTGGCATTTATTTAATGAGGTTTTGACTCCAATATATACCCTGGATAAAGAGGCACCGGGTTTACAAACAAGTGGGGTAGATGGGGAGAAAAGTAAACAGTAAATGATGTTCTTGTAGATGAGTGCAGTTTATTTATGACCACCATCTAATTGGGGTTTGGGAGGCCCCCTTCAGAGTTAAACAGAAAGCAGCTGTCCCAGGAGGGGCTACACATGTTGTTGGAGAATGTAAAAACTAAAAGCTTTGCTGGACTTAAGGCATTGGATATTAGCGCAATGGTAACTAGCTCCCAAAAAACCTCTTCCTGGGGCTGGTATCTAGGATAACTTAGTCTCTACCAAGGATTCTGTCCTCCCCAAGGGATTCTTGCTTACTCCTTCTCTTTTCAGATGCTGCTTTCTTTTTCGTGGATTCCAGAAAAGCTCAACTATGTCTAAAGACATCTGGAATGCTTTGACTGTTTGTCTGTCACTGTGGCAAATAGTCACTTGATTGACCAGTGGCAAAAACTTCCCCAGGAGAAGACAGGAAAAGCTTTAATGAAGTCCTCCCTGCCTCTGGTCACTCTTTTAGGCTCCAGATCGCTTGAAAGGGTTTGTAGGGGGAACTAGTGAAATTTGTTGTAGACTGCTAACTTCAATGAATTTGCGAGCCCCTTTAAGGGGATAGCTTCAGAGCACAAGAGCTTCCCTATCCCTGCACCATACCATACCATGATTGGCCCTCTGTTCCTGAGCATTCTGTTGCTTTTTCTGCTTTGGAGAAGAACACAAGGACTATTTGTGAGGAAGTACTCTTGCCTGCTGTGCCAGGTAGCAAACTTATGAAGCGAGACCTATCACACATTGGGGAATTCTGGGAAGTGAATGGGAAGGCACTCACATGCATATATACGTTGCATATATTTTCAGTAGAAGTTGAATTGGAGGTATCAAACCTCTTAAAATTCCTAGATATTTTGGGCCATGTTCTTGGTAAAATAGCTAGTGTTAACATCTACTTTCTCATTTCTAAAGCCATGAGGGCTAGTCATTTTCTTAAAAAAAATAAAATTCTTAGAAATCTGATATGTAACCATAGACTGTTTTTGGAAGCAGCTATGAGTTCCTAATGTCTAACACAGGACACTGTTGATCATACTTGTGTGTCCTGCCTCCTCTGATAATTGCAGTTCACTTAGTCTTTCACCAAAAAGATTCTTAGTGGATTATGCTTCTAGACTGGGGAATGTCTTTGTCTACTCCTAGAGTATTGGACAAAAATGCTGAGGTTCCTCAATTTTCATTCATTAAATACTGGAAATCTTTTCTGCATAGCATTTGAAAAAACATCATACAACTTCTCTGGCAGAACTAGAGATTGGCAAAGACATTTGTTCTCTTTTGTACTAATATAATAATCAGGGATGATAGGATACATTCTCACATTCGGCTTGCTTACAGTGTACCTTCCATGCATACACTTTTCCTTAGTTTTTCAGGCCCAAATCCAAATGGGGAAGATGAAGAGATTGAAATCAGCAAAAATGAACCATATTATCCTGCTCCTGTGTTGCCTTAAAGGAAAGCTCCTGAATTTACCCTTGCCAGTTTGTTGCTTACAGCAGTAGCTGGCCCAAGGGGTTAAACAGTATGAGCAAGCCCTCTAAGGCCAAATACATCACAAGGCAATACAGAACCAGGACATCGGGAAGCATCTTTCCTGGCCAAGGAAAATATATGGAAGGTAAATTGCAATGGCTGTGCACGATCCAGATTGTGAACATCACTGATCATGAGGTATGTTGGTTAAGGTATTAGCCTTAGTTTTCAGTTTCCTAGCTTTGTGGAACTTGAGCCAATATGAGATGGCCTTAACTCTGATCATAAATCAACAGGCTTTTTTGTTATTTAATTTGCTTGTTTTTTGTAAAGGAAATACATTGACCCTTCTCCCCAATGTACTTTAATCAGCTTTTGTTTTGCAAGTTTACCTATAGGGTAAGTTGGATTACAAATACTTAACTAATCATGGTAGTAGTCAATTTCATTTCAAGAATCAGGATTTTAGCATCTTGGGGAGAATTTCCTTGAATAGATGAGGCTGATCTGCATAGACAGCCACCCTCTATGTACAGAAGGCAGAAGAGTGGGCTAAGCGAATCAACTCATCCCCTCTTCCCTTTTGTAGGGCATATAGATTCTCACAAATGTCATAAAGAAAAAAAACACATTAACAGTGAAAGTGTGATACACAATCCTTTCATGCTCTTTTCCAACTACATAAAACAAGATCAAAGATAATGGGTCTCATGCAGCATTTCTGCTTTCAGAAAGGTGGTAAGAGCCCCTGGTACTTCTGCTCCTCCCATATGTATATTCCATCTCCATCCCTCCCAAATTTCTTAAAGTGCATACTATTTTACAGATGTTACCAAGTTGTTTCCTCAAAGTAGGTTCATGGGTCTTGATAGGAATCAAGACCTTAATATAGTGAGTAGTGGGGGTTAACTTTTTGCTTTATGCCTGTAATTTACATAAAACCTGATACGTTTTTGACTATGTTAATTGGGAACAAAAGGGGTCCCAGTCCATGTATTAACATGTAGTTTCAGCTTGTTTTGGCCACAATTCTATTTAACTAATGGAATAAGCATTGCAGAAAGAAATTTCTTGTGATACAGTTTATTTAGTTATTTAGTTATTTATTAAAACATTTTTATGCCGTCCCATTTGCCGAAGCCTCAGGGCGGCTTACAACGTTAAGTTAAAAAATAATTATAACATTAAATTAAAAAATACAAACATTAAGTTAAAATGCAAAAATAACAATATAAAATAAGTTCTTTTGAAAACTTTGGGGTATTGGCAGCACTGTAGCTATAGAATGAGACTGAGCATACCCGATGTAACTTTGCCCCAGATTGCTTTCCTAAGCTTTCAGGGCCAAAAAGGCAATAATAAGTTTTGAACCACTGTTCAGAACTTCACCAAAACAATGAAAGACACACCTCAACAAGATTGGTAGTTTTCACTAGAGCTTGAAAGAATTATATGATATGATTATATTCAGTTTAGAATAAAAAGGGACAAATGTGTCAATTTTAGCACTGCCTAATATGTTGTACCTGTTGCATTTTGCATCCGATTGATTTCAAATTTTGCAACATCTGATGGATCATAGATGTCAAGCTTAAGCTGGTTAGTAGAATATGCAGGTTTGTAATGGCAGAACCTTTTGTTTTTCACCTCACCTTAATTAAAAGGGCACTCCTTGCACAAGAGTTTCAGAAGGGTCATTTTTCTTAGGCACTCCTGCTCTGTTGGAGTTTACTAGAATTCCATCCCATATCTTTGCCTCAAGCTGCTATAACTCTCTTGCTTTGGCGGGTAGGTGGTAAAACTGGATGCATTCCAGTAGCATTAATTTCCCAGTTGAAATAGGTTTGAATGGTAATTTGTCATTAGGCTTATGGTTTTGACAGGTATCAACACTGTGTACGATCAGGAATGAGTCATGGTTCTTCCGGTATCTGTTTCTTCTGAAATATTTCTGTGGTGACTTGGTGCCTGATAGGGATCCATCTATGTCTCTTTAGTTATGCAAAGCCTGCATAGTTAAATCTGAACCCTGCTTGTTTTTCACATAGGAACGTAGGAAGCTGTGTTATGCTGAGTTAGACCCTTGGTCCATCTAGCCCTGTATTGTTAACACTACCTGGCAGAAATGACTCTTTAGGTTTTTAGGCTGAATTCTTTCCTAGCCCCAGCTGGAGAAGTTGGGATTGAATCTGGGACTTTCAGAGCAGGTGTTCTACAACTGAGCTATAGTTCCTCCTTTTAGGAGGGTCATAACATGGAGTTAAAGTCTACACTAGAAGTGTTGGGAGAGTTCTTGCAAACATTGATTCCCAAGTGTTGGGCACGAGACTTCAAATTCTTTGATTTCTTGTGCACCACCTCCTCCAAATATCTAAGTGCCTGGCACCTGGGGCTTCTTTGAGCCTGCTGGTTGGAGTTGTATTCCCAAAATATTCATAGGCTCTGTAGTGAGTGAATGAACAGTTTCCACTGTGAGAGTCAAAGTGAGCATCTGCACTGCAAATTGAAACCAGTTTGATACCATTTTAATTGTCACAGTTCCCTTCAGAGAGCCATGGGAACTGTGACTATGGGAGGATTTTGAGAATGCTGTTAGATTTTCAGCTTCTTTATGGAACCACATTGGCCAGTGTTCCTTGGTTGGGAGCCAAAGCAGGTAAACAGGTTTAGAAGAAACCTGTTTAAATTTGCAGTATGTATGTGATCAGAGTGGCACTTGTCTAGAGACTTAACTCTTTCCTATAGAGTTAGAGAGGTATACAAGAAATGTGAGCCCAATTCTACAGTGCTTTGTGTAATAGAGAGATATAAGCAAGTTTGCTTCTTTTTCTACCCCAGTCTCCTCTTCGGCTTCTTGGCTAGTTCTATGGTATCCACAAACATATAAAATAAAGAATGAACAAACCTTAAGTTGATGATAGGCAATCAAAAATGTCAGAATTAAGTGGTGGTATAGTATAGAATTTTTTTAAAAAATAGTACCTTTGCTTTTGCTAAGAATTTTAAATTGAAATTACATTTTTTAAATTTAAGGTGGATAGCATTGATCTACCTATAGTCTTTCTAATGTATTTTCTATGACTTTGGAGGATAAAGTTCTCCCATAGACTCTTGAATCAGGTCCATTAATACCCTGTGTGTACAGCTTCAACAGATGAACCAATTACTTTAGTTTTCCCAAGACTTCTGAACATTTTTGCCTCTCAGCATGCTGTTTTAATTATTATGCTGTGTTATTCCTGTGTTAATAGTTTTTTTAATAGTAAATTTGTCAAGATCTTTTTTTATATGATGGCTGCTATAGAATTCACTTTAAATGCAGACCACAGTGTCAACTTAGCCATTTTATCTTGGTATGACTGCTGGTAGGATCAGGTGGGGATAAGGATGAGGATGGTACAATATGCACACAAAACTTTTAAGAGGGAACAATGCACACTGGTACTATCTTCTGTGACTGAGTTTGGTGTTGCTTCTTCTTTGTAATAGTTTTCTCTTTCATTCCTAATGTTGTAGGTGTATGAGTGACCCAAAAGTTCGCTTTACGCTGAGCCACCAGGGAGTGGGGCGAAGATGCCAATACCACCTCCCCCTCCCCCTCCCCCTGGACCACCCCCACCCCCAACTTTCAATCAGGTAGGTGGTCCTTCTGTTCAACTCAGGTCTCAGTTGACTATCGAGTGGCCAACATTCCTGCCAGCTAGTGTGAGGGTCCATAGACCAAGAGCCAGGTACAATTCTTATTATGTCTCTGTTCTTGGTAGTATATCTGGGAAGTGCCTTTGCCTGCCTCTTGATAGGAAGATAGTTACTGTAGCTTCTTTGCATTCTTTATGTATGCAAAGAAGCCATAACTTAGTGTTTGCTCATATTGCTTGTTTGTAGAATTTCCAGCTTCAGTCCCTAGCTGCTCCAGTTCAAAGAATTAACAGGGCTGTGGGATCTTGTAACTTTGGAGAGGACACATTAGTCATATAACTATAGCATACGATATAACTATATGGTACCCTATTCCATGGCCCGATGGATTAGGATTGAAAAATGGATAGGAGTTGTAGGTGAGGTGAAGGTGGTTCCATGCTGAAGAAATGATTCTGTGAAGACCTTTCCAAACATGCAAGAGAGGGAAAAACACTTTCTTGCAAAGTGTGAGGTTCCAGGGCAAGGTTTTCTGATTACACTGAATACCTCATCTGCAGAGTTCCCCTCATTCAGGGTTGAAAGGTAGGTGCTACTTTTTTTGAAGGAAGGAGAGAATGTAGTTTCTGATTTTCAAGAAGTATCTGAGAACATTGGCTGAAAAGCATTCACTTGGGCACCCTAAAGTGGTACCTTTCTTTGTTCACTTGTGCCATCTTCTCCCTTCAGGCAAACACAGAGCCTCCAAAATTGAGCAGGGATGAGCAGCGAGGGAGGGGGGCCCTCCTGCAAGACATCTGTAAAGGGACCAAGTTGAAAAAGGTGACCCAAATCAATGACCGGAGTGCACCCATACTTGAGAGTAAGTATGGGGGCTGGAGAAATTATAAGCCCTTTGCTGTCTAATCAAATGGAATTTCTGCCTCTAAATACAGTCCACCAGCTTCCAGATGTTCTTGCTGCTTCTATTGGAGATAACATATAGACTAGTAGTCAGTCACATCAACTCTTACTGAGCTTGAGCTTTAACAGAATTGAGTGGCAGATATGGGAGAGCACAGTCTAGGAGTTATCTAAATGGAGGCAGTGGGTGAGGCATGGGGGTCAGCTTGTGGCCAGTATGAATCCAGGATGGGATTTGCTTAGATTTGGCTGCAAGCTGTTTGATATGGTATGTGCTTGATCTAGCTTTGTCACATTAGGCGTTAGACCAGAAAGGATGAATTTTTTTCCCCATCGTACACCATAGAATGTAGCTGGGTTCACTTGGTTGAGTTACCTGGAGTTTTTACTGGCATATGCTTAAGTCACTTCTCATAAGGTAACTTCTGTGTTGCAGTCCCTCTCAGCTTGAGGCGCTCTCTGGTTTTGATTCGCTTAGCTTGATCTTCTTAGGGAAGTCTCTGAACTCAGTCCCTTTAGCTCTGTTATCTGACTAGGCAAAAGGAAAGAGCTGTCAGGGGAAAGACTAGGCAAGAAGAACAAGGGAGGGAAGGGCTGTGTAAAGCACAGAAACCTCATAGTTTGACAGCTAGAATTCCTGACTGATCCATTCTTGGTATGCAAGCATTTGCATATCTGCATCCCTGAGAGCTGTTCTTAGTTTTCTGAGGAACAGCTTTGATACTGAATAAATAGTTCTTGCACTGTACCGCTCTCAATAGTGCAATGACATGAAATACTAAAAGCCTGTGCTGAAACAGTAAAAGGTAGCTGAGGACTAGATGCTTAAATCTAAGCAGCAGATGCTGGGAATGGACATCACTGGATCCTGGTGTGAAGATAAACGTACAACATTTAATGTACAGCAATGTGCAACAAATGTATCATTCATACTTGGGAAGGAGTAGTTTGACTGTCAGCTGAACTTGAGAAATTTTTTACTTGCTATTTCCACTGTTGTTTCTGCTGGAGATGAATCCATCCTTGCTTTATCACATGCTAAAAAAAGTTTTCTTATATCCCTTTGTGCTGAATAAAATAATGCAGAAGAAACTGTCTATGAAGAGTCCAGGTGGAAGGAAATACTCATGTGCGTAACAGTCATCACCACCTTTTTGAATCATTCCAGCAGAGAAGCCAGTAAACTAACTACTAGCTTTTTTAGTGGCAGTCTTAATACCAAATTGCCATTGATCACATGTAAACCCCAAAGTGATGAGATAAAATGCTAGCTTGTATTGCTCTGATATATTGGCTAATCTGTGGATCTTTTCCCCCCCAGAATCCAAGGGCAGTGGCAGCTACAGCTCTGGGGCATCTCCTCTGCCACCAAAGGGGGGCCTTTTCCAAGGTGGTGTCCCTAAGCTTCGACCCGTGGGAGTAAAGGATGGTTCAGGTAATTCTGCCACACCTTAAATATTTGTACTTAGCTTTGCTACCAAATATGGCTCCCAAAATGGTTTACAAACGCTGATTAAAACAAACAATAAGCAAATAAGTTTAAACATTTAGGATCACAGTGATAACAGAATACAAATAACATCCAGCTCAGTGGTTCCACTTGAATACAGTTATCTTTGCCTGTTGATGGAAGGACAGCAGAAAGGGGGAGTGGTCGTAGCCTTCTTCAGCAGGGAGTTCCACAGCTAAGGAGTGATCAGCAATGCTCTTTTGTGTTGCCACAAAACATCCCTCTGAATGGTCTGTCTTAAAGATCTTAAGACCTTGGCAGGCTTGTGTGAGAGAAGGACTTGCAGGTAGCCCGTTCCCAAGCTATATAGGACTTTATAGATCTCACTTTGAATCTTGCCCAGAAATGGATGAGCAGCCAGTGAAACAGTTGTGATTGGGAGTGGGAGACACTTCAATAGTCTGGCTGCAACCACCTGGACCAGCTGAAAATAAGAGTGATTTAAATTATTATTGGAAAATTAAAGACCTTGTGCTTTAATCTTGGTAGATGCAAGTATTTGCATCTACTTGTGAGCTGCCCTGAGGCTTCGGTGATGAGTGGGGCATAGAAATGTTATAAATAAATAAATAAATAAATAAATAAATAAATAAATAAATAAATAAATAAAGTATTTAACTCCTCAGGAAAGATGATTTGTAGTACTATCCACATCCAATTGATGCAATCAGCCAGATTTCCACAGGCCTTAATGGCATAATGCCAGTAAAACCAACCCTGGCCAGATTTAATACCAAGGCTGGATGCCAGGTCTGCCTCTTCATCTCTTTGCATTTATTGCTGGCATCTGTCAAGGAATGCTTGTGCCAAGATGAACCTTACTTAGCCTTTGCCTCTTTTTTGAAGGATATTTGCCTCTACCACCCACATCTGAAATGAAGCAGATGGTCCCCAAGGTCGGGCTTTTTTGGTAGCGTCTCTGGAATGTCATCCCCAAAGTGACTTCCTTGACATTGACTGAGTTATTTCTTTGGTACCAGCTAATTAGCTTCTCTTTACTGAGACTCTTTACCCTGTATCTGATCTTGCAGGGTCTCATATGCATCTATTTCCCTGTGATTGATTCTCTTATTTTAAATTTTAATATGATTATTGTTTGAATTGATTTTTTTGCCTGTTGGCTGGTCTGATTGCCCTCTGGAGTTGAAAAATGGGCTACAAATATATCAGACATCATAGGGCTGTTATTCTTAAGATGAACACTGGTTGGAATGTGTGAACTCTCTCAGTCACTGGCTTGGCTGCTACCATACTGAAAAGGGAAGGGTAGACTTAGGAAGTTGTTCAACAGTGGTGTTTCCCTCTGGGGAATGAAAGGTCACCTTGGCTGGAAGGAACTTGACACAGATCTTCAGGGGAAGGAAGGAGGATGGAAGTTGCGAAGCTAAATGGTACAACAGTTTAGGTGAATATGGTAGGCCAGGGGTCTCAAACTCGTGGCCCGCAGGCCAATTGCCGGGATGGGCAGGGCACGGGAGAGGGGTCCTGTGGCCTTCAAAGCGCCGGCGGCGCCTGGGCCGGCCGCAGGATGAGCAGCCCACCACCACTGTAGTGGTGGAATACTTGATGCGGCCCAGCCTCACCCAGACTGTACTTCCAGCGGCCCCCAGGTAAGTTGAGTTTGAGACCCTGTGGTAGGCGATAGCCTGAGAGGTAGACACCTGAGAATGTGGGATACACCAGGAATACACTGGTGAGGAGAACAGTAAATAAATGATGTTATAGTGACATGGAATGACTACTTTAATTTTATAAATGATACCGAAATCAAGGTATCAATGATACCAGTGTACCAGGCCCAACAACTATGCCTGGTACATTGTGGAAAGATACCTGTGAAATCTCTCTATAATTCTCTTGGTTGAGAGAACTGTTAATCAGATGGACAGTTTTTAATTTTTCTGACATGTGGCTAAAGAATTCCTTTGATTTGCTAGTTTTGTAATCCATGTTAATTGTACTTTAAATTTATACAAGAAAATTATAGTGGAAGGGGTACTCTCCCAGTGCTCTTGATTCAGGAGTGATACGTGGTTGATGTTGGGGGCAGGAGGCAAGGAAGTCGAAACACCAGTTCAGAAAGCCATAGAAATTGAAGAGTATTGAAATAATAGAGTTCGGTTGTTCACATAAATACCGTATTTTTTGCTCTATAAGACGTGCCTGACCATAAGACATACGTAGTTTTTAGAGGAGGAAAACAAGAAAAAAAATATTCTGAATCAAATGGGCACATAATCACGGGCACATTCCCCATCACTTACCCATGGGCTGCACATCTGACAGACTTACTGCACACACATATTCGCTCTACAAGACGCACAGACATTTCCCCTTACCTTTGAGGGGGGAAAAAGTGCGTCTTATAGAGCAAAAAATACGGTAAATGAATTATCCAAGCTTTGGTTCATGTTCAGAATTCAGAAGTGACCCTTTCCCCCTGACTCTCACACCTATGTCTAATACTTAATTTGACTTTCTTTTACTCATCCCTCTGGCTGCGGGAATTACTTGTGCTTAGACCCCTGAAATCTGCTCCGTCATCTAGGATACAGCATCTGTATACGCTGCTGCCCACCCACTCTGTTGGAGTCTGCTTTCACTTAATTGGCTGCAGTCAACCTAGCATCCTTCTAAGGGGGAAATACAGTTTTGCCAGAATCAGTTGCTATACCAGAAAGCAATGTTCAATTCATTTTGCTTCTCCAACATTAATTCTGTGTTCCATATTTAGTTTCAGATAACCCCTCTGGGAAGCAGTTGCTTCAGGTTCCTGGGTCCAGATCAGCTGCACCACGCCCCCCTGTGCCTGCTACCAGTAGTCGGCCTCAAGATGACACCGATAACAGTCGGGCTTCTCCCCCTGAGCTTCCACGCATGCAGAGACCTTCCTTGCCTGATCTCTCACGGCCAAACAGTGCCAGCAGCTCTGGCATGAAACACAGTTCATCAGCCCCACCACCTCCACCACCAGGACGCCGAGCCAACGCACCTCCTGCTCCTCCTTCCATGCACAACAGCAAAGCACCTTCCTACAACCGCGAGAAGCCATTGCCACCAACTCCAGGGCAGCGACCTCCAGGGAGTCGGGATGGACCACCAGCTCCTCCTCCTATCAAGCCACCCCCTTCTCCAGGGAACATCCGGATGGGACCAAGCAGTCAAAGCCAGTCCTTGGCACCCCCTCCTCCACCTTACCGACAGCCCCCTGGTGTCCCCAATGGTCCTGCCAGCCCCACCAATGAATCTGCCCCCGAGCTTCCACAGAGACACAATTCCTTGCATAGAAAGACACCGGGACCTGGGAGGGGCATGGCACCTCCCCCACCCCCTTCAGCCTCCCCTTCCTTACAGAGCAGTCGCCCCCCACCTCCTGCCCGTGATCCTCCTAGCCGTGGTGCAGGTAAGAGTTTTTTCCTGCCCTCATTTCTCTGAAAAACAGGTGATGGAATTGATGCTTCTGTTAACAGCCTCTTGCTAATTTCTAAAAAAAGGAAGTGCCAAGGATCAAATGTGCCTGAAGGTGTGCCTAACACCTTATGATTTAAAAAGTATGTATAGTAGATTACTGAAGACTGAAAATGTCCAGGTTTCATGTGAGGTAGCTTAGTGACTGAGATGTTCCCAATTCCAATTCTAAGCTCTGCCATGTTAATTAGCTGGCCCTGGACAAGCCATTTGATGAATAATGTTCATTTAGATTACAGAGTCCTTGTAAGAATGCTTTGAACACTTGAAAGTGTTGCTCAGATGTTAAATGGTTACAGCAGCATGTGCAATTTCAGTCATATGGACTGTGACCAATATTCCTTGGATCTGGTATTTCTGGAAATTTTTCTTTATTTATACTGCTGGAATTATGCATTCATACTGCTGGATTTATACATCTATAAATGTATATACATGTGTATACAGTGTACACTAGGAAACTCATCTCAACCACAGGCAAACCACTGTCACGTCGTCCTTTCCGTATGCCTTTCATTTTCAGTATGGGTCAGTACACTGGCCTGTCTTTCAAGGTGATTGTGGAAACTGCAGAGATGCTGTTTTTGCAGTGCTTTGATTTCTGAAATTCCCCTTATCAATGCTTAGTATTATCTAGCAGAATTGTGTGGAAGACTGTAGTTCTTGGAAATGACTGATGCCCAGGGACTAATCCCAGGGCCCTGCACAAGAAGAATGCTGCCACCATAGTCTGTTTTTGACTCTTGGGAAACAAGAAGGTATTCACATCTCCTGGTGGGCTGTCATGCCCCCAGCAACATTTGGATTGAAATTTGTTTTCTGTCTTGTGTAGACAAATGTATTATGGTTGTTATAATAGTTGCCTTTCCAAAATGGGGTGTTTCAGCTTAAGGTCAGATCATCAGTCCTATAAAATGCAAACCACTGGTAATTTGGCAGAGTCTCATGCTTTTCAGAACAAATAAAAGTGTGAAGATTTGATTTGCTAGGTTTATATGATTTATTTAGAAATAATCTGACCCATGTTAAGTGTGGTGAAATGTGTGTATGTGTTTCTATGGGATATAATGAAGAATGAACCTATGTCAGGGTGTTCAAGTGATCTGCCCAAAATAATTATCATGTTATTACAAACCCCTCAGAAAGAAGCTAAGTGGGTGATTGGCATAAACTAGTCATGTTCCAAGTACAGAGTAAAGCATTTTTTATCTTTACCTTAGTATGCACAATGTTCACCAAAGTGGTTGGCAACCTGCATGTGTGAACTGGCCTCCTCAAGAAGTAAGAAACCTCCTTAGTGGAGCTGGGGAGGTCACCAGAACATAAACCTGTATGGCAGGTGTGGGGCAGGGCAAGGCCATCACAGGTATACAGAGTTAGTGATGTCAGATGCTGATGGGAAGTCCGTGGTTGCTTCAGTTCTGCATGCCATAGAGCTTACCTACCTGGAGAGCTCTGCCACACCCTCCAGTCCTGACTACTAGGCTGGTTCATGAGTCAGTGACCTGAGGAATTTCCATTGCAGCCCCTCCACCACCACCACCACCCCTAGTCCGAAATGGGGGTAGAGATGCGCCTCCGCCTCCCCCGCCCTACAGAATGCATGGATGTGCAGATCCTGCCAGCCGCGGGAAACCACCCCCGCCTCCCACCAGAACGCCAGTTGGACCACCACCTCCTCCCCCACCCATGAGAAATGGACACCGGGACTCCATCTCCACTGTCAGGTCTTTCTTTGGTGAGTAAGAAAAACCTGCTCAAAGCTTAATGTCTTGTATGGCAGGGTGTAAGCTTGCCTTGGTCTGGGGGACTGGATTCCCTGCTCCCCAAAACCAGTCTGGCAGATCATGACCTCAGTCCTGGATCTCCTATACACCAGGATTTTTCTCTAGGCAGAGAGAAGCATGGAGCTCCATGTCTCTCTCTGCATGAAGAAAGGGATCCTTCTGGTACTTGGAGGAGCTAAGTTGCCAGCTTCAAACACTGCTCCTTGTCCTGACAGGGATGATAAGCAGTATGCACAACCAAATCCCCACTTTTATCTCTGACCAGTGATCAGAGCTAACAGCAGGGATTCCTTCTCCCTAGAGGATGGAGGTGTGGTTGGAAGAGAGCCTCCACTAACCAAAGGGGAAAACTTCACAAGTAAGAGCATTTCAGTCATGGCTGTACAGCATTTCAGCTGACCGTGAGCCATGCTCAGATTGCAAAGACTCATAGCCTGCCTGTAACGTATGGCTTTATGGAACTGTCCAGAGAGTTTTGGTTATTAGGCACTATAGAAATACCATAAATAATATGGAGTAATATTGCTACTTTGGCTAGTGAAAATACTGTGATTGGCCAAGGAAGAAATGTGCATATATGGGGATGGAGTGGTAGATCTCAGCGCTTCGTTTAAAATTAGGAGCCATCTGTATTTGGTTTGTTGGAATGTTGTTGAACACCTGATGCTTGGAAATCCATATCTTAGAACAAGAATGAAGTTTATGAAGCTATTTTTAATTTGCCCAAAATAATTATTTTAGCAACCTTACTAAATTAAAGGATGGTAAAAGGTATGCCTATGTTCCCATGCTCCAAGGAACTTAAACTTGTTTACAAAGTTGACAGTCCAGGTATATTGTTACGTGGGATAGTATTAGGTTTATATACAGTTGATTATAAGTTTTCATGTTGTATGTGCCCTGGCTTATTGCCACTTGGAAAAGCACTGTGGTATATTTTTATACATGTTGAATTGTTCAGTCATGCACATTTCAGAATGGCAGTAATTCTTTGCCTGTTTGCATGTGAAATACTACTACTTGGTCTCCTGGTGACACTGAACCCCTGCAGGCTGGTCCACAAATCTGCCCAGCTACCTAACCTTGCATAATGGTAGGGTCAGCTACTTCGAGTGGCCATCTTATAATTTGAGCCATCATTCCAGCCTCTCTCACACAGAGCCTTAAGGACAGGATCTACCAGACAGTGGGGAAATATTTTGGACTAAATGTAGTCTTCCATTCATATGTTGCATGCTACCTTAATGAAAATTACTTTAACCCTTTCCCTCCTTTTCTGTAGATGACTTTGAATCCAAATACTCTTTTCATCCAGTTGAAGACTTCCCAGCTCCAGAAGAGTTCAAGCACTTCCAGAGAATTTATCCCAGCAAAACTAACAGAGGTGAGTGCTGATCTAGCTGATTCCTGTATTTCCGTCTGATCATTTGTGAACAGTTTTCAGCTCTTTGCTCAAGAACTTGGCAAGTTGTGATGGATGATTTAAGATTACTCCATATGACTGGGCATACAGCTTGCTACCACTACAAACAAGATACGTTTGCCATAAGCTATTCCTTTGTTCTATTTTCAAACGATACAAATGATTTTGCCTCTCCTGTCTTCAGTGTGTTTTCACAAGGAAGAGGGAAGGTAAGAGAATGCTAAAGGGGAATACTGGAGTGGCAGAGGCAGATGAGATAGCAGTGAGAATAGGGTGGTGCAAGAGCTCGTAGTTCTTCCTTTGTAAGGTTTGTAGGACTAGGCCATGTCATCCAGAAGCCCAATCACTTGCAATTCTCTTGGGAAAAGCAGAGTTCTAAAAGAAATAGAAACTGGACTTTGGAGGAGGGCTAAGTGAATCAGAAACCTACACCGTCTCTTTCTAGAGAGTGTGGAAACCTCATGTTCTCTTTTGCTTTGGGGCCAGACACCCTGAAGAAGCAAGTGCCCTGATGTGTACAGCAATTATATTAACAACATCTGTTGTCTTTTCAGCAACTCGTGGGGCTCCTCCTCTGCCTCCTATCCCCAGGTGAAAAATAGCAGCTGGGAATCGTTGCACAGTACCGAAAAAAATGGACCTGTGTTCTTCTCAGATTTTCCCACTTCCTTCCCATCCCTCAGAAACCTGCATGACAAATACATTCCTGCCATTGATCCCTACCCCATGGTCTCAACTGTTGCAAGAACCTGGATGAATTTACCACTGCTCATCTCCATCTATGCATTCACCTGGGTGAGAACCCTGTTCTGCAGATCTGCGTTGGCTTCCCATTTTTCCTGCCACTTCCTTGTCAGCGGGTGAGATCCTGGTTCAAGAATAAGTGTGCAGTGAATATTTCCCAGAAAAGCAAGCTAAACAGTTTTGGAACTGCACATAAGATTGAAAAAAACTTTTTCTAAATGCTTGCCTAGCATGGAGGTGGGAAATGCCTATGAGTTAGGTGAGATGCAGAATTCTGACTTTTAAGGGGGGGTAGCATTGAATGGACAGAAACGGCTATTCCACGTTTGAACACAAACACTACATACTAACTCATTAAATTGTGTAACTTGAAGAGAGGAGGGAAGAAAACAGCATTCCCTGGAGCAGATTCGAAATGGGGAAAGCTACACAAATGTAGCAGTATCCATGGTAGCACAAGAGAAATCCAGACTATACTTTGCTATTGTTTAATTGTACCTGTGTTCCTTATCCTGCAGATTTGGAGCCATTCTTTTTCTCAGGAGTGTTAGCTCCTGGCATCCCATTTCAAGCTGTTGTGACTCCTTATGATGTTGTTCCTGTGAATTGTAAAAGGTCTAGGAATCACATACATGAGCATAATATCTGGTGGCCCCCCCACTGCCACAGGTGCAGTAATAATAAATGGTGTGCCTGGGGTGAGGAGAGTAGCAGCCACTGAGGGCAGCAAAGGAAAGACATGTGGGCAAAATTGTGGGGAGCCTCGGCTTGGCGAGCTGGTGGTGGAGTCCAGCAGCAGGATGGCAGTTATGAACAACATATTAAGGAACCATGGGTGTAGGTGTTCAGCAGTGTAGGAGAAGACATGCTTAGTCCCAAGTTCCTATCGGGACTCCAGCTTGTCTGCCCTGCCTCTTCGTCAGAGGACCACACGTTACTATTTCCACAAATGGAGGCATCATCTTATCTTCTTGTGCTCTAAATCTCTTTGAGAGGGACCTGTCTGAAGTACTCAACCATCCAGCAGTAGACGGCTTACCTCTGTGCTGAGAGGTGGATGGGCCCTGGCTGCACATCCATCCCAGAGAGGGCTTTGCCAATTGGGAAGTATCAAAGTGAGAAATGTTGACGCTCTGGTTATGAGCAGTGTGCTCTTCCTAGACTGCTCCCAGTTAGTATTTGGTTTTTCTTAAAAGAATAAAATGCCTAAGTAATAAATCAAGTGTTCTAGCTCAGAGTTCACCATGCATAGCTAATAGCCCACTCCAGCAAAGCAGCCCTTAGGATGGGAGAGACCGGGGAGTTCCCCTTATGCTTAGGTTGGTCAGTTGGACACAGTGTTCCCTGCATTTCTTGCACATGATTGTGAGGAAGAGGGCTGACACCTCTTTACATATTGCTGGGATGCTCCTGTGAGAATGCTGCCAGCCTGACCTGGGTCTCTTGGTTGTGGCATGGAAAAAGTGGACTGCCATCAAAGGGAGACTTCACAGTGCTGGACTTGTGTCTGAGGTCAGGGCAGAGGCATTCCTACTTGGTATTTTTTTTCTTCTAATGGTAGAAAGCAAATTCCCAATTGTGGATTGTGCACATGCTTCTCAATACACTCATTTGCTATGCTGAGAGTAATCCCATGTGAAAATGCATGCTGTCTGTCTCCATACATGCACAGCCTGCTGGGAAATCACTGTTAGGCTACTTCCCAGCAGTGGAAGTGTCACACTCTGGACTGATCACTGATCTTGGCCCTGGAGCAGCAGTGAATTTCTTACCTTCGTGCTCCCTGCTCTCATTTATACTCTTTGCAAATGGTTATAACATCAAACCTAGCAAGCTGGTTAGGGGTTTTGCCTTACAGACTATGTCAGTCATGTGATTGGTACCAGATTTATTATAATTATTGTGTATATTTACTCTGAAATAACTTGGGGGTGGGGAAATATGTGCTATAATCATAAATAATTGATCTATTTTGTATGTTGTAAAAAGTTTGTAGGCTTGCCAGCCATCCACTACAAATGTTCCCTCACCTTCTACTTATCTTTTTTTTCTTATGATGATGGAAATTCATCTGCTTTTATGTTTAAGACCAGGCATTCTCTCATGTTGAGGGGCTAGTGCTTGGTTGGAGGAATTGCTTTTTTTTCTGGAGGAAAATTAAATCTTACCCAGCATAGTTCGCTGGGAAGAAAAGTTAAATGCACTGTGCATTTGTGTATGTGTGTGTGTGGAGGGGGGTGTTAAATTTTGTAAGGTTATTTTCTCTGTAACATTGGCTTCTAATACGTGAATCCTTTGGGAAGCAACTGTGAAGGGTTTCCTAAGCTTGAAATGGCAGTCAAATGAGTACTTAATAAAAGAGGCACATGTGTTACACCTGCATGTTTTGGGCCAAAGCAGTACTTTCTTCCTCCCCTTTTGTTCTATAGATGTGATGTGGTGTTATTGCCAGGGTGGGTGAGATGTGTTCACTTTTTCCTTGTACAGGGGCAAATTAGCACATGCAAACATTTTCCTAACTCACTCTTTCCTTAATGCTCAGGGCAGGTTTCTACAGCATTTAAAATCAAACCCATAAGCATAGTACTCATATGGTCATCACCACCACAAATCTGAAATCCCTTTTTGCCCTCTCGGCTCCGAGATGGACTCTGCCAAAATGTATTTGAGCTCGTGCTGAAGGCTGCTACCACATACTATTGTTGGAGACTTGGGACCAGTTAGTCTGTTCAGCTTGATGCACACTTAATGCTTTCCCTCTGGGCCATACAGTTTTCAGGCAGCAGATGCAAGGGACTCACTTTAGTACTTCCCCATCTAAAAAGCTCACACTTCATTTAAGAAACAAAAAACAATAACTTGGGACTAGAAGTGCTAGACATAGCCTTCTAGGTGCAGATTTTTAGAATACTGAAACCTCTCTCTCTCTTCTAAAAAAAAAAAAAATTAAAATCCCAGGATTAGCTTCTATTCTTCTGAATATATCCAACCCACTTTCTGCACAAAGACTGAGGAAAGGCAATCAGGATATCAATTTTGTAGTATCTGAAGTTTTTCCAACTGGGCCCACTGTGAATTTTTTCAAAGATCAGGTATGAAAAGACAACCTCAGAGTAACCTGGGATGCAGTCTTAGATCCCTGTTTTCCTAAAACAATTGTTCTGTAGCTGTGGATCCCTGGTCAATAAAACTCGGCAACAGAATGAAGATACTCAGAAGGGGTCTAGAGGGGAAAGTCATATATGATGCTGACACTAAGGCTGGCTGCTGCTCCATGTTTGAGATGTAAATTCAGAGGACTGGCTGCAAGCAGCTTTTAATCAGCAGTGTGTACCTCTGTGCCACCAAGTGCTGATAATGCTCAGATGTGGTCTTGGGTTCAGAAACCCATCTTTCTGGGAACATTGAGACTTAAAGATAACATCTTTAAGAGATAACGTGGAAGCTCAGCCTGTGGGATGTGCTGGATAGATCTTTTCGAGTGGCTCAGAAAAAGGCCACATAAGTTTTGACCCTTTCCGACTAGAATATGTAGAATAAATGATACAAAATTGTCAAATAAAAATGCAGGATCATGCAAAATAGCTAATTTGCATAACTTGTACAGGTTGCAGAATTGCATATTTCTTGGTTCAGGATTTATGCTACCTTGGGCTCAGGGTTTGTTTGTTTTTAAATACCCAGCCCCTCTCAATGTTGTGATCATACTAGTCTTCCATTGCAACTGAAGTGTGAAACCATATGTGTGTGCCAGGACAAAGGCTCTTGTGGAAGAGTGTAACATGTCCATTGTAGAACAGCAAGTTCTCCAAGTTTTATTCACTGTGCCTTACCTTTAAGTGGTTCCCAGTGGGTTTTTGTTTGTGCATTTAAAAGTAGGGAGGAATATTTCTCAACCTTCAGTCTCAAGATGCACTCTGTATCCTTTGTATTAATGCTTATGTTTAACAGAACCATTACCCTTAACTAGAGAAACACTACTGAGAGCCACTTCCTGTGGTTCCAAGGACCAGAATATGGGTCTCTTGCACTGTTACTTTGTTTTGAATCTGCCCTTTGCCTTTAAGATAAAACCTCTGTGTACCCCTCATCTTTTGCTTTTATTTGTAAAGGTTTGAAAAAAGGCTTCTGTACTGTGTGTGACGTATTCCAGGATTCTCGCTATCAGCAAATACCTATGGCTTATGTTAAAACAAAAATAGCATCTTAATGGGACTTGCATATAACATTCTTTTACAATTTTGTTACCCTGTTACAAGATAACAAACTGTGACAACTCCCTTGATGTGGCATTTGGATTTTGTTTTGTTTTTTTAAGCTTTCTTTAAATATATATATTGCCATTAAACAGTCACAATAGTTTGTGCGTCTAAATTCCACAGACTGAAATATTACAATAAGCACATTGTTTTCCTGTATGCTTTTGATGTTCTTGTATGAAAGGAATACATGATTGTTTTTTTATACTAAGTACCTCTCTTCCTGATGGGAGCTCTGAAGAGCCGTTTCCCCTAAGACTCATTTGCAGCGGGCAGTAGTTTAAAATATGCTGACTGCTGGTAGAGGACTTGGGTAGGAATCAGTGAGTAACCATGTTGCAAACATACAGTGAGATTTCCAGTGTATCGCAGTGAACTGCCATTTGTACTGCTTTGACTAGAAGGAGATTTTTCAAGATCAGTTCCTCTTCCTCCTTGAATCCATAACATTCATCAGAATCCTAGTCTTGTTTTTAATGAGGAAATTACTAGTCCTCATGGTAACTATAGAGATGAGGGCTTAACATGTGTCTGCTGAAGCCTGATTGAGGAGGGGAGAAGGGACCTTATTCTCACTCCATACATACTACATTTGATAGTGCCTCCTTCTCTTACTATTTCACTACTTTGCAAAACACTGTACCTGACCCACAGTAAGTGGTGTTATCTCTGTTACATTGTAACTGCATCTACTGGTGCAGAACTGAGTCTCTGTCCATGATCTAATAAATTAATCAAATATACATTGTGTTTGCATAATTTGTTCTCTGCCTACTAAATAAATGTTGATTGCTTGTGAAGAATGTGTCTGTGCACATTCACACAAGTGTGTCTTATTTATATCGCATTTCATTATGTGGAATCCATTATATGCTACTTCTGTCTTCACAAAAGCTGTCTGTGCCATCTGGGGACAAGTTAAGTCTCAGGTATATGAGCGTAGGTGGCTTAAATGCCTTCTAAAAATCTCACATCTGTTAGCCCCCTTTCCCTCCCACAGTGCAATTTTACTATGATTTTGTTCATCCATCCTGTTTGAGTGGCCCTACTGTAAACAAGCCATAGAAGCCCCATTGTCATCCCCATTTCTGTTTTTAAGGCATCTAGCCCTTGAATAACTTGCTGTAGGAGGAAGGGACCTATTTAATCTACCACTGTCTTGCTGCATAATTTTCCTATGGCTCACTGGGTGTTTGGTTTTTAAAAGCTGCTGTAAGGCGAAGAGGGACTTGATGCAGCTTATGGAGGAGAAAAATGTTGATGTTTCTTTTTGCCTGCCCTGTTCCTTAGTATGAAAGGTTGCCTAGGACACCAGTTGTGATTAAACATTCAGTACCTGCTACTTCACCTTTAGAGCACAAATCTTTCAGCCTTCAGGCTGATTTCCAGTTTGGAGAAGGACTCAGGGGCCACATACCATTAGCTGAAGAAAAATTTATAGGGCCAAAACTAATCAGCATATTTTAGCTTAAAGTTGTTACTATTCCTACTGCTTTAAGAGAGTCATTTCAATCTTCTTAAATAGGGGAAGTTGCATAAAAATTGCCAAACAATTGCTTGTTGGGAAAAAGTGGTGTGGCCTTAGGGAAGTCCAGGCTGGATTTGGCTCTGAGATAACACACCCTTGTTCTTGGTGCCAAGCAGCACAGAGGGAAGTGATAAAGGAAACCTCCTCGCCCCGCCCCCGCCTTTGTATAATATTTATTTATTTAAGTTTTTATATGCCATTCCCTTGCTACATCGCCATGGGACGGCTCACAGAAATAAATATCTTACAAATACAGTTAAAAACCCGGAAGCTTCTCATGAACTACACCAGGGGTCCTCAAACTTTTTTAACGGGGCCAGTTGAAAGGTGCTGGCAATGGGCATGGGCATGGGCCACCAAGGCAGTGTGGGCAGGGAGGTGCGGGTCGGGGGAGACGTGTGCGTGTGGCGGGGCACCAGCTTGCTCACAAGCTGATCTTTTTCTCCGAGCAAGTCCAAAACCATCCCCTTGCTTGCAAGCTGCCGCTGGGCGCGCACACTGCGAGGCGGAGGCTTGCTCGCAAGATCCTTTTTCTCTGAGTGAGTCCAAAAGGATCTCCGCACAAGCCTCCGCCTCGCCACACATGCACGCACGCACGCACGCAGCAAGTCCAAAACATCTATGGTGGGCGGGATAAATGGACATGGCAGGCTGGATCCGGCCCGTGGGCTGTAGTTTGAGGACCCATGATCTACACCAGGGGTCCTCAAACTTCTTGAACAGGGGGCCAGTTGAAAGGTGCTGGCAATGGGTGCGGGCCGCCAAGGCAGTGCAGACGGGGGGCGCAGGCAGCAAAGCAGGGTTGGGCGTGCACAGAGATGGTTTTCTCCGAGCGAGTCCAAAACGATCTTGCGAGCAAGCCGGCACATCGGCTTGCTCGCAAGGAGATCATCCTGGACTCGCTCGGAGAAAACAATCTCCTTGCAAGCAAGCTGGCGCTGTGCCGCGCAGGTGCGTGGCGAGTCCAAAACCTCTGGCGGGCTGGATCTGGCCCCGGGCTGTAGTTTGAGGACCCATGATCTACACAGTCAAAAACTTTACTGAAGTCTATAAAACGTAGATTGATCTTCTGAAATTCTTTGGTGCTTTTCAATGTATTTGTGATACAATCTCAAGGGCCTCCTCAGGCATTTCTCGCTCTATACAGGGTAACATTCTTTGTTGTAACACTTTGAGCATCACTTTGCATGGGAAATTGGTGCAATATTGCTATGGTTGTGGCATCCCTTAGCATCTCATTCTTGGAGATTGGAATATATCTCAAGGTTTTCCTATTTTTCAGCCATTGTTTTCTTCTGAACATTTGTTGGCCAGTTCTTGTTAGGATTTGGACTATTCAGTCTCTACAGCTTGAAATAGTTTTATTGGTAGCCTATCTTCTCTGGGAGCTTTGTTCTTTCCAAGAGTTTTCACTTTGCTTTCTGATATTGCAGGCTCTTAAAAGTAGTCTGCTGTCTTTTCATCTCTTCTGTACAGTTCTTTCATATATTGTTTCCTCCTCCTCTTTATTTTCTCCTGGTCAAATAGTATGTGCCCTTATTTAGACTTCAGGATTCTTAATCTAGATTTGAATTTCCTTTTGATTTCTTGGATTTTCTGCAAAAGGTAACTTGTTTTTCCTCTTTACTGTGCTCTTCCCTTTCTTTGTACTGATCATTATTTTATTTATTTATTTATTTTAGAACATTTCTATGCCGCCCCATCGCAATAAAGCCTCAGGGCAGCTCACAAAACATAATAATCCTTTTTGTCTCTACTGTATTTCTCTATTGAAAAACTGCATTCAGGCTTCATATCCTAATTCTGTCACCTTTTGCTTCTCACCTGTCATTTGTGTTTCTTCCGTCATCCATCTAGGCTTTTTCTTTTTGCTACAGGAATTGTCTTTTTTGGCATTCTTTCCTAATAATATCTCCAGTTTCAATTTTCAGTTCTCCCATGGCCAACTGAGTTCAGTAATGCAAATATGTTCTCAATATGAACTTTAAATTCCTCAAGAATATTATTGAGATTGTATTTTGGGTTTATGCTTCTCTTTTCAACTTACTCTGTTTTTTGAAATTAAGAATTAACAGTCATCATGACAATTTGGTCTCGTACTGGCAGCGAGAATGCAACTTCTTTCTTGCTTGATTTACTTTTCCAGTTTATCACAGTTCATATGTCCCACAATCCAGGTTCAAATTGTATGTGGTGTGCAGTGTAAGGCTTTCCTTTCACCTCTGAGCATGTCAATATGGCTTCTTGTCTTTGATCATTACCATAACAGAACTCAGCATCCCCTTGAAATTGAATTGAATGGCGGTTCACTCCCTCTCTAGACAAATAACAGTATTTTGCATAAGATAATACATGATGGAATTAACTGTCACAAGCTATGACTGCTGTTTGCCCAGTATATGGTCTGAAGGCATCCACCATGTTGAAGCTAAGCAGGTCGAGGACTGAGCTTGGAGGGGAGACCACCTGGGAACCGCATGTAGTCACTTTGAGCTCCATAATGGGAGAAAGGTGGGGTTTAAGTATATAAAATAGTGAGCGCTTTTTTAGACTACATATCCCAGAATGCAACGCATCCTCTCACTTTCATTTTGAGGCAGAGTTTGATGGGGACCGTGGTCCACTCTAAAGAAGAGACGTCCGAAAAAAGAAACAGAACCAGGTGCTCCACTGAAAGCCGCTGTTCTTATATTCCTGCGATTGAATTTGCGCTTTTACACGTTCTAAAGCGTAATATGAATATTCTAAGTCAACTCGGAAGCTGCCATCGACGTCACCAGCCCTCCTCCCACCACGCTATCTTTTTCTATAGGAGGGCGGGCCTTCGTCCCTCTGAGCCCTAAGAGGAGAAAAAGAAGGTGATTGGTTGGAGGTAGGCGCCTCGCTGGAGAGGGCAGGGCCAACAAAAGGTTTGGGTTTGGCGCGAAGGGCGGTGATTGGCTTAAAGCGTGTAGCCGCGCGCGCGCAGAGAGCCAATGGGCGAACCCAAGCACGCGGCGCGCGCGGGGAGACTACACGTCAGTCAGACCGGGCGTGCTAAGAAGCAAGCAGGTAAGAGAGCGGGTCGTTTCTGCTGGGAAGGATCGATTTGTGGCCGATGCTGGGTGTGGGGAGGAGTGGGTCGAAACGCAGAGAAGATGGAGATGGCTGGGGAGCGGGGCAGGGAGGTCTCGTCATAAGAGGGGAAAGTCAGACGCTACCGAGCTTGGCTTACGAGACTGACTGCCACATGAGTTCAGTTGTGAGCGTGCTCCTGAATTTTCCTCTGAATTTACTCCTGTGTTCCGTTCTCATCCACGCCGAGGTATTCACACTTTGAGAGGCCGGTTGTTGAGCGGGAAAATAGCTTTAACTTATTAAAGGCGCAATCCTATGCACGTTCGGACAGAAAAAGGACCTACACCGCCTAGCATGCCCCAGCCACCATTGCAGGGTCTTTTTTTCTGTCTGAACATGCACAGGATTGCACTCTTAACTAAATTAAAAAATTCTCAGATTTCGGCTTTTAAAAAATTACAGTATTTAATCACATATCCCTTGTATCATCTCTACTCCATCACCCAGAAGATGTTTGTGAGGATTTAAAATCTTAACTTCGCATGCCCCAAGATAAATTCAAATTCTATGCTAGAGGTCAGCAGCTAGAAACCCATGGGCAAAATCTGGCTGTGTTGGGGGTTGTTGATTGCCTCTCCGTTCATAAATCTGGAAAGTGGAAGAATTTGGAAAAAGTTGGCAGCTGTGGCAACAGAACTTATTTCTGGAGTCCTTTAAGTCGAGAATGAGCATTAAGACATTGGCCCACCATGCCTCACTTGTTCGCAAAATGATTTCCCAGTAGAACCATTTCATGGCCAAAACTTTATTCACCAGTTGATAGTCTGCAGCACAAATGGCTTGAAACAATTAGACTGATGTCCTATATAGCTTTAAAGAGAAAAAAGAACTTAAGTGTCAGGCTGGAGAATGCTCATAGTTGTAGAACTGATTTGCTGTGTAAGTATGCATAGGATTACACCTGTAGGCAATCTCCCAGGATACAGAGCTCACCATGGCATTACTGCCCCCCCCACCCCCATATAGAACTCTCCCATAGCGAAGCATCAAGAGAGAGACAAGCTTCTTTTTAGGAGCTGTTTAGTTTAGCCTTTGGAGCCTGAGGTGCAGTTGGAAAAGGATGGGAATTATTTCAAAAAGTTGAGTAGTTGGACAAAATTCAAGGTTGCTGAGCATTTTGCTTTTTGTTGGAATAGTTCTTATGCCATGTCAAACTAGATGGAATCTTGTATTGGGGCTGTATAGCTCTAAATTCTAGAAGCTCATCCTGCTTGTGAGCTGTACAGAAGCTTTTGACTGGCTGTTACTGGAAACAGTGTTGGGCTAGATAGATCTTTTGTGTGATCCACTAGGGTAATTCTTACATTTGGCGGTGGGTAGAAAGGATCTGGGCATGTTAGATGACTCTCTACAAAGAGGGATGTAAAGCCCATTTAGAACCCTTCCCCCAGTAGCCCATATGGCAAGTTCTTAGCATCTGTTGTTGAGTGAGGAAGATAAATTATTCTGTGCTCCAACCCAGTCTTGATTTTGTCATTCCTGTAGGAACACCTGTATCAGTGTAAGAGAGAGTATAAGTGAAATACAAAAGGGATTGTGCGTGTTGTGGGGGCAGGTTGTCTGTGACACTTAACTTGCATACTAATCTACCTACCATTGCTCTGTAGTGTCCATCATGTCCAGTACCAGAGCTCAGTCCCAGAACACCATCAACTTTCCAAAGCGGAAATCCGTCAGGAAATTGCATAAGCCTCTAGAGAGTAAGGGAGATTCAAAGTTGGACCCAAGCACGCTATCTGTCTCACCACTCTCCTCCCAAGAGCAGGTCTTGCCTCTCAGCCCCCGCAAACGCCTAGGTGAGTTGGTCTTTCTCATCATTCTTTTAAAATATTATAGCACACTTCCTGTATAATGCATGCTTAGTGCTAACCTAATTCAACTTTGCCGTGATACCTGCAAGTGTGGCTTTTCCAGGCAATTGCAAGGATTAGCAGCACTGTACCACCTACCTTAATGTTATCTATTGACTGGTAACAGCATCTAGTATATCAGAAAGGCCCTCTCTGGAAATGGCAGGAATTAGATCTGGGACATAATGCATGCAGAGCACTTGCTCTACCACTAAGGGGGTTCCTGCAGAACTAGAGTATTTGTACAGTGTGATATTTTGTAGTGTTGGACATGCCTACAAAGTTCATCTCATACTTAAGTCCATATAGAATCAGGCTATTACTTGATTATTGCTGTAATTGTTAAGCCACTGTTGACAGCTTTATTTCCAATGGAAGCTTAATTCATGGCAAATGAATTAGGTATGCTTGCTTGTATGCTGAACAGATTGTTCTAGTCAAAATAATAGCTCTGCTCATAATATTTATAAAACATGCTTATTTATAAGTTTTGAGGATTTCTATTTTTATTCTGAGCCTAAAGTTTTGCGTGTTTAAAATAACAAGAAAAGAGCATGTGAAGAACTAGTAAGATTGATTTAGTAACTGTAGATAATAAACCGCCATAAGCAACTGATTAGGCTGGGAAGAGCTGCTCTACCCTTTTATACAGAAGCTTTTGGAAGACCTGCTTGTACTTTTTCAAAGGTATTCATGTGGGAGCTAAAAAGCTGTAAATGAAATACAAAAACAATGGATTCTGGATTAGAAGGAAGATTGCCTTTTGGATCTGGATCCTTGGCTGCCTTGTACCTTCATTGACTTCTAACCTAGGTGACTCTTTGTTTTTCATAGGAGATGACAACCTCTGCAATATTACCCAGCCGTTGACCTGCTCCCCAACTAAGCAGAGTAAAAAAGAGAACAGCTTTTCACCAGATTCCCCAAAGAGGAGAACTTTACTCTTCTGTGAGCATTCATCCCCCAAGTCTCCAACCAATAATAGCAATTTGGTTTCCACTCTGCTTCATAGAAGCCAAGAGACTCCCAATACTTCACCACATCGGTACACCAAGAAAGAGCATGTGTGTACTCGTCTCTTCAAGCAAGAAGGTATGCAGCAATATCATGCATAGTGGAGGATTGCGCGCTATATTTTCCATACTTTGCAAACTAGTTTTTGATGAAAATATTGCAATTAAACTTTGTTACTAAATACATTGATGAATAATTTGGTGATTGGGATGATAAAGGTTAGGATGGATATGCATGCCATTATACATAATTTTCTTCTTCCTTGAACATACTTATTAGTTTGCTGGTATAAGAAACAAATATTGCAGGCAGTGGTTGTGTTCACACAACACAACAACCCACTCCAAACAAGCCATGGCTACCTCACCAAGCCCAGGGGCAGCTTTCTATGGGTAAGCCACTGTTGAGCAACTGCCCCCAGGCTCAGCAAGGTGGCCGCCGCTTGGCCCGCAGCCTGGGGACTTGGCTCACATAATTAAAATTAGATTTTAAAAGTTATTTTCTCTTACCATCAATCCTTTTTAGTGTCTTTGTCTCCCTCCCTCCCTCCCTCCCTCCCTCTCTCTCTCTGTCTCTCTCTGTCTCTCTCTCTCTCTCTTTTCTGCCCTCCTCTCTTCCGTTTCCCACTCCATATTCCCCCTTTGTATATGCATGCAGTGGTGGGGTGGTGGGGAGCCGGCACACGTGCAGTTGAGCTTTTACAATTAGGCATGTGCACCAGTTCTTTGCTCAGTTTCAAAGAACACCTGCGCCGGGTCGGCGCTTTTGGACTGGCTCGGAGATTGTTTTCTCCGAGCCAGTCCAAAAGCTCTGAGGCGGGCCGGATAAAAGCATGGCAGGCCATAGTCCGAGGACCCATGATGTAAAGGAGTATTTGCCATTAAAAGGGAGTGGTGTGTAAATTATCCCCTTCTCACTGAGATACTCTACATTTGTTTGTTTGAACTGGACTGTGCTTGATGTTTTCCACCTTTTTCACCCTTTTCCAAGCCTCTAGATGTGTGGAATGTAGAAAAGTGTGAGCCATTGCATTTATGGAAAGATGGAATTTAGGTAGCTGTCAAAACTCAGGCTTCCTTTTAAAATGGGATTTTTGACTGGGCTAATTAGCATATTTTGACATGAGGAAAGCACTGAGAACAGTCAAGCCCAAATAAAAAACCAAGAGGATCTTGAGTGATATGCATACCACTCCCTTGTGCCAGGTTTGAACAGCCTGACAACTCACTGTGACTAGTTAACTACAGTGGGTTACCACTTATGCAAGCCTGCTTAGTATTCCAAAAAGGAAGTTAATATATTAATTGAATGAAACAGTAGAACACAAACATCACCTTGCTTGATCAGGCTAGGGTTCGACTTCCTGTTACCAATAGCAGCCAACTGGGACCATAAAATAGTACAATAAAAGGGTTTTTACAAGTACGTTAAAGAGAAAAGAATAACAAAATTGATTTTGCATTGATTATAATTGCCCCCCAAACTCAGCTAAAATTATTGTTTACTATGGTGTACCCCTATTCTAGTTAATATGACAGTTTTGGGTATGCATTTGTTTGTTTTAAACCATATTTTAATACATATTTTAATTTCATATTTTAATACAGGCACCTGTTACCAGCAGGCAAAGAGTCTCCTACACACAGCTGTTCCAGAACAGTTGCATGCAAGGGAGAAGGAAACTGCTGTCCTGCATCAGTTTCTCCGTGAACATGTCTGTAGGGAGAAGCCTGGAAGCCTGTATATCTCTGGAGCCCCGGGCACAGGGAAAACTGCCTGTCTCAACAGGGCCCTACTGGACTTAAAGGTAACTGTCAGGTCTGCATTGGGAGCCTGACTTCTTGTGAGACTTTTACTGTGAAATATAATGCTCAAACAAAATTGCCCAGAATTGAATTCTGCATGTATGCCAGAAACCTGTTGCACTAGGGCTTACTTCTCACAAGGCAAGCATAGAATTGGGTTCTATGTCTACAAACTGCCAGAGGAATATCACATTTAATATTACTATGATTGTGCTTTTTGTCTCATCTTTCAGTATTGCTCTGGAAGCAGGAAACTGGATTTAGATCTCTGTGACAGCACTTTCTTACATCTTCTTTCACCCATTCCTGTGTAAACCTGCTTTGCTGTTTCTGTCTGTTTTTCTTCACACCTTCAGCTTGCCATCCATGGTTAAGGAAACTTTATTATAGTTTGTACTTGGCCATCAAATCAAAACTGTGATTTGATGTGAGTTTGCTAATTCTGATTGGTGCCAGCTATGGTTTAAAGTGATATCTGAATTGATGAATTGTGGTAAATATTAAAAAGCTAGTGCTGAATGGAGAAAGAAGTGAATTAATGATTCTGGTGGCTCAAAGGCAGAAAACAAAAGCAGGTGTGCCACTTTAAACCATGGCTTGCTTACATGTTTATATGCTCAATTCATAATCTTGGTTCTAAACTATGATTGGCAGAAACCATCATTTGGTGTGATGCTTGAAATGTACCTGCATAGCCATGCCTACAAGAGACAGTCATTTTTTGTTTGTTGTTGCTGTTGCACGTGATAGACTAAATACATACTGTTTGGGGGCTGCTTTTCACAGAAGTTTTAGAACTTTGGAAGTGGATGCAGGAGTACACACTGTAAAGTGTGAAAGGAGAACGTGTGTGTATTTTGACACATTTGTCCACTTAGAATGCATGTGAACACAGAACTCTTCCAGAGATTTCCAGGATGCTGCCCTTCAAGGGAGAGAAGGAGTGTGCACTTCTGAGTTGTGCCTGGTTGAGGACCTGAATGGGAAGTCACTTATTTATGAATGTATGTTGTTCATTCAGCTTGTTAGATTATTGGGGTTCAGGTATAAGAAAGCTTTTGTCTCCAGCAACATCTTTTAGGAGTCTGCTTTCAACATTCTTATTGCAGGTACTTCTTTTCAGAGGTAGCCTGCAAGTTTCTCCTGGAATTGCTATATTTTCATTGCACTACTTGGAACTCATTGCTAAGTTCTACTCCATGTTTCTTTTTTGTGTCTTGTTGGCAGACTGAGCTTGCTGGTAGTCAGACCATTGTCTTAAACTGCATGACCCTGAGGAGCTCCCAGGCTGTTTTCCCAGCAATTGCTGAGCAGCTGGGCCAGGCTGGAGCAGACAAAACAGCCAGAAGTGATGTCCTCAGAAAGCTGGAGAAACGCCTAACATCAGAAAATGAGTCCATGGTGTGAGTACAAGCACTTTGAGTGTGAAGCATTTTTCAGCTTTTGGACCAGCTGGGGAAAAGAGTTTTGTGTTGTGCATTATTCTTATCATGTACAATTTGTGAGGAGGAAGAACATTCTCCATTTTTATGACCCCAAAGGAAAAGCTTGTTCATTAAAGCCCTATGAGGATATCCCAGAGTTCTCTGCACTGCTTTCTATAGAAAAAATAGTTTGCCTCTTTCTGCTGAGAAATATGTTCCTGGTAAGGAGTGAAGCAGGTCCTACTTTGGTCCTATGACTAGAAACTTTTTTAATGGATCAAGTAATTACAATTTGAGATTCTTGATTCCATCCTACCTAGACAAGGTACCAGGTTAGTGTTGTGTTGATTCAGTCCTGTGCTAAGCACTCAGTCAAATTAGCTTGTTGACAAATGTTTGGTTGCTTAAGAGTGGCAGAAAAGATGTCTTTATAACTGCTCTGTTCCTCTGTCCCAGGTTAATTTGTGCAATCTGCATATTTTTGTTATAAGAAGGGTTCTATTCACATGCCTTTCATTTGTACAGTTTGGTTGTATTAGATGAGATGGATCAGCTGGATTGTAAAGGACAGGATGTGCTCTACAGAGTGTTTGAGTGGCCTTCCCTCACCAACTCCCGGGTCATTCTTATTGGTGAGTGCTACAGCTTAATCCTATTTTTCCCCCAGAGAGCAATTCCCAGGGAAGAGGGTTTAGCATAACTCCAGGACTAGAATCAGGAGGTTAGTATGACTGGGCATCTGGCAAGACCCATGTCTTGCTAAGAGGATCCACTGCCAATCATGGCATCCTATCCCCTGCTGCTCTTTCTTGCTATCACTGCTTGGTTGCCTGCCCCTTCTCTGTGACTCAGAGGAAGGAAGAGCAAAAGGGAGCAAGTCACCCCCTGCTCACTCAATCCCCACTAATTGGAGGTGGGGATTGGAGCTAGGCTGCACCTATCTTCTCTTCCTCCTGCTGAGAAAGAGTGAGAGATGGGAAGGCAGCAAGAGGATTAGAACTGAGGTCCCCACTGAGAACACTTTGCCTGATGCTCTCTCAGGTGCTGTGTTCTAGGTCTCCTCACTCTTCCCACCTGCAGTGCTTCATCTGACAGAGGTAAATAATTTGAATGAATACCAGAAGATCAGTTAAACTTCCTGCTGTCCAAATTGAAGGGACACCCACTTCCCACTGATTAACATGTGCAGCATAGGTCAGGGAGAAACCAAATGCCTGTGGCACTGGCACTCCAGATTACTTAGCACAGGGGTCCTCAAACTTTTTCAATAGGTGGCCAGCTGAAAGGCGGCGGCGGCGGCAGCTGGCGCGGGCCAGTGAGGCAGGGGTGCCTGGGCACACAGGCCGGTGAGGTGGCGGCGGGTGCACGCAAGGTGGCGGCAGGCGCGCGAGGCAGTTGCTCGGAGATCTCCCAGCGAGTCCAAAACCATCTCCGAGTGAACAAGCCACCACCTCCCTGCCCACATGGCAAGCACGCAGGCAGTGGTGCAGGCCGGATCTGTCCCATGGGCGTAGTTTGAGGACCCATGTCTTAGCAGGATATGTACACTCATGGCAGCATGGGTGCCATACAAGAAAACTGCTAAAGTGTCAGCGCCTTGATGGGGTCCACCCTTTATACCTACTTAAGCACAGCTGAGACTGATTTAGCAGGCGCTACCTTGTGGTGTTTGAAGAAGAAGACTCCTTTAGTTCTGGGGCAAGCTCTATGAGGGTGGGGGGTGAATGGAAAGGCTAGAAAATAGTGTGTCCTAAATGTTGTTTTATTGGCAGGCATAGCCAATGCCCTGGATCTCACCGATCGCATTCTGCCCCGCCTGCATGCCCGTCCCAAGTGCAAGCCACAGCTGCTAAACTTTTTGCCATACGACAAAGAGCAGCTTGCCACCATTCTTCAAGAACGTCTAAAGCAGGTATGGTTTCATCACCCAGGCTTCAAATCTATAGCCCAAGCTCTAGGCATCCTGCTGAAGCAAAAACTAGATACATTTTGGTTTTCTTCTTGAGACATTATCATCTGAATGTCTCAATATGTAGAGTATACACATTGTTTTGCATCAGCAACTCCTTCAAAATTCCATGTGGTTTGGAAGAAACTTCCTTTCTCATTAGTGCAAGAGAGGAAAACAATGGCAACTTCTTAAGGTGAAGAATGGCTTATTGTCTAGTTTTTGAGAAGAATATGAACAAGCATTTTGAGAGCAAAAATGTAGTGAACACTCTTGTCAAAAAGTGTGTGTGTGTGTCTAAATGCACATACCACTATTAGAGTGAGTAACTCCAGAAAAGGTACTAGCATTTGGCACAGTATGCCATAAACCTGAATATAACTACTTACCAAAACATAGCAAAATATTGCTAAGAGGCTGAAGGGTGCCAGCTGCTACTCTGGCTAATTATCTTGGTTTCTGCTGAGGACTCAGTATCTGTCTAACATTTACAGTCTGCTTTGTATCTATGTGTTCTGAACCTGCCTCATTGAGCCTAGGTGGCTGGCTTAGATTTATTCTGTCTCAGATTCTTTTTTTTCCCTACATAGTAGCTAGGCTACTTCCCAATAGCAACAAATAAGATAGAGAGCTGGAGGATAAATGATTGTGAATCGGATAAAGTGAGAGTTCTTGGGCTGAACTGAAAAGGCTGGCTTTTCACACATGCCCAAATGCTGTTGCATTTTCTTGTTGAAGATGTAGCCTAGGAGACACTGCTGGGTGCTCTTGTAACTACCCTGTTTTCTCCTCTCTATCCCTTAGGTGTCAGGGGAGCAGGTGTTGGACAATGCCGCCATCCAGTTCTGTGCTCGGAAAGTCTCTGCCATCTCTGGGGATGCCCGTAAAGCTCTGGACATCTGCAGGTGAAGAATATATAGCACTCTAAAATCCAAACTAATTTACAGCACGTGGGATGTGATTTAAAGCTTCATTATGGCATTTGCTCTCCCTGCTTGGGGGAGAGAGAGAGAGAGCCCTCAAGTCTTTGTTGGGAGAGGGGAGGGCGCTGCCTCCTGGCTGTGTTAATGTCTGGAAATGTTCACAGCCCATTACCTATGAAGGGTGAGAGGAATTGGTCCTCCCTGCTGCGATTATAGATTGGTTAATTACATCTGGATTGCAAAAGGCTCTCATTAACAGTTCTCAAGCAGACATCTTTATGGTGCTTGGAAGTGTTTTCTTTTTCCTTGCAAGTAGGTTTATAGAAGTTGCCTTCCACTTTTTTTGAGCTCACTCTGGCATTTGCTTACTGGCCTCCACTCTGTATGTTTGGCTCAAAAGGAGGGTAAAACTAAGTCCTTTTGTATAGTGAGGTGATGGAGGTAAACCGCTGATAAAGGGGCAAATACAGCTGCTGTGTTTCGGGGATGCTAGCCCAGATCTTCTTGTGTGTGTGATACAGCTTAGTTGCTCGCAGGATTCCAAATGGACTGAAAGTGTCCCAAGAGGCCCTGCAGAGCAAATTGCTCCAAACAGTGGGATTGCCATAGCTTCCAGTGTTGCTAACCTGCCTGATCTTCATGAGGAAAAAGTATTTCCCCTCAGTCCCCCAAAAAATGTAGGAGTCATAACCTCAAGCATTGTGATATGCGGAACCTGTTTTGTTTAGATGTCTGCAGATCTTACAATATTTTATGCTGCTTTCTAAATAACATCTGCTAAATTAGAGCATGCTTTATTGGCATAATTACTCTAGTAAGACACTTTTTATGCACCTCTGGTGGCTAATACCAGCTCCTGAACAAGCCTGAGTGAGATATGCTGGGGTTATTTAATTCTTATGTTTCTAATCTGCCCAATAACTAATGTTCTGTGGGCATATCGCAGTCCACTTCTGCTTTCTGGGTATCACTAAGGCCTTGTGGCTGTTTTTACTTTTTGGTGCTACCCTTTTCCTTTTGCTGGAAGTTTTTTAGATGTTTGTGTCTCCACCCACCCACCCCCCTCATCTAAGGCCTGCCTACCTTATATTTTTGGAAGGGGCATATTAAAGCATTTTTATACAACCAGGCATTTCTAATTTAGCCTCTTGCTTGTTTTCATATTTTGGTTTCTTGTAATGGTTTGTCTCTACTAGATTTTATTTCATTTTATTTTGGCTAGCCATAGGCCATAACAACTAACATAAAATAGGCTGCATATACAAACAAGACTATAATCCATAGTAGAACACTTATTTAAATCAAGTCATAATTACAGTGTTTAAAAAAACCAAACTTACCCCACAGCGATCTTGTATATTTAAAACCATTAGGAGAAATATGAATATTAATTAAAGCTGATACGGAACAAATCCAACAACAGATACCTGGAACACATCCAACCAAAATTAAGTACTTTTGAGAGCCCATTGAGTTCACTAAGATAAATAATACAGAACAATCCTATGGTCAGGGGCAGGGGAGAATTCCTTAGGGTAACAAGTGCAATATCCAAAGTCCTATTGCCTCAGTAACTGTGAGGCCAGGGGTCGGTGACAATGTTCCTTTTTCTTTCTCCCTCAACCGCACATTAATGGCACTGCAGGAGGAGGGGAATGAACTGGCTTTTCCAGAGCTGGCATATTTTCAGAGTCTGAGGGTGTACAAGGAGAACAAGTTGACTTGAGGTCCTGTAGATCCATGGCCTCCGCACTTGGACTGCCACAAAATGAAAGATCAGTACCCTCCAGCAGGGACCATGAGCAGTAGATGTGCCATTGTGCTGACATTCCTGTCTCTCCACTGACACAAGCATGTCTTCCACAGTGTTTGTCTCTTCAGACATCCTTCTGAGCACATCGGATTTGCACCCAAATTCTTTTATTAAAATGAATGAAGCTTGGCTGGTTCATCCCTTTTGTTTGCAAAAATGTTACTTAATCGCACCAAAGAAATTTAGGAGAGGGTATGGACTGTGTAGCATCCTTACAGCTACTCAGCAGTTCAGTGCAAGCAGATTTCTTTGCTCTCAACAGAATTTTGCAACTTTTGATCATTAACACAGATATTTAGGTTTGTAACTCAAATGTTATTTTAGTTGTTGGGCAATTGTCAACTTAAACTGAGATTTAGTCCTGCCTCACACCACCCACAGGATGCCCAAATTAGACAGAAGTTGCCACTGTGGCTTTAGGTCGAAGGCTGCACCACTTCCACCTCAACAAATAGAGCGTTAGTCTCATTAAGTGGCAAGCTAGTAATGAGCTCCATTAATGGGCCGTGTATGCCACTCCAGGTCTCCTCCCTCTATGTGTTTGGCATGCTTGCATGGTTTCTCCCTTGTGACTTTTCAATACTGCTTGAGAGCATCAGGATAAGAAGGCGAGGCCAGGAAATGCAGATACAAGTCAAACAGCATAGTATGAGAATGTAAGGACTGACTTAAGACTGCAGACCATTGGTCTTCAGCTGCTGGGTCAGAGCTGAAAACTGGCTCATGGACCAAACAAGGGCAGGGTCCTTTTTTCACTGTTTTGAAAGGAGAGTGAAGAAGAGAGATGGGAGTCTTGCAGAGATATCAGGAGAAAGTAGAAAGTGGGGAGAGAAGGGCAAACTGAGGTGTATTGTTAAATGAGAAGTAGGAACAGTTTAAAGTGAAGATGGGTCTTCTTGTAAAGACACCTCTTTTTGACTGATTTGACCTGCCAAATTTCAAGAGAGACAATCTGTTGGTGCATGACAGTATGAATTATTTGAAATGAACTCTTCAAGTTAAAGTCCTTAGTATAACAAGGCTAGATAACTGGTCAAATTTCTCTCCCAAATTTCAGGATATAATAAACATAAAGTCAGTTGTCTGTCTAGCTATTTTTGGTAAACCTCATAGGACAGAGTTTAAGACAGATGGCTTCTGGGGAGAATTATTAGTAGTAAGAGTGGATCTGCTATTTAACCAGAACTCACTTTCCTATCATCACCCGAAACTTCTTCCTAGAAAACCTACATCATTCTGTTCTGTTCTTCTTTCAAATTCACAAAAACCATTTTTGTGTGTGAAAGCTTTATATTAACTGATGGGGCCATGCAGCTGAAATAAACAGAGCCTACAACCACATTCACTTACATTCCTTGTTACCATTGCCTCTCCCTTCTCCACTTGGATGATATTTTATCTTTGTTTGAAGTTAAGAGACTTCTTTGGTGCTGCATTAATAATTGTCAGCATTCTTGACATGTTTTGATAGTAGTAATTGTCTCTACTCCTATAATATTCACACAGAGCTCCTGTGAAATCATAACTGGTTTGTGGGAGAAGGTTTACAAATTACAGTTGCAAGTAAAATACAGAAATTGATAGCTGCCTCTTTTTCACAGTAACTGGAGGTCTGCCCCTCAACTGTTCCTCAGCAGGGATATTGAACAACAGGGTATCCCAACCATACATGGCTTACCTTTTACCAAAGGAAGGGAATTGAAGTACCACATTAGTACAGGACATGTTCACAATCTATATTGTTCAATTGTTTGATAAATTCACCCACTTGGAGGAGATAAAGGCATTTAGATATCTACCATTCTTCACTTTTATTATTTCAATGTAAAAGAATGCATGCAATGATTAAATTCTCTAAATTGCCAGCTTTTTATTCACAAGGAATTGCTAATTTTTTACCATGTAGGCAACCCTGCCTGACCTGTGATACATAAACAAAAGCAAGGCAGAATTGAAAATCCAGCAGAGGTGAACCTCAGATGCTATGAATCTGTCCTGCATGTATGTGAAACATTGGGGGGAAGATCAACTAAGCAGAGGCCACATAGAGGCTTATAAAATTATGCACAGGATGGTACACCTGGATACAGAGATAGCTTTTCTTCCTGCCTCTTAATGGTAGAGATCATCTTGTGAAACTGACTGGCAAGAAATTTAAAAGAGACAAAGAAATACTTCTTAACATCATACAAGATTAGTTGATGGTATTCACTGCCACAAGAAGCTGGTAGCGTAGCTGATTGGAAAGGGGAAATAGCCAAATTCATGGAAGGCATGTGATCAATATGGGCCGTGGCTACGCAGAACCTTTGAGGCCACAGTTGGTGTGCCATTGCCATTGACCTGAGGGTAGGAATGGGAGATGAGTGTTGCCCGCCCTGCCTGCGTATGGGTTTCCCAGAGGTCTCTGGCTGGCCACTGGACTAAATGGGCCTGACCTTTTTCTGACAGGGTTTGTGCTCGGTTGTGTTAACAGTTCACGAAAAACAACTCTTACACGAGACCTAAACTTTCTTTTGCTTTGAATGAAGGCCAGTATTTATGCAAAATTTTTAAAAGTATAGTAACTTCTGAAGCATTACTTTGATTAGTTTATTTAACCCCTTTTGAAACACCTTTTGTTGGGTCACTGCTTCTATCTTGGCACAAAACAAGTTTGCTACTGCAGATTGGCTGTGGAAGTGTACATGGCACAGGATTATTCAGGCAATCTCCCGGTTATGAATGAATTCTGTTTCTGAGAAAATGGAAATTTGTCTGTAAAACAAATTTGTAAGTCAGATCACTACAGTGGCATAATATCCTAGATCCCATCAGTACAAGAAGTCCCGCAATCTGGTCTCAGTAAATTCAGCCCTTGAGACCTCTTGATTCTCTTCTTATACAATATTTGAAAACAATCATTTTACCCTCAATGTTTAAGATTCCTCTCACCACAGAGTAGGTTGGATATCAATATTCCAATTAGAGCCAATTGTGCTTTAGGGTAAGAGAACGTGATTTTATTAATCAAGCAGCTTTGGTTGGGACATTCTGATGTTGGAATGTCATAAAGTGGAAGTGGCATTAAAATGAGGAATAAACAGCAATAAACTCCCCTGTGGATGCTGCACTGAGCAATCCTCAGTCAGGGGAAGCAGCTGGAGTATGAGTAACACAGGTGACTTTTGCATGCATGCTAATGCAATGAGTAGAAACTTCTGGATTTTTGGTGGGGTGCTACATGTATGCCAAAAGGAACAATGGGCTGTATGTGAGGAGATCTGGAGTGGTCCTTAGTAAAGATGTGGTGATTTTTATAAACCTGTTCCAGTTTTGTTTCATGGAGTGTCAGACATTCTTTATTCTGATGCAGTCTGATTCTGTTTGATGAAATCAGCTTTCTTCTTTTTATTGGGTCTAGGATCATTTTGCTTCTATTTGCAGTTAAGAAAAGATTTTAGATCTCTGCAACGTGGGAAAAGCTGAAAAGCTGGTCCACTGTTGATTCATAGAAATCAAGCTCATTTGAATCTTGTAGATTTCTTCAACAATCCTAGTTCATAGGGCTGTGTTAGGGATTGAGAAAAGCATCAGTAAAATGCTAATGCCTTGGTTTAAAACGTTACTCTTCCTTAGGAGGGCTATTGAAATTGTGGAGTCGGATGTGAAGAGCCAAACTGTGCTTAAACTGCTGCCTGCCTGTAAGTAGCTTTTCTTCACTTTCCCCCCTGAGCAGGTCCTATACTGCTGTGTGGTGCTGTCATGTTTCATTATGTGTTTTCCTGACTGATTGGCAGTATTTCTTTCCAGGGACTAGTTTAGGCCTTACTGGAGGGAAGAAATCATCCTGCAGCTGGTTGGCACGAAAAGTATTTTCCTTTCCAGCACAAGTGAAGCAGACAGCCCTGCAGTGGGAGGCTACACCTGCTCCCTGTCTCTCCTCTCTGCCGCTGGCTTTAAGCATGACTTAGCCATTGTAAATGCAGGTGTGCAAGCAGGCATCTCCCAGGCTGAGTGGAAATTGATGCAGCCCAAGGAGGGTGTACATGTAGGGAGGCAGGAAGCATGTTTCGATCTTGCCCCATCTGTATGCCTTTGCTGTAACATCAGTTAACCACCCGTGACGTTTATGCTTCAAAATTGGGATAAAGACTGCATGTGTTGGGAGTGCGCATGGTCTGAAGGCACATGATGCAACATCTCTGCCGATGCCAAGGAGTTGTAGATTCAGTCAGTGGCTGCGTATGAGACCGGCTGGCAACCTACCTATCCAACATCGAGCTCTTTCGATGAAAAGTGGAGTATAAATCTAACGTGATACATATGCTGTTTATGGATTACGAGAATCACGTAGGAATGAGGCTGTGTACAGTAGGCTTGCCTTAACTCTTCCTCTGATCTCTGTCCAACTGACCACAGCTCTTCTGCTCTCTCCCATCCTCAGGCAAATCCCTTTCTAAACCACCCACAAACTTAGTAGTGCCCAAACAGGTGGGACTGCTGCATGTGTCCAGGGTGATCTCTGATGTGTATGGTGACCGGATGGCAGCTCAAGGCAGTTGCGGTGGTGCTGATTCCTTCCCCTTGCAACAAAAAATCTTGGTCTGTTCTCTGCTGCTCTTAACCAAGCAGCAGAAAGTCAAAGAGGTGACCATGGGAAAGGTAAGTGCACACTGCCACCCCCCTCCCCACCCCGATACCACTGTTAATCCCTAATGGAACTTTTACTTGGCTTTGCATCTTATCGTATCAAATGAGCCCTGGTAGGATATGTTATTGAAAGCAGAATGCCAAAGGAGTAGTAAGACTAATGTGTATAGGCAGTGTGAAGAAGTCCTGCCATGGGGCCATTTAAAAATGCCTGGCTGTTTAGGACTTGGTCCTAAAAACTTAAGTACCGAAACCAGCAAGAGAATGGGCACCATTGGCTCTCTTCCTATGCCCAGGGTACCCACATACCCTGCCCGTTTTTAAGACCTGGGGAATGAAAGGGATCTGTTTGCTTAAAAGAGAGTTTTTTGTATGAACTGAATGGAAGAAAACTGCTTGAAATATGCCCAAATATATAATGCAATAGTCTAGATACAACTGTACTCTAAAATCCCTAATCTACCTACCTATCTATTCTCCCACTCATTTTCAAGCAACCTTGTGGGGTAAGGTTAGATAGCTAGAGGGCAGAGAGAACCGTTTTCTTTAACTCTTAGTTTCTGCAAAAAAGGACTACTAGCAGGAGTGAAAATTTAGCATCTTGTACCCCAGGTTGTCCCACAGCAATTCTGCAATTTTTTTTATGTTCCAGATGTACAAGTGTGGAAAGTAAGGCTGGAACAATTATTTCCCCAAAACCATCTGGTGCACTTGTGGGGGATTTAACACAAGCTCTGAATCTTTGCATTTGCAGGGCTTTTGTGTTTCCACATCCCACTTTTCTGTGCAACAGGCTTGCTCAATAACTCAGTGATATGGAGTAGATCTAAAGCCTTGCCTGACTAGCAACTTATTTGGCTGGACTTTGTGGGACATAATTAGGGGGAACATCATCCAGTTGCAAGCCATGTTGAGGGACTGAGCTAGCCTGAGGCATGCAACCAAAGAGCAAGTTCTCTCATGCAATGTTGTCTGTGTCTTTCTTGTATTCTGTACTGGTGGATTTTCATAAACATTTCCTCCTCCTAGCTTCATGAGGCCTACAGCAGAGTTTGCCGGAAGCAGCAGATGGTAGCTGTAGACCAGTCAGAATGTCTCTCACTCTCAACCCTCCTGGATTCCAGGGGTATTGTGGCTCTGAAGAAGGCTAAAGAACCACGGCTGACAAAGGTAATACTTCTGTTGTTCATTTGCAAAGATGTGCCCAACTCTTCTCAACCCTCCGGGTTCTCCTGTCCTCCACCATCCCCCAGAGTACACCCAAACCCACACCCACCTCTCCAGTGTGCCCATCCAGCCACCTCAGCCTCTGCCATCCCCTTCTCCCTTTGCCTTGAATCTTCCCAGCATTAGGGTCTTTTCCAATGAGTCGTTCCTTCTCATTAGGTGGCCAAAGTAGTTGAGCTTCAGCTTTAGTACCTGACCTTCTAAAGAGCAGTCGGGGTTGATTTCCTTTAGGATTGACTGATTTGATCAATTTGCATTCCGAGGGACTCTCAGGAGTCTTCTCACAGTACCACAATTAAAAAGCATCAATTCTTCAGTGCTCAGCCTTCCTCACAGCCATACAGTACAAGTGGAAAAACCATAGCTTTGACTATGCGAACAGCTTTTGCTGTGGCTGAGGAAGCAATGGGAAGAGGGGCATCCAAGTCCCTTTGACCTCCTGGAAGGGACCGTAGTCTGGAGGATGACTAGGCAGTCCAGTGTTTACCCCTATCATCAATTCAAAGGAGCTCAGGTTTCAAAGCAAGGAGGTTCGAGCTGGAGACCCTGGGGAGCAGCTGCAACATGGGGGCCCGTGGACCAGATAGTATTGAGCGAAGTGGACCAGTGGCTTCACTCAGTATAAGGCATGAATGATATGTTTGGGGTGATATACTAGTTAACACAACAAAATTAATTGCGTACTGAGAACTGAACCATTTGGGTTGCCCTTGGGATTGGCAACAAACACGCCTGAGAAAAAGGTGTATGCTTTGCAAAATTATGCGCAGCACTGAAGTTAAGCCCTACCTTTTAAAATGGTTTTACATCTGTTTAAATTAATAGCATATCCTGTCCCTAAGCCATGGGGTTTAATATACAATGTTTCCTTACTCTGTTGATGCCCTTTGAGAGGTCAGCACTCTTATAACAAAAATAATGATGGGCAATGAAGATATAGCCATTAGTTCATGGAATCAACCTTCCTTGGAAAGTCTTGCATGTCACGCTAGTTTGCTGCCTGAAGCATCACTGCTGCCTCCTAGGAATTTTCCCATCCATTTCCCCTCAGAGGCCCACCTTAGCTCTGTTGCACAGAGAGCTGCCACCTTCCCATTCTCCTTGGGGGCGGTTCTGTCGGAGAGCCACAGTGCACAGCCCATCGTGCCAGTGTTGACCAAAGTGCTGCTCTCTTCTATGCCCAAAAGACCTGTAGACCAAGGCCAGGTGAAGTTTCAACATGCTTGCATGTGAATGAGCGCAAGAAGAAGCGACAGTGCCATGCGAGGGCCCGCTGTTTCCTTGCCTCACAAGTTTGATCTGTATGTGTGAGATTTGCCACCATCTCCGTCAGTACAGAAACTTAAAAGTCTCACAGAGCACTTTGTTGGTTGTAAGAGTGGGATTTGCTTTGCTGCATGAATGAGATGAAGGCCCTTCTACTGAATCATGCTGGTTTTTGCTGTGTCTCTGAGACTTTAAGAGTATTCAGCCCTGAGCTAAGTAGCTGATTCAGAATCCTGTGAATTCTGGGCTGGAAACCCATCTTCTGGAACTCATAGAAAATCATCCATGATGTCTAAATTTTGGTTGATAAGACAAATGTTTTATTTCCCTGTGCTTTGGTTATTAAAATTTGCCAAGACTTTGGCAATTAGAAAAAAGATTGCTGAATACAAGAAATGCAAAGACCTGGAGCATCTGAGGAGTCTCCCTACTCCCGTAATTCTGATTCTGCGAGCACTGGTGGGAGAGCTGTGTGACAGTGGTGAGCACTGGTGTGTGAGAGGTGATGTTCCACACATCACTATTTCTGCTGTTACTGTCAAGTGGCTTGTCTTTGGACACTGACCAGAGGTGGGACTGTACGGATGCTATTAAGAAAGCAGTTCCTGTGTTCTCTCCTGTGTAGACTACGCTATGGTCTTGGGTTTTTGCTTTTTTGGAAATGATGGGTGTTTCTCTTCCCCCTGGGTAACAAATACATTTCTCTCCAGGTCTTCTTGAAGATAGAAGAGAAGGACGTGGAGCAGGCCCTCAAGGACAAAGTCTTGGTTGGAAGCATCTTGGCCATGGGCCTTTAGAATTGCTGCTCAGCTCAATTCTTATATAGGGTGTTCCCAAAAGGACATAATTTCTTTCCAGATGTCATTGCCCTTAGTGGCAGCCTTTGTTGACCATGCCAGTGGATGTATAATTCTGACTACTGGGATGTCTTTTCACAGTACCAGTGTTTAAAAGATGTTCTGTTTTTATTTTTATGGGGTGTTTTTAAACTGTACAATGACCTTTCCACTTACAGAAACAAGCTTCTGGGCAGATGTGGAGCCAAGTTAGTTATATTTGGGAGGGGAACTTCACACTTTGCCTCTATAACATCCCCTCTCCACCCACCCTCCCTTTCCAGCTCCTTTTTGGAGTCCTAGAAACACTATATTCCTCCCAGTCCCTCATGCCACCCCTTTCTTTTTTGCCCCCTCTGTATTGGAATTGCTGTGCTACTCTTGGGCTGCTACACTGCCTGTTTTCAGCACCACTAATGAAAGAGGATGAAGGGTGTTGGCAGGAGAGCCCATTGGCAGAAACAAAACCATTAACGTCACAGGAGGAAATAAGAACGCAGAAGGTTCTCTTCTGAGCTCCTTTGAAGTTGAACTGTTTCCGCAAAGCAGATGTCACTCATGCTCAGGCTTAGCGTCTTGGGAGCTGCAGTGGGGCTTAGTGAGGCGCGCGCACGCACACACACACACACACAGACTGAGCAAGTGTCTTAATGCTTATGACCTATGGAAGCAGCCCTAGCAGTGAAACTGGATTCGGCCTGAGGCAAAGAGCAGATCTGTTTCATTCATGAGCTGCTGCTTGTTAAGAGTTGGTTGGTTTATGTGAATTTTAATAAGCATACAAAATGGACTTCTATGTTGGATTGTACTTTGCTTGTCATGTATGTATGTGAATATTTTAGTTTATCTGATCTAGTTGACATTTCAAATGCCATATGTATTTCCACATTGCTTTTCACCCCAGAGTGGCTTTGCAGCTGAAGAAGAGGGATGCTAGGGTGTCTCTCCACCCCTAACCCGCCATAAATTAATAATATCTCTGAGGTGTTGAAATATGTACAGCCAGACATTTTAAACAATTGGAGTAGTGACATACTTCCAGTTGATTTTTTTAATTTATAGATTAAAAGAGTCTGTTTTGTGGTTTGGATGTATGTTTTTTGGAATATGGAATATGTTTTTTATTTAGTTGAGCTGCTGTTTTTGCAACTTAAAATTGGTGTTCCCAAGGGATGGAACAATGCAGGTTCTCTTGGCAGGAGTCCTAAGATTCCATCATTGATGTGGTCTAGTATTTCTTCATTGGCAGTTTGGTAAATAAGGGACCAGTCACTATTAATCTCTTGTCCATTGAAGTGGAGGTGCAATTATATTTGACACATATGTGCCTCCACTGATTGTGGTTAAGTACTTGTAATTGTGTCTTTATTCTTTATATTGTTCTTGCCTTGTTCTAGATTTAGGCATGAACTTAATACCCATTACAGTTGCTTCTGTTTTGGAAGGATAAATGTGTGATACAGAGAATCTTGCAGGAATCCACTCTTTGCAGCAGTTGCTGTTATGTTCATGATGTTACTGAACAACCAGAAATCCTCAATTTCATCCAGATTGTCTTCTAATTTTTATATTGCCTGGTGTCCCATATCACAATTGTTTCCTTTAAGCTGGGTGGCCAGGGCAGGAGACAGACTATGCCTTTTTAGGTAGGCGAAAGCAAATTTGGCAGCCTTCTTATTCAAAGACAGTGGAGTGGGACGATTTGACCCATCTGTAGCCCTGATAGCTGGCTCCTGTAAACCACAGTGGCACTGGGTGTTAAAAAATCCATGGCAGTATTAAGAGAAACCAGCCCAGTCCAGTAATAAAAAAGGATATTTTGTGGTCTTAGCCTGCCACGTGGGTGATTAACCCCTGCCATACCTCTGCAGAATATAAACATCTGCTCAGGCCCATCATTTGAAGTTTAATCATACTGACTTATGCCACTCCAGCTTTTCTTCCTCCCACTGTTTTAAATAGCTGCATGGTCCTTCACAGGATTTAGAGAACTACATCCAGAATCTGGAGTTAACTTTAACAAAACACGCTGCTCACAGCAAGTCAGCTTTCAAAGAGTTAAAGGCCCAGAGCAGCCACAGCTAATAGAAAGCAGGCATCAGGAAGAATTGAGAGCAGATGGGCAGCTGGATTTTAAATCATATTTTGCTGGCTGCTAGGACCTTGAAAGCAAAACACTGAATACAGCATGGGCCTCTATTGCTCATCTTTAGGCGCCTGAACTTTTTTTTTTTTTTTTTACTTTTCACACAAAATACAGACTGCAGGTAAAATATTTTAGTCTGCTTCCATAATTCAGGTTTTCATCCTATGGGGGATGGGATGGAGGGAGAGATGGGAATATGAAAACTGGCGAAAACTTGAACAACCACAGAACGAGTAGCAGCTTTAAGGGAAGAAACCAGGTACTATATAGGGGCATTGAAGCTCTGCTTTCCACTGTATATTCTTCCCACAGTTGCTATCTTTTTCTAGGTGCTACCCATGAGGCTTGAAAGCTTGTCTTTCATTGCCATGTGAATCTGGGGTAACTTGGGTAGGACTTTTCAGGCCCTCAGTAAATGAGAGCCAGTCCAGCAGCAGTGTGTGGACAGTTTCTTCATTTTCCTACCTTGACTGGTCATTTTGAAACTTCCTTTTCCCAATCTAGTTCTTTTGCAGATGCAAAAAGCAATTGTCATGGGACCATTTTAGTTTTGTAGCGTTGAGAGTTGATTTACATGACTATTTTTTTTAAATGGAATCATCCCAAGGTTATTTGGAATCTAACATGGGGTAACTTTATCCAACCCCTTCTAAGGCTGAAGAGATGCATGCTCTTTCTATCACATGATTGCTTTTTGCTCAGGTTGCACTTTATCACAGTATTCCTCAACATGGTACCCTACATATTATTTGGACCAGCAATGTCCCATCAGCCCCAGCCAACATGGCCAGTATTCAGAGATGACAGGAGTTGTGTCCCCCAGTTGTATAGAGAAAGCTTATAAAAGCTGTGATGGAGGACATCTAATTCACTAATTAAATCCCAGGATATGTATTTTTCTTGATTATGTGTGTATTTCCAAAGATCACCTCGACATGGCTTGAGTGAGTTAAAGTCAGTACTTGATTCCTCAGTCTCAAGCCATTTGTATGAAATAGCCTTAAACTGACATGGGAAGTATTACTGCCTTCCCTGTTGCAGTAACCAACATCAAGAGACAAACTAAACATTTATCTTGCTCAGAATTAATTGCTGTGAAGAACTGGGCTGGCCTCTCTTGTGAGCCCTGGATGGGGCTCACTTGCTTCCATCTACTTGCTGCCTGTTTCCTGGGAACAAGGAAGAAACTAGGATCTTCCTCGTTATGTTGAAGGCCTTAATTGGGTTCTGAATCATGAAGCTTGCTTTGATCTCTCTGCCGGTTCCCACGCAAGCCCAAGAACAGCCTCATCAGCAGTTTCTAATGAGCAAGCCATTGGTCTTCTCTGGTCCGTCTTCTCTGTAATGAAGCAGTGAAAAGGAATCCGTGGCTCAGACATGTTGCTGGCTGTGAGGCCAACATTATAGTAGCCTCAATAGCCAAAGTGCAGAGTTTGTAACAGCTTGGTTGTCCCCTTTGTCACAAAACAGTGGAGAGAAGTGTTCTGAATACATCCCATCTCAATTTATAAATGCTCTGAACCACACACGTGCAAGATCAAGCCTTCACCTTCTCTTATCCAGTAATTTCAATTCTCCAAAGAGCTTGTATGTGTGTAAAAAAGGGAATGAGAGGTGAGGATGATCTGCCTTTTTGTTGTTCCTTCTGTGAATAGGACAAGGTGGCTAAAGGATAACTGATTACCACATAACAAATGAATGTGTATTCCAGCTGGAGCTACTGATGCACTTTACTTGCTGGATTTAGGGGTTTTAGTTCCTGCTCATTGTTCTCCATTTCTGTTTTACAGAAGGTTGGGATGCAATACTAAATGTAGATGCATATTGCTGGACACAGCTTCTTTTTAACATTCCCATCAAAATAGCTTTAGCAGTACTGATGAACATCTAGTTTCCAGACTTGGCTCTTCAAGGGGCTTAGGGTATTCTGGAAAGATACTCAGGGCTTGGGCAGTGTCCTGCTGGGATGAATTCCAAAGCCCTGGGACAGCCTGAGTTTCATTTGTGGACACCTTTAGTTTTGAAACACACAAGTGTGTTTAAATGGTGTGTGATTGGTCAGTCTTTGCAATGGATGGACAGAATGGAAGATGATCTTAGAAACACGGCTGATTCAATTGCTTTAGCTTCTGGACAGGGGGTGCATAGCACCACCAGCCAGGCACTGTGCAGCTGCTTGGTCTTTTTCTCAGCAGATTTTCTGCTCTGAAAGAGACTGAAGAAGGGGGAGAAAGCACCCCAACTCTTCACCAAATACCAGTTCCAGATCTTCTGAAAATGCAGTGCCTCTGAGCATCTTAGGAGTGTTCTTCTCCCACAACTCTCCCTGCATATCAGGAATCGGGGTGTTCCTTTCAAATTCCTGCTTTCTGCAGGATTGAAGCTCCGGATTCAGAATCCTCTTGTACATGTATAGGTGAGATTCAGTTCCCTGTATTTTATTTTAGCACAAAGGCAGTGCAATAACACTGATGTACATGAGGCAGGGTAGAGAGGAGTCTGTGTGATGTTGCCCATAGATACCAAATTGGAGTGCTCTTACCTAGTTCCAAAAGAGAGTTCAAATCCAGAAAAAGACCCCATCCACTAGGGATTAAAAGCTTTCAATCCAATTGTCAAAAAACTAGGGAGAAGAGCAGGCTGAATCCCTCTTCTAATAAATGCAAAGACTGGCAAGGTAAGAACCTAAGTGCTGGAATGGATCGGACCAAGCCATCCCATGGGCTTCTGCTCCAAAGCAGTATGTGAAGGCAACTGCAGTGAGCCATACTGCCTCTGATACTGGAGGCAGCACAAAACCAGTGGAACTAGCAGCCACCGATAGCTTTATGCTCCATGAATCGGTCCAGTCCCTTTTTCACATCCCAAGTTGTTTGCTATCACTGCATCATGTGGCACTGAATTCCATTGTTTAGCCAGGCACTAAATCTCATCAGAGAAGCCTTTTTGCATAATTCCAGTGTGACACTAAAATCCCGAACTTTGTGTTCTTGTGCATATAATTGACCTTAAAAACCCCTGCTTTTAAATATAGCAACAAAATCCAATTCAGAGACTCAGTATGCTCTGCTTGAAGACATGTATCTTTTTGTCTGAACTTCATAATTCATAACTGAGCACTGTTTTGCCTGATGAAAAGTGCTGAGTAACCCAGAGATTTGGCTAGCCCTAAAAGTAATCTAATTAAATTAATGAGATGTTGCAGAAAAAGAATGTTGAAGCAGAAAAAGAGAAAATAAAATTCTGATGCATTTCAGAAATTTCATCACTGGAGATTTAATAGACAGTCTTCTGGTTCATAAAATGTATAGACAAGGTGGATTTAATGCATGTATATCTGTTGCTTTGTAGCTACAGCATGAAGTGAGCAATGGTATGCATGCAAAGAGCCATCCTAGGGGGACTCTGCATAGCAATATTAGAGGTAGGTGCAATATTTCTCATCAAAGTCTGTTTATTCATTAAGAGACAGACAAGTCATCCAAGCTGTCAGAATCCAATGTTCTGTGTAACCAAAGTACAATCCTATGCATAACTGGTTGGGTCATACTGGGAATTATAGGCCTTTTTTCTGTCTAATCATGCATAGGATTGTGCCTTAAAAAATTAAGGTTTTTGTTTGAGTCTCATTTCTGCCATGATCTCACTGTTATTTCCTTTATAACATTACCTATAATGCTACTTTTCAGCCTGCAAAATGGCTAAGAGAAACACACAAAATAAAAGTACAATAAACCCCAGTTAAAATATAATAAACTGAGAAGGAAAAAATCCACCCATAATATTGTAGGTAGCCTTAAGTGAACTGCAAGGTCTCCCTCTTCCCATTTAAAAGAGGAATAATGCTGACCTGTCTTACGGGATTTTCATAAGGGTTACAACAAGACAATGCCCATCAAACACGGCCAACATCCAAAGCAAAGCTCTGTATAAACGCTGAGTAT